GGGAAAGAGACCACTGTCGCATTTGCTGCAGACTGCTTCTCTGTATTTTGTTTTGTTCCACAATTTTTTTTTTCACTTTTCGTAGGATATGATGTATCATTTTCTTCTCTTCCCTTCCATAGACAAATGTGCAGAAAATGTTCATTCCTTTCTTCTGGTCTTCTTTTACTCTTTGAACAAAAATGGAGATTCTCTTCTCCTCGTGCAAATCCCAATAAGAATGAACATCCGTGGCATAGGAAAAAAATCAACCTTTTTTGTAATTTTTTTTTTCACTTTTCGTAGGATATGATGTATCATTTTCTTCTCTTCCCTTCCATAGACAAATGTGCAGAAAATGTTCATTCCTTTCTTCTGGTCTTCTTTTACTCTTTGAACAAAAATGGAGATTCTCTTCTCCTCGTGCAAATCCCAATAAGAATGAACATCCGTGGCATAGGAAAAAAATCAACCTTTTTTGTTTATGTAAGTACTGACTTAAGCCGTTTTTTTATTATTAATTTGATGGAAATGTGTGTTTGTGTTGCCAAATGATATATTGGTCGAACCTAAAATCAATTTACACATAAAATTTCTTTAACAGAATGATATCCCATCGTCGTTTGTTGGGCAAGCAAATTCTGCAGAGCATTTGATCTTTTGGAAAACTAAACTACACAGAATTTCAAGGTTCGCACCAGAGAGAGAGAGAGAGGTTCATTTCCACGGCCGTAGAGAAATGGGAAGAACGGCAGAGAAAAATGGAAGCAGTGACCGCCACTGATGATCAAGACTTCGATATCTACTAATCGCAATTCTCTCTCTCTCTCTCTCGGCAACGTTTGATTCTTGAAGATCGTTCTAATTCAACTGGCACCTGGGTAGCCTCAGTCGCAGAGCCAAGTAAGAACTGCAATTAGGGTTTTCTGATGCGTCTCTTTGTATGCGTTTTTTTTCCTAATTGGGGAATTTTTTTTGTGGGTTTTGTGATCTAACAATACCCATTTGGAGATTTCTTCTTGTATCATCAAAAGATTGCAGATTTAAGGTTTTTGTTTTCTCTTCTTCTCTTCATTCCTTTTTTTGGATACCTGGAGTGTATTGAATTCTTAACAGGATCATATCTCTAAGAAATATTCGTATGGCCTTAATAATTTTCTCTTGATTTGTTGATTTCTTGGTCTTCGAATGAGGAATTTCATGGTATTTAGAGCACCTGTTTCGCATGCGTTTGATTTGATGCGGATTCAATTCGAAATTTCTGGTAAAAGGGTGTCCATCGCTTTGTTATTGCCCCTTTTTTTTTTTATGGGATATACAAGTCTATAAGCTTCAGGATTGTCTCCGAGGTTTCATGAAGTATATTACTTAGGATTCTAACTTCAAAAATAGTCTTAGAAACAAGATTGATTCAATACCAGTGAGTAGAAATTTCATCTGCTGGACTTTGTTCTTGTGAAGCGTTCGTTATTCTGTTTTCGACTTGATGGTTTTGAATTATGCAGGAAGAACACAGCAAGTTCTGCACTGTGAGTTGCACTTTTTGGGGAATTTGATACGGATAGAAGTGGTCTGATCTGAGGAGAAATTCTGGGTTTTGTTGGTTCTTGGACATATGGCAGAGATCAAATTCCGGTTAACCGATGGTTCGGATATTGGTCCCCAGACATTTCCGGTTTCCACAACTGTTGCGACGTTGAAGGAAACTGTCATTGCTCAGTGGCCAAGAGGTTAGTGTATGCTTAACAATAGTTTTCTTCTGTATATGGTCCTCCGCATCGAAAAATTAACAAGCTCGTCAAGTAAAAATCTGGAAACTGTATAGATTTTTGTTTGTTCTGTTTGTTCCTGAACTATAAAACCGATAAACATTTCAGTTTCGCTACCAAAAATGGTATAATTCATCCTCGAAGAATCTGGAAAGCCAAATATTTGATTTGTTCCCCACCATTTACAGTATCAGAGCCATGAGTTTTCTTAGTATCTGGTGTTTTCGAGTAAAATTCTTGTCGATGTATGTACTTACGCTGTGAGTTCTTCCTATAGCAGAAATGGGGAATGGCCCAAAGGCGGTGGAAGACGTGAAGTTGATAAGTGCCGGGAAGATTCTGGAGAACAACAAGACAGTGAGAGAATGCCGGAGCCCTCTCTGCGATATTCCCAGTGGGGTTACCACCATGCACGTCATCATCCAACCTCCGTCTTCCGAGAAAGGTACCATCTTCCTCTGTAATCTCGATTTCCCTTTATCCTCTGATTCAACTGAAAGCCCATGATGCATTGAGGATGTCCCCTCTTTTCAAGTGTACTATGATTCTTGTCGTTTCTTACAATCCAATCCACTATCTGATGGAGGAGACATTCTCTGTGATGCATTTTGAACAGATGAGAAGATGAAAAGTAAACAAGAACAGAACAAATGCGTCTGTACCATCTTGTGAGGACAATGGCATCTCCACGGAAGCTGCGGCTTCAGTAAATATCTTCTCGTGTGTATCTTTTCAGACTCAAATGTACATTTTATGGATACTGAACGCCCCTCCTTAGTATACATCTTCTTTTTTCTTTGTTCTACAGTCTTTACAGATTTATTTTCGTATGATAACACAGATACATACATAGTTACATACATGCATGTAACAGGATTGTCATGAGACATTATCACATAGATCTCCTTTTATAAGAACAAGTGGTGAAGAAGGGAACTTGTATTCGTTTTCAGACATCTTTCTGTTTTCTTTGTTGGGTGACACGTGTCGTGGTTCATCAAAGGCTTTCAGCTGGTTTATATCGATCAGCCCACAGTAGAGAGGACACTATCATCATGGAGTTCGCATTTCAGACAGTGCCCTCGTTGAAGCTGCAATCCTGTCTGATTGGCTACATCTGCGGCCGGTTTCTGCCTGACAAATGGTTAATACTTCATTTACTAAAATCCCATTTGGCTGCAACATTGTCTCATAGATGACATCTCGACGATCAAGAGCTGTTCGTTCAGATGATGATGATGATGGCGGTGGTGGTGGCGATAGGAACTCGCGTGTGGAACTATCAAATAGAGGGTGATGGATGCAGCTAGATCAATCTTCCGTCCTGAATTTTTACGAACCGGGTTGACGAATACACATCGTTTTCCAGCCTCTGGACCGCACGAACAGGTCAAACAGCGTCAATTGTTGGATGTGTCATCCATCCCAAGATGCTGAAGTTTATGTTTTCTTTTTCCTTTCGAATCTGTAACAGATGGAGCTTCTCGGGACATTCAGGGTATGATCCAAAGTCCAAACTTTAGGTCCATTGATTGATACAGAAGCTCATCTTCAAAAGGATCGTCTCTGAAACTCCATGTGCGGCTCCCAACACAGAATGTATAAAAAACATAGGCTGTGATTATGTCGGTGTCTTAAATCTGGAGAGGTACTGCAAAATCATGAAATACACAAACATAGATGAAAGGGGTTTAAACAATTGACTGTATATGAATCATCAGTACATAAAATGTACACAACAACATGATCACACATCATGCAACGCTCTCAAATTGTAGAACCGGTCATCCCTTTTCTTCCACTACCCTGAACACAAGTTTTGATTTTTGCTAGAGACCCACATCCTCAAAATGCCAAACTTCGCCTCTGCAGTATGGTTCCTTTTAGCAAAGCAACTGTCTGAAAAAAAAAAAACAGAGATGATGTTGCTATGAGTTGTGCATTAACATGAAGCATAGAACTGATATCATGTGAACATAAGACTTAAAGAATACCTTGTCTCCGCATGCTTGTTATCATCGCTGAGACTTGCCTCTTCTGAATCAGATAAAGGGGCAAGGGTGCAGATACCGAGCAAGTGCCCGTTGAGGCATACATAATACTCGAGGCAGTCTTCATAAGCTTCTAACCGGATGCAGGCGCTCTGAGGTATCATCTTAGCTTGAAGCATGCTCCATAGTCTAGCCTTACAATATGGGCAAACCTCAGACGGATGAAAGGGGACACCTTTGTTGATAATCACTTTCCTGACCTTTGATGATGGGAAAGCCTTGAAAATCCCACGGAACAATCCCACATCACCCTCTTCTCCTTGGTCAAGATGCTCACACGGATCACAAACGTAGAGAACATCGGTTCTACATTGAGGCGGGAGAAGGCTTCTCCCCAATGTTCTTGAGAACCGGGTTCTATAAACAAAGTGACCCGGTATTTGAACACTGCTGTTAAACAGACCACCTTGTGTGCATCCTGAACAGTAAATGAGAAGTTTCCCGAGTGCCCTCCAGTTCCCGTCGATGCAGTGGCTACCGCTAGATTGCAGATCAAGCATCATTTTCGGGGCACGGGTTTTGCAAAACTCCTTCCAGAGAACCCGCTTTGCGAAATCATCAAACCATTTGCACACACAGGAAAGGGTTGAGATTATTTTAGGGTTCCAATTCAAGTGCTGGAAAACCAACAATAAGACATCTTCACTTATATGGCCTCTCGTGCATTGGCAGCTCGGAGAGTGAATGCAACGGTACTGCTTTGGTATGATCATTCTCTCTCTGCACATCAACACAGAATCAACGCACCAGAAAATGAGATACATGGAAAGAAAAACAGAATATATATCATTTTCACTCTGAACAAACAGCGGTTTCTAGTCATCTCTACTTTCTTTCTTACCATACAAAAGCCGCACCAATTATTACCCAGAAACCAGATTCTGACATGAATTCTCAACAAAGAATTGTATCTACGATCAATAAAGTGACTAAATTTCAAGATCTCAAAGCAACATCACAATGCCAAATCTGTAAGAGCGCATAAACAACAGAATCCAAACACAAGCAGCATAAAATCCGAGCCCGACAACCCACTTCAAATCACACAGATTCACCGGACAAATGCCAAACCCTAACACACAGAGTCAGGTTTTCCTCCCCCAAGAAGAAGAAGAAGAATAAGAGAGAATCATCAGCAGAACAAGAAGTGAGAATACTTCATCTGATTGGAACGAAGATGGAATTTGGCAGAAAAGTATCTCACCTTGGTCTAACACATCACTTCTGCTCCAAATCACCGAAACCCTAAGGATGAAACCCCGAACTCAGCAGAAAATCAACCAAATCGGAGACTGCAGCAAATGTTAACGAGGAGAAAAAAAGTGAATTTGGTAAAAAAAAAAAAAAAACAATTGGGGACCTCGAAATCTCCAAAAAGAACCCAACTTGGAAGAAAAATGAAGCCGAGGGCAGACAAAAACAAAGAACAATTCACAGAGACAAGAACCGATAGGAAAGAAATCTCAAGACTTTAATATATTTTTTCCTCATGTTGTACAACAAAGAGCACAATTTAAATAAGTTCAGGAGGGTAGAGTGACAACTCGCGGTCCTAAGATACATCAATAACCAATGATAATACGACACGTAAGCAAAAGAATCTTCATGGTCAATCGGCATTTAATAGACTGCGTGGGGTCCATCTGAGTTCCAGGTCCAAATCCTTTCTAGCCCCATTATTTTAACTTATTATCAAATTGCACTCATCTTTTAGTACGTTCACTACACCCCCCTCTCTAAAGGTTTACGAGTGCTTATGCTATCATCATTAATATTTCATTCTTTCTGTCCCCCGATTTCAAATTGTTCATAAATTCTCCCACATTATTACGAAATTTACAGGAACACCCCTTCGAAGCTCTTAACTAGAGAAGTATTCTGTGAGAAATTCAGGACAAAAAAAACAGCAAGATATGAAGCAACAACATAATTTTCGATTAGAAAATATATAATTTCGCAAATAACAAAATGTTGGATACAGTTCTTCCCGGGTCAGAAGGAAAACAATGGCATCCTAAGACTACCGTAGATTTCAGCAAAGATCATATTGTTCTTTCTCCTCCAGAGATGAGGAACCAAACAGAAGAAGCACACAGTAAAGAAGAAGAAAAAAACCCTAATTCTTTTTGGAAGACTTTCATTCAACCGGTTAATGGTTTGGTTTCTTGAAGAGAGATGACGGTCTCGAAAGCGCCGACCAAAGCCTTCACTTTGCTCTTACGGGTTTCGACGAGCTTGCTTGCTGTTTCCTCGATCACATTGTTGAACAGCAGCCCTCTTGAATGATCTTTCTTTCTCTCTGTGTCTTGGTGTCTCAGAGAGATTTTCACCGACGATCTTGGTTTGTGTTCCTCCCTGTTCAAGGTGCTTCCTTTTGTCTTGAAGCTTCTTCTACTGGATTTCGGGTTTGATTCATCTCCGGACAGAACTCTTCCTCTCCTGAACTTTAGTCTCCTTGGACTGTTGTCCCATGGTGATGCGGTTTCCACTGTCTTTCCACTCTTGAATTTTAGTTTAACTGCCTTGTCTTTCACGGCATCCTCTGATGAGAAGTCTCTGTTTCTTCTTTGTATCGGTACCCTTTTACCATCAGGAAGGGACTCATCATCACCATCTTCTTCTTCATCATCTTCTTCAGTTACCCGATTTCCTGAAATTTCATCTTCAGCTTCAGTCACAGTACTCTCAGATTCCTCTTGCCTCTTTTTCCTGAGATACACCCTCTGTTGAGATGGTGATGAGGATGGATCAGTGGTCGGTGAATCGATGATGCATCTTTCATTCCGGACTGATTCCACGACTGCATTCTCCGTTTCCATCTTGATGACATAAAGTGTTTTCTCTTCAACCAAATCTTTATGCCCGTTTCCTCGCCCTGGTTTAAGCCCCGATTTCTCAGCCTCGGTACTTCTCACCCCCTTTCGGTTTTTCAATGGAGGAGCACTCAAGCTGCTGCCTTTCTTCACCTTTACACTTCCAGATCTATCTGGATATGTTTTTCTAGACAATGACGAGGCTCTTCCAGGCAGAACTCCGTCCTTTCTGTCAGCTGCTTTAAGGACTCCAACCTTCTTCATTGCCATAGTGCTGTTCTCCTTTCTGCTGTCTTGAACATATGACCCTTTTTCTGAAACAGATTTTAGCTTTGAGAGAGTAGCACGTTTCTTGAGTTCAGTGATCTCTCTGGAACCTAATGAAGCTCGTCCGGGAGGTACAAATACTGTACTAGAAGACTGCACAACCTTCGGCTTTCTCGTTATTGAACTGGTTAACCGAGATTCTGATGAAGATACCATCTTTTTCTTGGCTTTCTCGGGAGAGATCTTGTTGTTCACAGAAGCTAAGACTTCTACTGACACCCCGGTTGAAGCTTCCCTCTTTTTGACATCACCAGTTCTGCCAGGGAATCTTGTACCTTCCCTCTTGACGTCAGAGCCGTTGGAAGAAGGCTTTGTCACCTTTTTGGCCAATGCACTGCTCTTCGTCAATGGCGAATCCAGGCTCGGGCTCGGGATCTTGTCATGAGGCAGCTTCTTGACAACCCTTTTGAGAGTTGAGCCTCTTGCCTTCTTCACAGATTCATGTCTTGTTCCATATTTGCAGACATCGTGACAGGAACCAGCTGGAGCTCTGAGGTAATTAGGGAGAATTTTCTCTTCAGTGTACAAAAGGCTCAGCTTTCCTGTAGAAATCCTTCTCCAGGATCTGCTCACATCTGGTGAATCTGGCAAACTTATGCACTCCTCAGCCATCAATGAGGCTGAGAGGAAAGAAACTCTCAGTCAAATAAGCCCTGAGGGCAACGGTGAATGCTCAGAACAGCAACAACAAAACAACAGGAAAAGGAGAATACTTTGATCTAAGAAAATTACTGAATGAGAGAGAGAGAGAGAGAGAGCGAGTAAAAAAAAAGGATTAACCTTTCGAAGATGTTGAAAACTATATACTTCCCCTCCTCACCTATAGAAGAACATCCACCTGGAAAAAAAAATTATTCTTGTCGAGATACAGTTTTTCAAATAAACTTGTGATAAAAAAAGGTGAAAAGGGAAAAAACTTGTAAAGTTCTTTGATGAGATTTCTTTTCCAGAAAACATTTGCTATGTAAACCAACAAGCTTTCGATTTCCTTGGTTAAGAAGAATGGAATTCACAATCTTGAACGGAGGTTTACTTCTGTTTCAGACAGAAACAGCGAACAACCGAGAGGAATCTGAACCTCCAAGCTTTAACCCATTTGGGGGCTTTTGCAAAAGAACCCAAAGGTCAAAAAAATTTCCCCATCTCATAATCAAGAAGAAGGAGTGCAAAGATCTTTCGTTTCTTACCATAGAATGCAACCACCGAAGCTTCTTCTGTGCCCAGCTGAATCAATCTCCCAAACCCTTAAAAACAAACATAAACATCTCAGAAACCCAATACCCGATTTCTCCACACAGAAAAAGGAGCCGAAGCATCTCACCCTTTTATTTGTCTCAGCAGCTTTCCGGAGAGAAACCGCTGAAACCAGAAGAAAAAAGCCGGAGAATGGCTGCAATCAGAATGTGTAATACGCCATTGATTCTCTCTTTTTGTTTTTCTCGGGGGTTTCTGTTTGATTCGAGAAAACAGCGTTCACTGGTTTTTTGTGTTTCAGTTTTGGGATTGGTGAAGGGATTCTCTCTTGCTTTGCGCATTTCACGCAGATTTTGTAGGAGAGATTTTCACCGACGATCTTGGTTTGTGTTCCTCCCTGTTCAAGGTGCTTCCTTTTGTCTTGAAGCTTCTTCTACTGGATTTCGGGTTTGATTCATCTCCGGACAGAACTCTTCCTCTCCTGAACTTTAGTCTCCTTGGACTGTTGTCCCATGGTGATGCGGTTTCCACTGTCTTTCCACTCTTGAATTTTAGTTTAACTGCCTTGTCTTTCACGGCTCATTTGCCTTGATCTCAAAAGGCTGTTTTGAAAAGAAAAAAAAAAGGTGAACGCCAAATTAAATATTTTTCAGTTAATTAAAGATGATAACGTGCGTGTTTATCTTTATCTAATAATAGGAAACATAACTTTAAGATGCTTAACGACAAATAAATACTCAAAAGACTTAATTTACTCTAATTTTCAAGAAAGGGCTTAAAGTCGAATATCATTGGGGACGTTGGTCGCGGAATTTGACATTCCAACTGTAAAAAGCGAGAGGGAGACTGTAAGATCAAAGCCCCAACTCACAACTTTAACATTGCACAAGGAAAGATAATTAAAAAAAGGTGGAGAAAATCTTTGCCCTTCTTTGCCCTAGCGTCCGGTACCGTGAAGGTCACGTTAACGGATTTGAACATCTAACAAATACCCTCACAGTGAGTGAAAACAAAAAAAACTTAACCTCAAGACCTTCACTTCTATAATCAACTAGCTTTGTATCACAAGGATATTGGATCATTGTCATCTTTGTTTTCTGTCATAAACAATCTTTTTACAGCTCCGACAGAAAGACAGAATTCTCGTACGTTCACCTTTCCCATAAGAAAAAAAATTTAGTTTCCTCCATTCTTTGCGAATTTAGAGAATTGGATGTAAAACTTTGACAAACAGTGAAGGAAGGTCTAGAGAATTCGGGCGTAAAACTTAACCTAAAGGCTAAAGAGCTTACTTCTATCATCAACGAGCATTGTATTACAAGACCGTATAGATTAGAGACATTGGATCATTGCCATCTTTGTTTTATGCCAGAAACAGTCTTTTTCACAGTTCTGACAGGAACTAATACCTGATCAAGGGAAGACAAAGTTCTCGTATCGTGAGGAGGAAAACAACTTGCCGCCTTTCCCATAAGAAAAAATAGCAATTTCCTCCATCGTTTGCGAGTTTAGAGAATTCGGGTGTAAAACTTTGATAACCAGTGACAGAAAGTCTAGTTAAACAGTTCATAAGTTGCATGATTAAAAACCAAATGGAACATCATAATATTGGACGATTATTGAGAATTATAAAGAGTTATCTATAATACAATTATATTTCTGATAAGATTATAGTGTTAGTATCCTAATCTGATTAATTTATGGATACTACCATTAATTTTATCATAAATATAATTTCACCATAGATAAATCTCGGTAACTATCATGATCACCCAAAATTGGAGAATTCATGAACTTTGCCTAGAAAATCTCAAGTGATAGGATCATCGAGAACTCTAGTATAAATCTCGACTGTCTGCAGTGAACTGCAGATGGTTTGCGTAAGATTTCCAATGAAACCCTAACGAATTGAGAAGCATGGAGATTATATTTCGGAAGAAACCCTAACCTCAGTCTTGATTGCCTGTCGTTTAAGGAAAGTGTCCAATAGGAAAGGAAACCCAACGAAGTTTCGATAAAATCTTTTGCTCCGATCTCCGTCTCCGTCGCCAGTATCGGCGGTGTTGCTCGCGAAGCACAAACCCGTTAGCGGACAGTAGATTTGCCGTTTTTTGGACATGAGCCTTCCAAACTTCGTCGATCCATCGAGAAAATTAATTTGTGTTTGGATCCGAGAAAAATATGGGTTTAAGAAGAAGAGAGGATTTTGGTGGATGAACGGCCATGGCCGTTGCCACCATTTTCTCCTCTGGTTTGGCCAAAGTTTTGTTTGTACGTGACACAACAATTGGCGATCCAGTAGATGAGAATGACAAAGTCATTTTCAAAATCGTGAGTTCGATTACACTGGTGGGATAGATGAGAATGACAAAATCATCTTCAAGATCCTGAGTTCGATTCCACTGGTGGGGATGTATACAATATTTGGAGCAAAATGATCTATAAAGGATGATATCAGATCTAGTGATGATGCAATCAGATGGAGATGGAAGGTCTTGGGAAGCATCGTGGTTATAAAAAAAAATTGTTTGTGATACCTTTTTTGCCACTCGAGAAGAAAGAATTAGAAGCTAGTGTATGGACACGTGAATGCATATAGTCTATTCATCAGATTTTCTATCCCACGTGGATTTCATAATTAAGATGTGGATTTTATAATATTTGTAAATCCAAAAAGTAGTTTTTAGTTTTAAATTGATTTTTATCTAGTTTTCCAAGTTTTTATAAAAAATAATTTATAAAAACTTAAATAGTAATTTTTTTGTTTATAAATTTTAAAAACTCTAAAAATTCCAAACATTTAATGTCGTAATTTATGAGACAATAAAAACTTAAACCAAACAAAAATATAATACTAGATTCATATTCTCTATAATTTTTAATACTAACCAGATTATGATATAAGTAAGTAGATTTAGTTGTAATAACATTTCATGATCCAAAAAGGAAGAGTAGGTTTTCATAAATTTTTTTCTTTAACAAAAAAAATAGCCGGTTAATTTTCATATATATATAAAAAAAATAGTCGAAATTATTGAGATGGGTCCACTTGGGCCAACAGGTGTTGGGCCGTTTGTGGGTCTCTCCGGCCCTTTTCTTGTCCGTCACCATGGGATGATCGCGGTCTATTGTCAATAACCGGTTTGGCCTAACCGGAATTTTAAGTACGAATTTATAATACCATTGGGCATCTGCGTATGCTATTCCGGTTTCTTATTTTTTTTCCCTCATAAAAAGAAATTGAGGTTTGGTGGGTAATCTCAGACATGGTTAAATTGGCCACCATTACATATATATATTTTTTCCATTTGTGTAAGGTATAAAAATCCCGACAATTAATTTTCATTTAAAAAATATGCAAAAAAGGAGAGAAATTGGTGGTTAAAAATTACCGAATCATGGGGCTTGGATAGATGTTGCCATTGTTGTTTGGTTTAATTCCTTAAAATGACATCACATTGAGACCACATTAAATTTCTTCTTCTCTGGAAAAAAAATTGATGTAAAAAACCATTTTTTTTCCTTTTTTATTATATTTTTTCTCTAATTGTATAATCAGATAAAGGCAAATTTAGAGTAGATTTTGTAAATTATTGTAATTTATGGAAGACAAAAGGAAGAGATTCCAGGTAGATTTTAATCGAAGGATTTTTTTTTAAAAGGAAAAGATTAAAAATAAATAAACTAACTTACGTACCCTCGTTCCGATCACTTGTAACCAACCTCAGTCAACCACTTGCAAATACTCTCTCTCTCTCCCTCCCTCCCATGGTGGTTCCTCTCTCTCGATCATGACCTCTCAGCCCAGCGTATTCTTCAGGTATATAAACACAGTCTCGCATACATACTCCACTGTTTATACGTGTGTGACGCATATACAGTTCTTATAATGGAGGTATATACCCCCGCTGCCGCTCGCGGATTTGAAAATGTGCTACGTTTGATCATTGATATGAAATTTCCCGGCCGAGAATAATTTTCCTGGAAAATTGTTTTCCTTCGTTCCTGAAATTCTCATGAATAATCACAATGCAATCCCAAAACGTCGCTCGTTTTCTGGGATTTGGAGACATTTTTTCCCAATTAAACGCGAGAAACAACAACGAAGGAGTTATCACTGATCAGAATATCAGATTACCGGAACTCATCTGTTGTTTTCGATTTCGCATTATCAGGTGGTTCAGAGTGTTTGCTCGGAAATTCCGATGGGAAACGACAGCGCCGGTTAAATCACCGGAGACGCCAGTGCTGAGCTCCGTCGAGTGCTACGCGTGCACACGGCCCGGAGTACCGGCGTTCCACTCGACCAGCTGCGACCACCCACAAGCGCTGGAGTGGCGAGCCTCCGCTGGATCCTCCCTAGTACCGATCCAACACGGACCCGACCCGAAACCGGTCCGGGCCCAGAAAAAGCGTCCGTTGGGCCCATTCGGAGTCGTCCTCGACCCGAGGACGAAGCGAGTGCGGAAGTGGAACCGAACGCTCCTATTGGCTCGTGGGATTGCCTTGGCGGTGGACCCGTTCTTCTTCTACTCGCTCTGTGTCGACCGTACCGCCGGACCGCCGAACCTCTACATGGACCGTGCGTTATTGGAAGTGGTGACGGTGCTCCGCTTTTGCGTCGACGCTTTCCACCTCTGGCACGTGTGGCTCCAGTTCAGGTCGGCTTACATCTCGAGGGAGTCACTCGTCGTCGGCAACGGCATGCTCGTGTGGGACCCACGCGCCATCGCCTGCCACTACGCGCGTTCGCTCAGTGGCTTCTGGTTCGACCTCCTCGTCATTCTCCCCGCCCCTCAGGTATATTGCTCAGAGAGCCCCTTATTTTTCTACAATTTGCAAAATGTGCGCTAACCTTTTATCATCTTCACGATATTCCCCAAATTTTACTTTTCTGATGAATTTGATACAAGAGAAAACATTACTACTTTGTTTGTTATATCAAAAATTTAAAACAGTTATGAAGAACTTCTGCGCTTCATGTTTATATTTACGCAGGCAATGTTTTGGTTAATAATTCCGAAGCTGATAAGAGAAGAGAAGATTAAATGGATGATGGAGATCCTTCTGTTGATATTCTTGTTCCAGTATGTCCCCAAGATTTACCACTTCATGCACATGATTAGAAGGATTCAAAAGGCCCCCGGCTACATTTTCGGGACAATTTGGTTCGGTTTGGCCCTCAATTTCATCGTCTACTACATCGCCTCTCATGTAAGTTCTCTTGTGTGTTATCTGTGGATAGAACTCTGTGTAAACGTCGAAGTTGATGCATGTTTCGGGGGTGAATTCAGGTGATAGGGGCATGCTGGTATGCTCTGGCGGTACAGAGAGTTGATTCATGCATAAGGCAACAATGCATAGGGGGTGTGAATTCATCTTGCATAGAAGATGTGTGCTTGAACCCTGACGGACCCTTCCTTTATGGAATCTATCGGGAAGCACTTCCTGTCATCACCACCGACTCTCTTGCCTTCAGGCTCCTTTGCCCCATGTCCTGGGGTTTTCTTATTCTAAGGTACTCTCATCCCCCTCTCTTGCATATGTCTACATTTTTCATCAACATCGATCGCACGGATTCTTCGGTTCCATTCATTTCGATTTTGGATTAAATTTTATGAGATCTGCAATATCTTCAAATCGTTACTAATGACTCATTCCCAAGTAAATCTACGTCTACATCTCCCTTTCTTTCTCATTCTACTTTTTCTAATAGAAATGTCTATCGATTTACATTTTACATGTCAAACCATCTTAATCACCCCTCGCGAAGTTTCTCTTCTATAGTTACTCCTAATATCTTCCTAATACTTTCATTTCGTATTATATCTATATTTGTATGGCTGCACATCAACCGCAACATCTCCATATCGGTCACATTCATTTTGGACACATGTTATTCACTTATTCTTTCGTCATCCAATATTCGCTAACATACATCCATGCAGATTTTATAACGGTACGGTATAATTTCTTTTTTAATCGTAGGGAGACGTTACGACCGCAAAGAATCGCGTGACTAATCTTCATTTCATCTATCCCGATTTTATCCTATAGCTAACATCACACCCTTCATCCTTTCGAAGGATTAAACCTTTAGTTAAACATTCGTTAATATTTTTCATATTCCTTGAAAAACTTTTATGAATGAAAATCCTATGGGTTAATTTGTTGTCTTTTACAGCACTGTGGGGAACGTTCTTACTCCCTCAAGCAACTTGCCCGAGGTTATATTTTGCATACTTTTGATGGTTTGCGGTTTGCTTCTCTTTACTCTAATGGTCGCAAACATTCAGGTGAGCTTAAACATAAAATTCTTATGTAGTTTTTTGTTTTCAAGATTGCATCTTTTTTCAAAATCCAAAAGAGGGTACCTCTAGTAGTTAGGAACAAAATGCCCTTCTGATTCTCTTTCTATGGAAAGGTGTTTCTGCATGCGGTGATGGTAAAGAAGAAGAAGGTGCAGTTAAGGAGCCAGGACTTGGAATGGTGGATGAGTCGGAGGCAGTTGCCTTCACGGTTAAGACGGAGAGTTCGACGGTTTGAGCGGCAGAGATGTACTGCCTTGGCTGGAGAGGAAGAGATGAATCTTATCCAAGACTTGCCTCAGGGCCTCCGCCGTGACATCAAACGTTATCTTTGCATCGATCTCATTAACAAGGTAAGACATAATCTTATTATTTTTTAAGATTATGATGTCTTGTCCTAACGCCGAATTCTTGATCTATGGGATCTTCTCAGGTACCGTTGTTCAGCGGCATGAACGAGCTGATCCTCGATAACATCGTTGATCGGGTTAGGCCCCTAATCTTCTCCAAAGACGAAAAGGTAACTCGCTCCGCCGTTGCTTATACCCTTTGTCTTTCCCTCTCCGGCTTGTGTAAACTGTTTCTTTGATGGAAAACAGATCATACGAGAAGGCGATCCGGTGCAGAGAATGATGTTCATAGTCCGAGGGCGAGCGAAACGTAGCCAGAACGTAAGCAAAGGCGTGGTTGCAACCAGCACGCTCGAATCAGGCGGATACCTAGGCGACGAGCTCCTTTCATGGTGCCTCCGGAAACCATTCCTCGACCGCCTTCCCCCCTCGTCCGCCACATTCGAGTGCACCGACAGCGTCGAAGCCTTCGGCCTCGAGTCCAACGACCTCAGGTACATTACCAGACATTTCCGATATGATTTCAGTAATGAGCGGCTCAAACGGACGGCCAGGTACTACTCGTCGAACTGGAGAACGTGGGGCGCCATGATTATCCAGCTCGCGTGGCGGCGGTACTTGAAGAGGACTGGCCGTGACAGTGGCGATCGTACGATGGTTTCTTGGCCGGAAAATTGCGGAGACAGTGATCGGAAGCTACTCCAGTACGCTGCTATGTTCATATCGATCCGACCGCATGATCATCTCCAATGAAGACAAGGGGTCATGTTTCTGTCCTGTTGTTGTTATATCTTCTATTTATTTCTTGTATAAACATTCTATTGGTTGGGGGTCATTTTTTAACTCTGAATAACAGAATATATATATATATATATATATCAATAATATATCAGATGGAATAAAATAAAGGACTCCTGTATTTCCTTTCCTTTCCTTTTCGTTAAAAAGGAAAATACCTAAACGGCGTCGTTTTGGCAAAGGCTAAAAGTCACTGGAATTTCTGTCAGAGCTCTTCTTAATCTTAAGGGAGGGGGGTTCGTCTCTTCGAGTTCATCAAAAACACAACTCGAGCATCTTCTAGCGATCTCTTTCGATTTTCTTTCTGTTCATCTCATGAGCCCTGGTTTCACGTTTGTCTCGCCGTGAAATTCCCCAGTGTGTTTTTTTTTTGTGATTGTGGGTGAGAAAATTAGAATCGATTTCCGAATTGGGGTTTAGGGTAATTGATCATCATAGTCGATGGCGACGAACAAGCCTCAGAGATCACCGGAGGAAATCGAGGATATAATCCTCCGGAAGATTTTTCTCGTTACCCTAATCGATTCCACAGATGCGGATTCTCGAGTAGTTTACTTGGAGATGACGGCGGCGGAGATTCTCAGCGAGGGCAAGGAGCTGAGGCTCTCTCGGGATTTGATGGAGAGGGTGCTCATCGATCGGCTCTCCGGCAACTTTCCCGCCGCTGAACCACCGTTTCCCTACCTTGTCGGGTGCTTCCGCCGAGCCGACGACGAATCGAAGAAAATCCAGTCGATGAAGGACAAGAATCTAAGATCGGACATGGAAACAGTGACCAGGCAGGCGAAGAAACTTGCTGTTTCTTATTGCCGGATCCACTTGGCGAATCCGGACCTGTTTGGAAACTCGGATAAGGCTAGCGTTGGTCCGGATAAGAGGCCGAAGAAGAGCCTCTCGCCGCTGCTTCCGTTGATCTTCGCCGATGTTAGTTCGGGATCATTGGACATGTTCGGCGGCAGTAGCAGCAGTGTTCGTTGTCCTCCTGGGTTCCTGGACGAGTTCTTCAAGGACTCCGATTTCGACAGCTTGGACCCGATTCTGAAGGAACTGTACGAGGACTTGAGGTCTAACGTGATCGATACATCAGTGCTCGGAGATTTCCAGCCGCCATTGAGGGCTCTCAAGTATTTGGTAAGCTTGCCAGTAGGAGCTAAATCTTTGGTCAGTCATGAATGGTGGATTCCAAGAGGAGCTTATATGAACGGCCGAGCCATGGAATTGACAAGCATTCTTGGCCCTTTCTTCCATATTAGTGCATTGCCAGATAATTCCCTCTTCAAGAATCAACCAGATGTGGGGTGAGTTTGCAGAAATTCTTGGGTGCTAAAAGATAAAACCTTTATACCAACTTTTGCTTATAGTGGTAAACTATCCTGTAGCATGGGTGCAAAGTTCATAGGTGAGATGAAAAGTTTTGGATATTCGTTAAAGTAGTCATTGGAGTGGAAACTATACTGGTATAGCTAGGTATATCCAGCAGAGGCCGAGTCAACAAGAAAGAGTACATTTTTAGGAACTTTCGGATTTAGAAACTGTGATTGTTTCGAATTGCTTGGTGATTGGTATGGTTTTTACGCGCTGGAATAGAAATAAGTAAACTCTCTTTTTTTTTTCTTTGAGTAGTTGTCTATCTGCACTGAGAAACTGTAATTTCCTATGAATCATGAGTGAAATTATCATCTGGCCATTCTACGACAATAAAAAATGAATCTTTTTCCTCTTGTCCTTTTGCTCGTCTCAATCACCTTGCTCATATTGATAACTTATCTTTTGTGGATATCAGGCAGCAATGTTTCTCTGAAGCATCAAGTCGCCGACCTGCTGATTTATTATCCTCATTCACCACGATAAAGAATTTTATGAATATTTTATATAGTGGGCTTCATGATGTACTCCTTGTTCTGCTTAAAAGCACCGATACCCGTGAGAGTGTTTTACAGTTTCTTGCAGAGGTGATCAATGCAAATGCTGCAAGAGCTCATATTCAGGTAGCCCTTCCTTCTCAATTGGATATATACATTCGCTTCTATACCTTTGATCTCTTTTTTATTTTATTTCTCGGTGTTCTGTCATGCTGGTAGTTGGCTGTATTTGCTCAGGCCGGCATTTATTGACAGTATTATATGTGACCTGTAACAGGTTGATCCGATTTATTGTGCGAGCTCAGGCATGTTTGTTAACCTCAGTGCTGTCATGCTCCGGCTGTGTGAGCCCTTCTTAGACCCACATTTAACAAAAAGGGATAAGATTGACCCGAAATTTGTATTCTACGGGAATCGTTTAAAATTAAGGTATGGACCTCAACATGTTATCATTGAGTTTCACCTTTGTCCTTTTTCTATCTCAATGATGAGTTGTTTGTTACAAATATACTCCAGTGAGTTGACTGCTCTGCATGCATCATCCGAAGAAGTTTCTGAGTGGATTAACAAGGATAATCCAGAAAAAGTCAATGGTTCAGGACAAGAAAGCGAGGGTGAAAGTCGCTTGTTACAATCCCAGGAAGCCACAAGTTCCAGAAGCAATGCTTCTGGGCATCTGCAAAATGCAAAGTCAACTGGCAAATACACTTTCATTTGTGAATGCTTCTTTATGACTGCAAGGGTCCTTAACTTGGGTCTCTTAAAAGCATTATCTGACTTCAAACATCTTGTTCAGGTACTTCTACTTATAGTTTCTGGGAATGGAACTTTTACTTGATTATTCTTGAAATGTTACTGTATATCCTCTTGCAGAGTGTTCTGACGCCTTTGTTTATTCTTGGGATGAGCGTATATTAGAGTGAAGAATGTTGTTAGCCTTACCATATCATTCTTCTGCACAAGTCTGCTATTTATGCATTTTACCATGTCTTTCGCATGCAAAAGAGTCCTTTGTGAACAGCATTTGCAGAGAAAATTGTCTTTTGGTTCTTTATGTTTTCTTTACTCTATCATATAGGACATCTCGAGATGCGAGGACACCCTCGCAACACTAAAAGGCATGGAAGTTCAAGCACCTTCTCCACAATTAAAGCTCGATATAGCTCGATTAGAAAAAGAAATAGAGTTGTATTTGCAGGAAAAGCTTTGCTATGAGGCCCAAATCTTAAGGGTATGTATACCCTTCTCTTCCATCTTCATGTGTAAAGACATTATAAGTACATAAAAGAGTTTTTTTCTGTTTGCTGGTCTAGTCGCTTTGTCTCTAACTTGCTTTTTTTAGGATGGAGATTTTATTCAGCGTGCATTGTCATTCTACCGGTTAGTGGTGGTTTGGTTAGTTGGACTAGTTGGTGGGTTCAAGATGCCTTTGCCATCAACTTGCCCCATGGAATTTGCCTGTATGCCTGAGCATTTTGTTGAAGATGCAATGGAGTTATTGATATTTGCCTCAAGGATCCCCAAAGCTTTGGATGGGGTGATACTGGTAGGCCTGATTCGAACTCATTCATCCAAAAAACATGGCCATTCTTGTCATGATCTATCTGTATTGATGCTTATTGTTCTATTTTCTTGAAAGGACGACTTCATGAACTTCATTATCATGTTCATGGCTAGTCCAGAATATATCAGAAATCCTTATCTTAGAGCGAAGATGGTCGAAGTGCTGAACTGCTGGATGCCCCGAACAAGGTCTTCTGCATCTTAAAGAATTAAAGATGAATTTTAAAAAAAAAATATGTTGTTCATTTTGTAAGTAATCAAAGTCTGATCTCTCAGAGTCTAATGATCTCCTTTTTTGTTCATTTGCAGTGGTTCAACTGCTACATCTACTCTGTTCGAGGGCCATCAGTTATCGCTTGAGTATCTTGTCAGGAACTTGTTGAAACTATATGTTGACATTGAGTTCACTGGTTCTCACACTCAGGTGATTGCATGATGTGATATTTCATTCGGGTGACCATAATGTTCTTGGAGGAAGGAGCTTCTTTCTTGTTTTGTCATACCTCGGATGGACAAATATGTCTATTTTGGAAGGCTTTATGGCAAATTACTATCCCATTTAACGGTACACTGTTTAACATTTTTTTACAACCGATGTTGATTGACCTCTTAATTTCTTTGGGTGTACAGTTCTATGACAAGTTCAATATTCGCCACAATATTGCCGAGCTGCTGGAATATCTGTGGCAAGTGCCTAGCCACCGTAATGCTTGGAGACAGGTAGATACATAGTTAGATTGACCTATCTTTGAACTGCAGCTGTCATGTGTGTGAGTTAAATGTTGTTAATCTTAACAATGCTTTCCAGATTGCAAAAGAGGAGGAAAAGGGCGTGTACTTGAACTTCTTAAACTTCTTGATCAACGACAGCATCTACCTTCTAGATGAAAGTCTTAACAAAATTCTCGAGCTTAAACAACTCGAGGCTGAGATGGCAAATACTGCAGAGTGGGAGCAGAGACCCGCTCAAGAGAGACAGGAGAGAACAAGACTCTTCCATTCTCAGGAGAATGTTAGTTGCATGAAGCTTTTTACCCTTATCAATCTTGAAACCTTTCTATTGTTTTATGGACCGTTTCCTTAATTTAAACACTGCTCTCAAGCTAAAGAAATTTGTTTTTCCGTTGCAGATTATCAGAATTGATATGAAGTTAGCGAATGAAGATGTGAGTATACTCGCGTTTACGTCTGAGCAGATCACGGCCCCTTTTCTGCTTCCTGAGATGGTAACACTGACTGTTTTCCAACGCTATTCTTGTTTTACACATGCGAGTACAGAAAATATTCTCGGTTCCCGAATTCATATAATATCTGAATTTGTCGGTATCTGTTGTGGGTCAGGTTGAAAGGGTTGCTAACATGCTTAACTACTTCTTGCTACAACTCGTGGGTCCGCAACGTAAATCTTTGACCTTGAAGGATCCTGAGAAGTATGAATTCCGTCCAAAGCAATTGCTTAAGCAGGTAAGGGATTCTTACTCGGCTCTGCTCGTTCCCATCCCAAAGTGAGTGAAAAGCAAGCAACTGAGCATTCTTTTTACTTTTTCTTTTTTTGAAGATCGTTCGTATATATGTTCATCTTGCAAGAGGAGACTCAGAAAACATATTCCCAACTGCCATCTCCAGTGATGGCCGATCATATAATGAAAAGGTACACACACACACACAAAAAAGAAGGTTACCCGTATTCGCTTCAAACACGAACTGAACATCCAAAAATTTCATGAAAGCGAAATTTAAGCATATATATAATGAATGGTTAATGATCTCGATTACTGAGTAGTGGGGAAACAGTTGTTTAGTGCAGCAGCAGATGTACTTAGGAAAATTGGTGAGGATGGGAAAATCATACAAGAGTTCATAGAACTGGGTGCAAAAGCCAAGGCTGCTGCTTCCGAGGCCATGGACGCTGAAGCTGCGCTTGGAGAGATACCAGACGAATTCCTCGATCCAATTCAGGTGAGAATCATGCTCTTGGAGATGGAAAATCAATGCCGTTGGAGTAAAAAACAATCATGATCTTGATGCAATTGTTGTTGTTGTTTAGTACACGTTGATGAGAGATCCGGTGATACTTCCGAGTTCAAGAATCACAGTGGACAGACCTGTCATCCAGAGGCATCTTCTTAGCGACAACGTAAACATCTCCCTTACCCCTTCATATATATATCTATATAGAAAATTCGATATTTGTACATAAAAACATGTATCATATGATATATATATATATATATGGCTCTGAATGTGATTTTTTTTTTAAAACAGCACGATCCGTTCAACCGGGCACACCTGACGGCGGACATGCTGATACCCAACACCGAGCTGAAGGCAAAGATCATGGCGTTCGTCAAGTCCCATGAATCTCAGAGACGCAGAGGAGGAGAAGAAGAGAGCAAGGAGGAGAGAATACTTACCACAAGCAGCGACATGTTGATCGATTGATCTTTAGAATAAGTTATGTTGTTAGGCGTTCATTTCAGACAACAACTGATTGTCTTCTGTATTAACATCGAACTACTCTGTCCTTTTCTTCTCCTATGAATTTCATCTTTGAAAGACACTATTATTTAAGAATTTCATAATACAATGGGCTTTTTTCTCGCAAATTCTGAGATCAGTTGGGGAAATTATCACAATGAGATGCACGATTCCGTCAAACAGAAAAGGTTAGAGCTTTGAACGAAGCGAGTCTTGTTTCCGTTTTGCAAACTCGTAAGCGATGCTGATGGAGCTGTGGTTATGGCGCAAAGAGAACTCCGCCATTAAAATTTGCTTCTCTTCTTCCGTAAGATCTCCATGCCTTCCCTGTCACATTTCAGGGACATCGTCCGTAAAGATTCAGACAAATATTTTTTTTAAACAGTGTGTTTTTGTCTTTTCTTACTGACCAGACGGGAGGTTCTGTCACAGACAGCGTGGTGCATGAGAATGCCGGCGGCCACGGAGACGTTGAACGAATCCACCATCCCGTTCATCGGAATGCTACACTTCAAATCCGATAGCTCCAGTGCCTCTTCGCTTATTCCCCTTCGATAATCACCACCACCACCCGGAAATTCACAACAATATCCCAAATCAGCATCAAAGAGGAGGATACGATACAGATATCAGTCAGTATTCACGTCGAATTGGTAAGTTATGTCCCGACATAACCCGTATGTTTTTTTTCCCAGAACTGAGTCAACAAGATCACTCTTATACAATGGACCATGAATATACAAGATGTATTGCATGAAAACCCAATACAATTACAATCAGAACCATAACATTATTATAACACTGATGTAACCTGGGACAAAGAAAAAGCTTGTAACTTTCGCATAATTCACATCCCAAGATTGTTGTCCAGAAACAAGACATCTACACAATGTAAAGATTTCGGGCAACGACCCATCCTTCCCTAGAACTGGGAAGAAGCGCTCTTCAACTTTCTCCAGAAGTTGAACTCCAAAAAGAAAATTACCTTTCAAAGGATTTCGGATTCAGAGAAAGATGTCGGGTCGGACGTTTACTTAACTCGTTTAAGTGTGTAGATTACATAGACTTAGTGTGTCGTGCATAATATAAACCCGATGTTCAGATGAACATTAAACTATGATGTGTAAGTGTAAGGCTGATGTTAAATCTCAGAGTTGAACTATAACCAATAAAATGGGTCCTTCAGATATTACCTGCCTTCGTTCCCAACAACTAACGCGGTAGGGCATGACCAGTCCATGTCGTATATGGATACCTGCGATATCACACCAAAAGAAAACAATACACCCATATCATATATGCCTCTGTAAATTCATGAGATTTGCTAAATGCAGGCCTTATTTGTCAATGACACGGGCTCCTGCTGATAGTAGAAAAACAGAACAAGAGTTCTTCAAGATTTACCGTGTCCTTTCCCAAATGAGTCGTAGCGATTCTGTAACCCCGAGATTTCAGAGCTTGAAAACACTCTTTCGGGGTGTCCCAAAGCTCAATGTCCAGCCATTTCTCTGCCCCCATGCTCACATGCCGATTGTCTCTATACCTATACATATACACACATCCCTATATCTATCAAGAATCCAAAGCATAAGGAACAAGCAAACCCACATCAGATCATATGTATCTACACCACAATTTCAATAGCATACATCACTAGCTAACTCATGACCAGTCTTTTTCTGTATCCTATGATTCAAGAAACAGAAATGTCGAACCTCAAAGGCACCTTTTGGAGCTGTCACACGAGACTACGTGAACGGATTGAATCCCTAATGCGTCCGCTGACCGAAACGCAGCCGAGACGTTGCCAAAGTCGGTGAGGCCTTCGACGACAAGACAGAGCGAGAAGCTGCGGTTGTTCGCCACGTGTCGGAACCTCTCCTTCCTCTCCTCCATCATGTGAGGTCCGATCGCCTCCAGCACCTCACTGCTGCTGAGGTAGACCTCGCCGCACCGGAACTTGTCCAGGTACTTCGGGGTTTCCCAAAGCTCAATGTCCAGCCATTTCTCTGCCCCCATGCTCACATGCCGATTGTCTCTATACCTATACATATACACACATCCCTATATCTATCAAGAATCCAAAGCATAAGGAACAAGCAAACCCACATCAGATCATATGTATCTACACCACAATTTCAATAGCATACATCACTAGCTAACTCATGACCAGTCTTTTTCTGTATCCTATGATTCAAGAAACAGAAATGTCGAACCTCAAAGGCACCTTTTGGAGCTGTCACACGAGACTACGTGAACGGATTGAATCCCTAATGCGTCCGCTGACCGAAACGCAGCCGAGACGTTGCCAAAGTCGGTGAGGCCTTCGACGACAAGACAGAGCGAGAAGCTGCGGTTGTTCGCCACGTGTCGGAACCTCTCCTTCCTCTCCTCCATCATGTGAGGTCCGATCGCCTCCAGCACCTCACTGCTGCTGAGGTAGACCTCGCCGCACCGGAACTTGTCCAGGTACGGGAACCATGATGATGATCCCCTGCGCTCGCCCTCACCGTCGTTTACGGTGCACCTCCTCCTCTCCATCTTCATCAGCCTGGCGATGTCGTCGCGGTTGGTCGTCAGCAACTGCTCCACCGTGTCCTTGGACGAATCTTCCGGCGACTCCTCGGACGAAACAGGAAAGCTTTCCAGCGACAGAGCTGCTGCCCCATGAACCGTGGAGAAGATCCTCGTACGGACAATGCGTGGACCGGTTCCGATGCCTACAGGGCACGAATGAAAACCATTTCAGAAGGAAGAGAAAGCAAGAATCGGAGCTTCAAAACCCAATTAAGTGCAAAACAGATTGCAACGAGAATAAAGGAAAAAGTTCAAAACTTTTTTCCAGTAGTAAGAGAAGAATCGTACATGGAGCTGGAAAGATAACGGGGGAAGAGGAGGAGGACCGAACTGAAACAAGCGGCAGGCACGAATTAGGGCTTGGGAGGGGGATGAACTGGAAGAGAGAGAGGGAAGAACGGATTAGGGCTTTGCAGGGGGCCATGTGTCTTGCTCAAAAATCAAAACTTGAGATTGCGAGGGTCTTTAACATTTGTGCCCAGGACACACAGTGCGGTCGGGAAGGATTCCGATCTGAAGAGGGCCTCAAGATAAAAATGTTTTTAGATATTTTTGCCCACATTATAAATAAACCCGTTTATATTTACTAATTTCGAAATAAACTTGGAATACATTTCTAATTTAAAAACGAAAATTCAAACTACAGGAAAATACATATTTTCTCAAAGCCAAGTAAAAAATAATAATTTGTTTTGTCTGGACGGATGTCTCTTAAAAATAAATAAAAAAATTACCATTCAAATTTTTATAAAATTATCTGTAATTTTATTTTTGGACAGAGAACACACAGCAAGAGAAGAGTGGAAACCGAACCATAACCATCATGGGCCAATGATGTTATAGAGTATGGGCCTTATAATCGAATTATAAAGCCCATTAAAAATAATATAGTTTCAGTAAGAGCCCGACAACAAGAGGCGGAAGAAAAAAAGGAAAACAATTATTTCGATTTCTGATTTTAAATGAAAAAATGGAATAAATAAATAAATAAAATGTGTGATGGTTATTGGTTACGTCGCATGGGCCGTCAAACACGGTTCAACAGATAGGCATTATTTATTTATTTTACCTTTAATAAATATAATAATCATCGACTGCGAGACTTAATGCGACAATAAATCATAAGATATGTAAAAACTATAGATCTAGAAGTTTGTATTTTTTTTTAAAAAAAGAAAAAGATTGCCCAAAAATCGGCTGTATCCTTTTTCCACCGAGAGAGAGAGATGGCGAGATTTGCGGTAGTGGCTGCGGCGGCGGTTCTGGTCGTTCTGGCGGTGGCTCCGGTGCCGGAGGTGGCGGCGAAGAAGTGGACTGTCGGCGACAACAAGTTCTGGAACCCTAACGTTAACTACACTATCTGGGCTCAGGGCAAACACTTTTACCTCGACGACTGGCTCTGTATGCTCTCTCTCTCTCTCCCTCTCTCTCTACAGACACATTGTACACTCTTGGATCTGTTACGATTAGATCCGACCGGAAACGGGTCTAGTTTGATATTGAAGGGTAGCTTCAAAGATTCAATCTTTTCGGTTGTGGGTGTGTACCCTGGACATGATTGCTGTTTGCCAGCCGAAAATCGATTTGGAATGGAAGTTTCTAGATTCAGAATCTTGAGTTTGTTCTTGGGGCTGTCACCAGACTGTGGATGAAATGTGCAGATTGCCTTGCCAAATCGTTTAAACCCCTCAATAAATCAAATCCGGGAGCAAAGATTGCTATATATGAACTTAATTACAGCTACTGAAGGATCTCGACTTACCAAATCATGTTTTCTTTTGCCGCGAGTATTCACAGATTAGGATTTCTTTTCCCGGAATAGATTAGGTTTCTGTTAGATCTTTCAAGGGGAAAGAAGTTGGGTTTTGATTTTTTGCTGAATCTTTCAGAAAGTTCTTGAACGAAGGGTATAGCTCCAATCCAATCAAACCAGGAACCTATTTGGGACCGATAATGTGACACTGACAAGAGTTTTGCTACTGTTGTTCCTCAGACTTTGTCTACGACAGAAACCAACACAGCGTCCTGGAAGTGAACAAGACAGACTACGAGAACTGCATCTCCGACCACCCACTTCGCAACTGGACACGTGGAGCCGGGCGGGATGTTGTCCCTCTCAACGTTACCCGCCATTTCTATTTCCTTAGCGGTAACGGCTTTTGCTTCAGCGGCATGAAGCTCGCAGTCAAAGTCGAGAAGCTGCCTCCTCCTCCAAAGGCTTCCCCCGTCAAGAACGGTGGAAAATCCTCCATTGTTGCAGGCTTAGTGGCTCAGCTCGCAGTCAAAGTCGAGAAGCTGCCTCCTCCTCCAAAGGCTTCCCCCGTCAAGAACGGTGGAAAATCCTCCATTGTTGCAGGCTTAGTGGCTCAGCTCGTTCTTCCGGTGATTGGTTTGGCATTTGGCGCAATGTGGAATGAGAACCTGTGGCTTTAAGAAGGTGAAGAAACCGAACTGAACCCATCTGGACGGTCGAAGATCTTCTTCAAGCCCTTTGATTTCTTGCGCAAGAATCAAACCGTTCCTGTTTAATTCTGTCCCAAGTTTATGAATTTCCCATTCTTTCAGGCAAAAATCATTTTGTTAGGAATTGAGTTCTTGTAACGTTGTAGCTCTCAGTTCTGTTGTGGTGCCATCTTTTCTCTTCTGTCTTGTTGGGTGTTGTCTCTGTATGTCTTTTTTGAGATTGTTTGTATCTTCTTTTATTTAATTAAACCACTTGAAAGTGGAGTGCATTGGTTTTACTTTATTTTATTTTTTGAGGAATTTATTTTATTTATAGTAAAGTAATATAAATTTAAATACCTATAAATATAAAATAAAATCATCCAAGTTCTTGTGGTTTTGGATTTACATATTTTTTATATTGGGCTCATAATTCGGTTTTGTTCGATACTGATTGCGTTGGGCTATTACAAACTTTGGGCTTTTCACACAGCATTGGCCCATTCGATTGTGGAATATTGAATATCATAGAAAAAATCCCTTACAAAAATGTACCAAAAATATATCAATTTTTATTTTGAAAAACAATTATACCAAATATTGATACATACCAAATAAATACCATAATTTTTTTAAATTGAAAAAAATTTTATACATAGATTTTTAATTATACCGTCGATAATTGTACTCAAATTGCTTAAAATTGTCTCTTATACAAATCTTAACAACCTTAAAAAGTTTTTATTGGAAAACAATTTTATATTCAGATGTTAATTAAGATGTCGTCCATTCATAGAAAAATGCTTTCAATTCCAAAAATTGATGTATTTGTTTTGGCATATTTCAATGTTTAATATATTTATTTTTCAAATTAAAAAATGATATTCTTCTTTGGTACATTTTTGTAGAGTTGGTGTATTTTTATAGTTTTTTTTCTATATAAAAGAATAGCTATAACTACTAATACCATAAGATAAAGTGAATTGTTTATAACGAAAAAAGAATTATTATTGAAATTTTCGGTCAATATTTTCTATTCAAAATCCATTTACACAAGATGAAAAATCTAATATACACATTCTTAACGTGTTTCAATCATTTTTTTTATTGTTTATGTTCATTTCATTAACTTCATTTAATCCGTCGACTTTTTGTCGATGAAAAGCTGTCACTTCCCGTAACTGTCGTGCCAAAAGTATAAATATCATCATATTAAATAAAATATGGCATAAATATGATATTACTAAGTGATATTTTCTATTCATTATATGTGTTCCATTATCTTTTAAAGTTAACAATCTAAATACATACACTACATAATTTTTTAAAAAAATAATATTAATTTAAAAGATTTGAAATGGGAAAATTTGGAACTTGATTGTGGGAAAATTTGAAAGAGGGAAATAGACAAACAAATCGTTGATATATATATATATGAAGTGCTTTGGGAAACATTAAATGTAAATACAGATGAATCGAACGTAGCCAAAGACACTACCATTCAATTAATGCATATGTCGGGGGCCTAAGTGTTCATGAAGTCCTCGTAAAGACCTTTTTCTTCGATTTTATATTAGTCAATTAATATCATATTTATCACAAGTTTTATTTTAATTTTGTTATGATTTAACTTAATTACCAGAAGAAAAAAAATTATAAAAAAAAGGGTTTGATAAAAAGAAATTCTTGCATAAATGCATCAAGTTGTGTGACATGAAGAAGACGAGGTGTTTGGAAACACGTTTACCGGTTTAAGTCTTCTCAACGACCACACTTTCATTTATGTCCCATCTCTCCATACAACTTGCTCTTTAATTATCTCCTCTCTTTTTATTTTTTTCTTATAAATACTCTTTTTTATTTTGTTTCCTTCTTTATTTCATTTTATATTTTATAAAAATAAAAAAAATGAAGCCTAATTCCACTCCCTTGAAATCTAATCGTATGTGTCTATTTGATTAATATTATTTTACGATTTTACCAAAAAAAATGAAGTGTTTATATTCTCTGTGATTGTTTTAAAGATTAATCTCCACCAGTCTTATTTATTTTATTGGAAATATATCTTTATGGCTGGTGGTTTAATAATAATGGAACTAACATTGATATTAATATGTTATCACTCCATTTGTTCTTTCGAAAATGCTTTATGTGTCCGCTTGTGCTTGTCATGTCCTTTAGTTTTGTATGAACAAAATCCTTAAATCCCGTCTCTAAAACTAAGTAATAAAAAAAAACTATAAACGATTTCTTTGGTAAAAACTGAATCTAAATTAACCGCAACCGAATAAATTAAATATATCTATTTGTTCACCCATGTCTCACCTATTAATATGCAATATATGCTATATTTATAGAGAATGAGATTGTTTTATAATTATGATATATAATTAAAGTGACGTTTTTTTAAAAAATTATTCTGTGATATTGTTTCAAAATTTATTTCATCTATTATTATAATCGAACTGAACTGAATTTTTATTAGGTTATAATGTGATTACAATTTTAATTAGACATGACTGGACCAAACCAAACTGTAACCAAACTAATTAAAATTAAATGATTATTTGGTTATTAGTTTTTAAAATCCAAAATAACCGAATCCGAATCCGATCTGTTCGTCCATTCTTAATCAAAACCCTAGTTTCTTATTCTCTATGACGGGAAAGAATATGTATACATCTGCTGAATGCTGATATATGTACTCGATAAGGACATACTTGTTCATATATTAAGTCTATATAATGTAATATATGTAGGCAAAATTTTGATAAAGATATTTTTTTAGGTATGTATAAAGATCATCGACAATGACACGGTTGTTATTAATTTGACCACGAGATTTGTCCATTGCCCGAACATATTTAATTGATTATCTCAAATTTTTATTATTGTGGTTAGCATCAATATATGTATATATATATATATATGAATAAATTGTTCATGTTGTTTAAAGGTTTTGGACAATATAAAGTGTCTGAAGCAATTGCTGGTTAATGGCTGACCCTAATCCCAAAAGTCAACTCCACACCACGACAAAAACAACAACCCTTGAAGGTCGTGTTTGGTTACTAGATTTTCCTCACCATGTTTCTTTACATACACGCCTACACACAAACCCTATATATATATATATAATTTTATGGAATCAGTTTGTATCATTAAAGTAAATATATTTTTTAGTATATTACGGCTGTCTCTTAGGTGTACAAACATACTATATGTTAACAAGGCTCATCTTAATTTAGATATATATTTCGATTCCTTCACTGCATCACTGATAAGAACATGCAACGCAGAAACTTGTTATGCTCTGTTTCAACGACAGAAGACAGACACATGTGTGTGTGTGTGTGTGTGTATATACACCTGTATACATAAATATATATACTTACATGTAAATGTACTATATGACATATTAGTACTCTATATTATTATTTTGGAATTAGTTTTGAAGTAAAATGGATCAGCAAAACTACTTCCAAAGTCCCGATATATTAGATCTGCATATATGGATAATGTGTATTTCATCGCTCTATATATGAATTTTTTTTCTTGTGTATATTCAAACTAAATATAAGTACAAATACGTTACCAAAAAAAAATATAAGTACAAACATATAATTAAATATCATCGTTATACGCACCCAAAATAAATTATTTTAACAAATATCCAAATGATTTTTGCAAATCATTCCACGAGAACTCAAAGTATCATGGCTTCATTTTTTATTATCTGATATAGCATATTAATTAAAAGTATAAATATATAAATTCCATCGTTATACGTACACAGATTAAATTATTTTTAACAAATCCAAATGATTTTGCAAATCATTCCACGAGCACTCCCAGTATCATGGCTTCATTTTTTTTTATCTCCAATCCAAGAGATTGGATGTATGACATCATCAAACTCGATCCTTGTATATATTTCAATAAATTGAACTTGGAATTTTCAATTATGTAAAGAATTTCGATACTCGTTAAATATGGAAATTTTGGTTACTAGAGATATAGTAGAATGATTCTCGTCTTGAAAAAAAAAACAAAAAGTATCAAATGGACCAAAGTCGTGGGGCGATATCAACTTGAATACATATGTATATAAACGAAACTATAATCACCTAATCATTTATGATTTCGCAATCACGTGGACCCCGATCTCAATTGATATGTCTAATCCTACACAAACCCACCCATCATCAACATATACCATATCTACTATATACATATATATATATATATATAATATACAGGCACGTCTTTGAATTTATTAAGGCGAATCATATATGAAATATCCAAGCAACTTATGCAAGTTGGTCCATTTGTGTGTCTCTCATAGAGGAAGATGGTGTAGATTTATTGCAATAAATTATTTTATTTTCCCAAAGATACGGAAAACGAATTAGAGGGAGACACCTTGACCGTCGACAGAATCATTGCACCCTTTTATTTTAGTAACTTTCATTTCAAACCGACGAACGGAAAATCAAACAAAAAAGGAACAAACTGTTGAAAGAAATATGCATATATATTTACCTATACACATATATATATATATATATATATATATATATATGGAGAGAGAGACCATTGGACAAGAAAAAAAAAAGGACATTATATACATGTTTGTATTTTTACTTTTATATATAGATATGACGATATTAAAAAATTTTAATTGAAAATGTTGTCACTTTCAAATATAGTATATAGTTTTTCATAATAAATTATTAGAATTTTGCAGTAGTTAGAGAGAGAGAGAAAGAGAAGAACACAAGTGGCAATCTAAATTCATTTAACCTAAAAAGTTAGATTTTGTGTTATTTTGGTTTGGATGCAACCGAGTGCCGGTCTGAGGAGGCAAATCTTATTTCATCTAACTCATCGAATCAAACAAATTCCATTAATGTACATATTTTTTTGTCTCGTCAGTAATATTATAATATATAATTTCCATATGTATTTTTTTTATAATGATACACGGTTGAATATGAATTATTCAAATCAAAATTTTGGCATAGTAATTAACCCACAAATAACTATAAACAAAGAGAACTTCTACACGCAAGCGGAGAACAAACGGCAATTGCACTGACATTGATTGAAAAATACGTGGATAATTATTTCTAGAGAAAGATATATTTAGATTTTTATATATTAAATAGCAGAAAAAACAATCTAATCCAATAATGCAAGTTAATAAAAGAGAATATTTTTTAAAATATGTTGAGAGGACTAATATGCAGAGAGATTATTTTTTTTTCCAATTTTCTGCTGGGAATTTACAGGGATTCTGTGATTTCTTACAACATTTAGATGTAACTTCAAACAAAAACAGGAGTTAAGAAAAATCTTAATTTAAAATGATATTTCTGTTGAACTAGAAATGTTACATACGCGTGTGACTGTGTGTATATATATATATCTGTGTATATACACAAAAATACAGAGGGTCCAAGGTGACTTTTGGAAGTTAACGCCATAAATTGGCTATCCTTTTGATTAGGGTTAAAATATTTATGTCTCAAAACAAGTTGACATATTTTTCATATTTATTAATATAAAATTAAACGATAAAATAGAAAGACTGGACCCAGAAGATAAATAACAGTAATTATTATTATAATAATAATATTTTAAAGTATTCCATCTTTAGCCCGCGGACTTTCGACACCAATGTCAAGTCTGCACGAAACCGTGATCGAGATTGGAAGAGAGACACAGAGACTCTTGTCCTTTTTTTTTTTTTTGGTGTATATATACATATGAATCTCTCGATACACACACATATATACATATAGGTCGAAAGGAAGCGGGAGAGAAAGAGAAATCTCAAAGCCTTGTTCTGTGTTTTGTAGAGAGAGAAGAAGCTGATACAGAGGCAGAAATGGCGCAAGACGATGCACCTTCGATGAGAACGACGGCGCTGGTGGCGCCGACGAGGCCGACGATCACCATCCCGAACAGACCACCGGCAACGGACGCGCCGCCTATCTTCGGCGGCGGTGGAGATGGGCTTAGCCTGAGCCCGGGCCCACTTAGCTTTGTCTCGTCGCTGTTCACCGACAACTACCAAGAACTCACGCCGACGTCCGAGAACCAAAGAGGGTTTTTTTCCCAACTTCTCTCCGGATGCACGGCGTCTCCATCGGCGGCGGCGGGGTTTTCCGGCGATGCGAGAAGTTCGGGTTTTGGGTTGTCGACGTTGTTCACGATCCCTTCTGGGTTTAGCCCATCTGGTCTGCTCAACTCCCCCGACTTCTTTCCTTCTCCGGTAATTGATTAATTGATTAATCGATTAATCTCAATCATTAATCTTGCTTTAACCGCTCACCCCATCATTTGATTTGCTAAGAATAGGGAAGAACAAGATAAAACATAAACCGTTGGGTTTGTGTAATTATATGAAAACATAAACCATAAGGATCAGGTGTAATTAAGTGTGTTTGGTTATGTTGCATTAATATGTTTGATTATATGAACAAATTGGATATCGATTATCTACCCTAATGGCGTTTGATGATGTTTAATTGATACAGCGCCAAAGTTCTTATGGTATGCCAGCTAACCAGCAACAACCCGTTCAGGCCTTCTTCCCACAGCCACAACCGCTACCGCAATCGCAATCGCAACCGCAACCACAAACATTTGCGTTGCAAAGGCAACCGCCCTCCACCGCATACAGCCGTTCCTACAACGTTGTGAGCGTGGACAAACCCGCAGACGATGGCTACAACTGGAGGAAGTACGGACAGAAACCGATCAAAGGGTGCGAATTCCCGAGGAGTTATTACAAGTGCACGCACGCGAGTTGTCCGGTGAAGAAGAAGGTGGAACGGTCGTCGGACGGACAGATCACTCAGATAATCTACAAAGGTCAACACAACCACGAGAGGCCACTGAACCGCCGCGGCGGCGGAGGCGGTAGAGATTCCGGCGACTTCCGTGTGTTTGGAAACGGTTCGGTTCAGATGATGGAATCTAGTGATGATAGTGGTTATGGACGGAGTAAAGACCATGATGATGATGATGATGATGATGAGGAGGAGGAGGAAAATGATGACGATGGGGAAGATATTCACGCTTCAAAAATAAGGTACGTATATGGATGGTTGAAGGTGAATAGCGGAAACATCATCATCATCATGATGGTCATTTCCAAGTTGTCTATATATATGGTGTCAATGAAGCAATACAACTTATTGTCGTATGATGTGATATATATACACACACATGTAGCGGGTAAATGGTCGTATGTATGTAGTTCTATAACTCTTTTGTTAAGCCGTAATTGAAAGGATTAACTCAGGAGACACTCGATTGATGTTTTTTTATATATGAGCCGTTAGGCCGAGTAAATTGATGTTAAATAAAAATCGGTATTTGTATTGTCGGTGTAGAAAAATCGGCGGAAACTCCGGCGTGTCGATGTCTCACCGGACGGTGACGGAACCGAAGATCATCGTTCAGACAAGAAGCGAAGTGGATCTTCTCGACGATGGTTACAGGTGGCGCAAGTATGGTCAGAAAGTTGTCAAGGGCAATCCTCATCCAAGGTTGTTCCATAATTCTACTAATCTCGATCGGTTTAAGATTATGTAAAACAAATATTAAACTTTATGTTATTATTATTATACGTTATTGAGACAAGTAATCATCTTTTTACAGGAGCTACTACAAGTGCACAACCGCAGGGTGTACGGTACGCAAACACGTAGAGAGGGCTTCAACGGATCCAAAGGCCGTCATTACAACGTACGAGGGAAAACATAACCACGACGTCCCGACCGCTCGTAACGCGGCCACGGGAACAGACCACCGCCTTCGACCCATGTCGGAAAACAACGTCCAGAACATGAGCTTCGGCAACAATGTCGGTCAGGCTCCTGCTATTCTGAGGCTTAAGGAAGAAAAAATCACGGTCTAATGATACGATCATTTCAGACTCAGATGCGTATATACTAAACGAAAACAAGAAAAGAGAAGGGAAATCGTAGTCCGTGACTAAAATTTCCGAATCTTCTATTGATTTTGGAAGTGGTACGTACGAGGAATGAACCGGAGAGTTCGGTGTAGGACTGGTTTGAGAGTCGTTTGCTATGGAACTGACTTGGTTTAGTGCCGGTTTGGCATGGAAACACTTAAACCGGACATGTGTGTTTCCGGGCTGATTTGGCATTTAGATCATATATATGTTGTTGTAACTTGCAAGTAGTGTGCATGGCGTGTGAATTAATTTGGTGCTTGTTTGACTCTCCTATAGGTTATATTATTTTCTTTGTTTTTAACTGTGAATTCTTTCATGTTTTTGTTAATTCTGCTGATATGAGTGGTAATGAAATTCTGGCTTTCAGTCAATTCTGTCAAAAACTCTTATATACATATATATATTTATGTATCAACCATTCGATCCAAACCGTATATGTGTGTGTATATATATATATATCCGTATTCCTAATTCGGTTTTCCCTTAGCGACTGCTGTTCAATTCTTCTTTCTCTCTCTTCCAAAGTTTCAGGAACATTGTCTCGTTCTCCGCAACTCTCTCTCTCTCTATTTTCCTTCTCCGCGCAGTATTTGTCTCTCTCTCTCTTATTATTTGACATCCCAATTTCTTCTTTCTTTTTCTTTTTCCAAATTTTTTTTATCGGTCTAATGTGGGGATTGCTCTCCCCGCGTTGGACCCGTTTATCCGACCCGGGCCAAGACCCGCTCCGACGCCCGGCGACTCTCCTCTTCTGACATCACGTTCTCATCCTAATGGGTTGCTTAAACTCCAAGTTATCCTCTCCCGGTCCCCGCCATCTCCGCCGCAAAAGCTCCACCTCCGCCGCCCCAGCCATTGCCCCTCCGCCGCCCCACCGTCAAATCGCCGGCGGCTCCAACCAGGAGTTCTCCAGACCACCGGTGGGGACGAGCGGTCTTAGCCTAAGGTCGGGGCTTTCTCGAGCCAACGTAGAGGTGGATCCGGCGGCGGGTTGGCCCACATGGCTCACCTCCGCGGCACCAGAGGCCGTCCACGGTTGGTTCCCTCTCTGCGCCGAGGGTTTCGAGAAACTAGAGAAGGTAATCAATCAATCAATCAATCAATCCCTAATACCTGAGACTTCTAGTTTTCTTGTGAAACAAGAAATCGATTTTAATTAGGGTTTTTTTCCTGGGTATTTCAGATAGGGCAAGGGACGTATAGTAGCGTGTTCAGGGCACGAGAGGTAGGGACAGGACGAACGGTGGCTCTGAAGAAGATACGAGTCCACAACTTCGAGACCGAAAACATCCGATTCATAGCGAGAGAGATCTCTATTCTAAGAAGATTGGATCATCCCAACATCATGAAACTGGAAGGAATCATTGCCTCTCGAAACTCGAACAGCATGTACTTCGTGTTCGAGTACATGGAACACGATCTCGAAGGCTTATGTTCATCCCCCGACATTAAATTCACAGAGGCACAGGCAAGAACCCTAGTTATAACTTATCCCCCAAGAAACTCCGTATATATATTCTTCAAACCCTAATTAATTTGTTTTCTTTCAAATTATTTACGCAGATCAAATGCTACATGAAACAACTTCTATGGGGAGTAGAACACTGCCATTTACGGGGGATCATGCACAGAGATATCAAGGCCTCGAACATTCTGGTGAATAACAAAGGGATTCTTAAGCTAGCTGATTTTGGATTAGCCAACATCGTCACTTCGAGAAACAAGAACCACTTGACCAGTCGGGTCGTGACATTATGGTACCGTGCACCTGAGCTGCTGATGGGTTCGACGAGTTACGGGGTTTCGGTCGATTTGTGGAGCGTCGGATGCGTGTTCGCCGAAATCCTCACCGGAGGACCAGTCCTCAAAGGAAGAACCGAGGTTTTTACCCTGTTCAGAACGGATGATTCTAATCGAAGTTTTTTTTTTTTTTTGTAATTGATTCTAATCGAAGTTCTTCGTTCAGACAAGCTCTTCTCGATCTGTTAGAGTCTGAGTCTGTTTTTTTTTTGTCTGAACAGATAGAACAACTGCACAAGATTTACAAGCTATGTGGATCGCCTCCTGAAGATTTCTGGGAGAAGACTAGACTTCATCCTCAAACCAAGATGTTCAAACCCCAACACTCGTACGGAGGTTGTCTGAGAGAAAGGTTCGAGGAATTCCCGACAACGGCCGTGAATCTTCTCGAGACTCTCTTGTCCATCGATCCCGAGAAGCGACGTACATCCTCCTCTGCTCTTATGTCAGAGGTGAGACAGAAACCCTAATGGGATCTCACAAAAGAAAAATCCGAAGTTTTTTTTTTTCAAATTAAACACAATTTATCTGTTTTTGTTTTTTTCCCTCTTCAGTACTTCACCACGAAGCCTTACCCATGTGACCCCTCGACGTTGCCCAAGTATCCTCCTAATAAAGAAATGGACGCTAAGCACCGTGAAGAACTACAACGAAGGTCGTATACTCTGTCGACACTGATATGTTCTGTATGTATGTATGTATGTATGTATGGACACTGAGAGATTTCATTGCTGCAGGAGAAGGGTTAGCATTAAGAAGAGGGATAACTTGTCATCCAAGAAACCAAGGAACCCACACAAACCTCTCAGATACCCGCCAAACTTCAGCAAAATGCCAACCCAACAGGTACGTTTCCGGTTCTTATTTGACCATACCAGACTCCCTGGTAGTTAACCGGTTTTCAATTTTATGTTCCGATCAACCGATTTCGGCATCAAGAACTAAAAAAATGAATAACTGGGTTGTTATCTGCAGGAAAACGCCGAAAGAGAGAAGCAATTATTTATCCAGACACCATCGGAGATATCTCAGGCAACAGCTACGATGGATAGGACCGATCTCCGGCACACCGGTTTGTCACATACGACAGCGCCGCCGGCGAGCGGTTCTGCGTGGACGAAGAACAGGAAAGAAAACGACGGCGTTTCGACGCTGACGTACAACCAGCCGAGCTCGGATAGCCACGTCAGCGGCACGAGCATGGTATTTGCCAAGAACACTTTCGGATTGTCCGTACTAAACCAAGATAAAAAGAGCTTCCCTAGGCCGCACGTTTCCTCAGATGTTTGGTTCTCTGGCGTGCTCCACAAGAAAGCTCAAGAGGGACTCGGTAAGCCAATTGGATCCGGTACAGTTTTGAACCGGAAAAAATTCGGTAAACCCGAGTTATAGTTATTTGACACAATTTTCTCTAATAAAGATTTATTTTTAAAAGAAAAAATCTGCAAAAAAAAGTATTGATGTCATTCTTTTGATGTGTTTTTTGTTTGCAGGACAAGAGGAATGGTAGTTTACACATTGCAGTTTTGGTTTTATCTTTTTTTTTTTTTGGGGGGGGGGGGGAATTTGCAAATTTGTAAACTTGGGTGGGAAAAATAGAAATTGTAAAAAGGTGTATTGGGTAATTCTCCCAACAAATTCTAGTGATTGAAGATTTTTTTTTTTTAAATAACATCCTGTTCTCATAGGCCAAATACCATTATATATACAAGTCTACAATGAAAAATGCATTAGAGGAGGCACATACATATTGCACGTAAAACTCTAATTGCACTACAGAATTCGTTAAAATGCTTAACCCTTTACTACTCCAAATGCTGACTGACTGCTGCTGCTTTGGAATATTTTTACATTACATTGGAACAGTAAATTTAAATTCCAAATAAAACCAAACTGTATGTTCTGTTCTTGAGGATCTTTTTAACAGAAATATGCCCAGCGACTTTCAAAAGTTATGTACATCACTGGCTGTCTTCTTCTTGCATCAAGCTAGGATTTTCCCTCCCCCCAAAAAAAAAGTACAAAGAAACTAGAACCTCTCTCTTCTTTTTTTTTCATTTTTTAAAGTAAAAAAAAAAAAGAGGTAACACGGACAGGATCAATGTCTTCGTGAGGCGGAGGGGGGGGGTTGTTGAAAGAATTCATCAGAGGACACGGAGCTGAGCAAGAAAGGCGGCGCAAAGATCCAAGAACAAGAACTGAGGACCTTTCACCCTCTGCAGATCCAACAGATACTTCTCGTCCCTGGTTTTGTATAACTGTTTCATCATCATCCATCACAAGGCAATCAATTTCTAAGACCCAAGTAATTGAATCCAAATGTACAACTGAACCGAAACCCGGAAAGAGTCACCCCTAATGGGAATTGTGGGTCATGGACATTGAAGTGAATGAACAAACACTGAGGATGCTTTCCTCCTAGACACTGAATGCAGGAACATAAGGAGTAGAACAAAACAGGTACCTGAATTTCAAACTTGACAACGTTTGGTGACTTGGCAGCAGCGGCAGCAACTGAATCATCATCATCGTCTGTCGTTATGTTGGAATCATCCCCAAAGCAGTGGTCTTGCATGGAATTGTTGAGCATTCCATCCATGTTGTTAGGAACCCATCTGCACTTCATGTTGTACTGCCCTATCTTCTTCCAACACACGTTCAGGTCTCCCAGGGCTTTCAGCACTTCCGTCATTATTTCACGCGGATGAGCTCGAGACTGCCATTCGTTTTTTTTACAAAAGGGGGTCGAAATCATCATTCATTGACAAAAAGGAAAGAAAAGCATATCTTGAATGAATTCAGAGCCACAATGTTTTAATAACCTGAAGTCCGAGAGCCCATTTTCTGTCAACTGGGTATTGGGATCTCATTCCCATTCCTTGGTAATCAATAAATCCCGAGAGGCGATGACCAACTGGTGAAGCAACAGCAGCTTCTCCTGGATGCATTCGGTTACGGGACCCTTCCTGAAGAAAAAAACCCAAATGTTTACTCATGTCCCACTTCAACAAAAAGGGACATTAACAAAAAAAAAACCAAATAGATAACCCACCATACTCTCCTGAAATTCAGCTCCCAGATAACCGCTAGAGATTCGGAAACGGTTGTCCATTAACAGATAGTATGTCACTGTTCCCTGGTAGACAAACGGTCAATAAAACATTGTAGCTTTTTACATCTTTTAGTGGGTAAAGATTAGAAAACGCGATAAGAAGTGGTAGAGCCCATACATCGTTCTGGACTCTGCTGCGTAGGGATTCAATGAGATGATTCTTTTCAAATCCCATATTGACCACCTCTTGAAGAATATCCTCATCGATCTGCAAACATGAATCATGTATTCCAACAATTTTGCCATGTTCAATAGATTAGCAAGTGCAAGAGGATGAGATATGATCAGGCACAGCAGTCTCCTGACCTTTTTGGCTTGCTGCATTGTATCTGGAGGAGGAACAGCCAAATACCGAGGAAGATGAGCTTGGAACCAAGGGTGTTGTCGGATCTCAGGGATTGTCATTCGTTTCATAGGGTCGACCACAAGCATCCGTGGAATCAAATCCCTAGCACCAGGAGATAAGTGGCTTGGAAGTGTATATATCCCTCCCTAAAGGAAAATAGTAACAGCTCAGCATTACAGTTTTGAGAAAGAAGAGAACAAAAAATCCAAATAAACATATATATATATATATATATATATTATAATGCCTAGAAGTACCTTTATCTTCTTGAAAAGGTTTGGAATATTTTCGTCATCAAAAGGAAGAGTCCCACACAAAAGAGCATAGAGTATCACACCGCAACTCCAGACGTCTACTTCAGGACCAGCATACAGTTTGCCAGAAATGACCTGATACAATTAACAATTTTTTTTTACGGATCCTACAATAATTAAAAATCTTTATGCAACACAGACCTTAATCATGATGACCCTCGGACAAAAAAGACGCAAACCTCAGGAGCAGCATAATTCGGACTTCCGCAGCTTGTCTTCAAGAAATGACCATCACGCATTATGTTGCTCAGTCCAAAATCAGCAATCTTCACATTGCACTTAGAATCTAAAAGCAAGTTCTCTGGCTTAAGGTCTCTATGAGCCACCATATTCCGATGGCAATATTCCACTCCTGATATTATCTGCATCAGATCATGTCATAGGCAATATTCAACTCTTCTGTTGGGACATTTATTTGAAATCCTTTATAAATAGGTCCGGGAAAAAAAATACCTGCTGAAAAAAATTGCGAGCCTCATCCTCCTGCAACCTACCCTTCTCTACGATATAGTCAAAAAGCTCGCCAGAGTTCACGTACTCCATGACAACATAAATATCTGTCGGGGTCTCTATGACCTCATAGAGACGGATAATGTGGGGATGCATAAACAGTCTCAAGATTTTGATCTCTCTCCTCACTTTGCAAAGGAAAAAAGTAAAACAAAAACCACAGTAAGTCATGTGATACAATCCAGGGAAGGAGGACAAAAGAAATTGTCAGTCAATATGTTTATGTTATATGTCATTAATGGCAATCACTGAAAAAACCGATCAAGATTCTATTTCCAGTGTAGTGACAGATTTTGCTCCCTCTAAAAGCCAATGAGTTACTCATGTCAGCAAAGATGAACAGAATGATGTGTGGATAAATAAAAACCGTACCTTTTTCCTCCATCTCCAAGCTCTTGATTTTGCGACGATTGAGGATCTTGATAGCAACCTTATGCCCTGTTAATGCATGCTCAGCTATTTTCACACGACCAAAGGAACCGATACCAAGAGTTCTCCCCATCTTGTAGTTAGGGAGAATCGATTCCATTCCACTACGACTGCTCTCCATTTCCTACGTACAGAAGAAACCAAAAAGAACGCCAACAGCTAAAAGACTAGGTCAAAACTACGTAAGACGACATACATGAAACAGCAAAGACAGTATCACATTCAGAAACATGTAATAATTACACCGTGAACAACAAAACAGATCAAGACACAGATTCTGAACAAGAGTTACATTCTTCAATCTGGAAACTAACTTTCACTGTTGAATACTAAATTTTGTTAGTTCCCAAGTTTAATTGAGATTTTTAGGGAAAATGAAAGCGAACCCAAATTCGGTTTAAATCGAATTCCACCATATAACTCTGTAAACCATCTTCTTCTGCATGAAAAAAAGTCAAACTCATATCCATAGTCCTACCGATTTCCACATTCCATCATTCATGAATAGAAGGGAAAATTTAATACGACGGAGAAAGATAAAGAAATTAGAGCACAGGCAATTGGGAAAACATGCAAATGAAATAGGAACGCAGGCAGAAGTTAGATGGCAATGAATCAGAATCAGATATAAGAACCCTAACAACCAAATCACAGGATTTACGAAAGTGGATCTCGAATCTGAGAGAGAAACAGCGTAACCAAGAACAATCAAACACATCCTTTTGCGAGCTAATACAAAAAAGGCGAATTTTCACGAAATATGAGATGGAGGATCGAGCTTACCAAAAAAACTAAAAACGAGAGGGAGAGGATTCAGAGCAAAATGCAGCAAAAGAAAAAGCCTAAATTCCCTCAGCTAAAAATATCAGCAACAAAATCGAAACTCGAGATCGATGACTCTTGAACAGCTTAAACCCAGAAATCGAGAGAGATTCTCTCTCCCTTCCTGTCTCTCCCTCCCTCTCCTCGCTTGTTTGTGCAGATGGGAAAAAAAAACCATGGTTTGTTCTGAGAGAGAAAAAAAGATACCAATGAGTGGAAATGCCCGTTAAGTTCCACTTAATTACGATGGATACCCAGGGTTGACGTGGCATTTTTTCATTTGTGCGCTTTACCAATTTCGTTATTGCACAATATTCTGTTGGTGGGAGTATCGGGTTCACCATATACGACGCCGTTTTCTAGAGGAATTAATAACAACAACGATCATTTCAAATTTGTAAAAGAATCAGTAGAAAATGACATTATATTTATTTAACATAGTTAGAATATAGTTCTTGATATGAAACGTTAGTGTCCTGTCTTAAGAGGTCCATAAAATATGCTACCCATGAGAGAAAAAATGGAGAAGATTCTATCTTAATATAAATTGTGTGGTTTTATTTCAGTTATTTCAATTATAAAAAATTTTAACCATTCAGTTTCTATCTCAATTTTGATTCAGCTTTATTTTGATTTAATTTGCTTTGATTCGATTTTTTTATTAGAAAAAACTTATTTTTGAAAAAAAAAATTTGGTTTTTTCGTTTTTTATTCCATTCCATTCGGATTCAATATATTCGAATTAAAAAAAAAATTTATGTAAAATTCAGTTCGGTTATAATTATATCTTATTCGATTTAGTTCGCCTAAATGTTTCAACCTACCATTATTAATATAATTTTGTTTTACTTGCAAACCTAATAATAATAATCTTTTTTTGGGGGGGGGGGGAATTCGAAATCAGTCGGAGGTTTGGGCTCTAAGTAAACCTATATTAGGACAGTTTTGGGCTCATCGTAGGCCCAAAATATTGGGAATTTCACTTCCATAGCTACTCTCGCTTGCCGCCATCGCCGACGCCGACGACGTCGTTTTCTCCGGCGCCGGCGGAGAAGTTCCGGTCCAGTGAATCTCCAAGCAGATGGCTCGTAGACCCTCCTTCTCCGATTCCTTCAGTCGGACAGTTCGTGAACTCGTGGATTGTCGAAGCGAACCAATCGTGTTCGTCTTCTCTGATCAGACCCATCTCGGAGGAAGCAGAGGAAGAAGCGAAGAACTCGATCATCGTCGGGATTCCGCATGATTCGATGTCTTCATTGTTCTTGCTTTCTTGTTGGACTCCTAGCCTTGCAGAAGGCGTCAACACCATGGGGACATTCTCGGAGGATGTCACTGTAGATGTTGGAGATTCGTCCTGTTGAACCTATCAGTCGCTACATTCTTTTGGTTTTGTCCAAGTGGAGGATGTTTTGTGAGGGAAGAAGCCATGGTGAACTGATGTGTTAAGGTTTTTCGGACAGTGGTGCTGTGTAAATGAAGAAGCAGCCTAGCCTCGGCCTCGAGCCGAGCACTTTCCCATTGAGCCATGTGGCTGAGGGTAGCCGCGTTCTTGGACTGACCCCCTGACGACAAAAGGGTCTGTTTTTGGGCTTGTGAGTCACACCTCCTTGAATTTCTTGCTTGATCCCCGTATATATTGCCAGCTTCTCTAACCCTTCGACGGTCCAATATTTCATTCCTTCTCCATAAGCCACCATAAATGGTGCTAACTTGTGAAGATATTATCGATCACTTAAATTTCTCAATAAACCAGTCACAGGTTGCTATTCATATAGTGAGAAAATGCTAATTGGACTTAAGTTCATATATATATATATATATGCAGTTAGTCAACTTTGAGAGGGTTCCTGGTATGGTCTATATACCTTACATGCAAGAGAGAATGTATAAGCCATGGCTTATGGATTCACTGAATAACAGCTGGGACTCTTAACACAATATATGAAACCTTATATGCAGAATCTGCAATGTCCAGAATCATTGTCTTATGAGTAAGTTCTTGAAGTTAGCTTTTTAATTTACCTTCTTGATTTTACCCTTCATTCCATTCGTTTAATCTGTATATATACATGCTGCATTCCCAGAAACAAGATATGAACAGACGATGAAACACAACTTTGATTCAGCGACCCGTTACATAAGCGACAGGGAAAGGCGCGAAAGAGAAAGAGAAGAGAAAAAAAGGAGCTGAAAACAGATACAAAAGGATACAACTGAAGATCGAATTTTTTCACATTTTTACACACCAACCCGTATATTCAAACAAACAGATAGATGATAGTTTCAGCGGCTCCGGGAAAGGGCAATGGCCGAAAGGAGAATCAGAAGTACGAAAAGGGCGACAGCTATGAAGGAACCGATGAGAGAACCAGAGATACGTTCGCAGAAAGAGTTGAACTGTTGGCAGATGGCAAACCAGTTCGTTCTGTTATTCCCCTCGTGTGCTAAGTACACTATGGCTGCTGCCGACGATGCTCCAGCCGTCAGAAGACCCAACGACGCCTAACACATCACCATCATAATTTGTAAGCTCGATGTCCTGTCAGAAACAAAAAATAAATCTTTTTTCTTAAAACAATTGCAGACACTTACCACGTCGAGGAAGATGAGTAGAACTCTACTGTTTTGGGCATTGTTCTTGAGAATGTTGAAAAAGGACAGAGCCAGAGACAGGATAAGGTAACCACTGACAACAGCATTTGCAACCACGAAGAACCTGATACAAGTTTCAAACCGAAGAAAATAGCTGTCTTAGGGGGAAAAAACCTCAAAAAAGTAAAAAACACCGGCAAAGAGTTGTAAGAGAGAAAGGCCTGTATACGTCAAGGCCGGAAGATCGTTATACTCGGCACGAAAACGTATGAACTGGGTGAAGAAAGGGAGGGTTTCATTGGTGGTTCCCATGATAATGGCACTGCCAATAGTGTTTAAGAACGCTATAATCCTCAGTATGAAGTCGAATATTGCTATCCGTTTGTTCATAGCACCGACGTCTTTTCCTCCTCCGACGATCTCGTTCTGATCGGACTTCATTCTTCTCTTTTTTCTCTTGAAAGGGTTTTGGGTTTCTTGGGGAGGAAGTTAGGGTTTGAGTTTCTTGGGGGGGAAGTATTTGGTGTTCCAACTCAAGCTTTGAGAGTTTGTTTGCTCGATGATGAAGGCAATGGGTAACAGCTATATGTATATATACACACACATATGCATGTTTTTGGACAAGGATAAGGGTATCTCAGTCATTGATGGGAGTTTTTCTTCCTTGTGCCCATAAAATAACCGATAAAAATTCCTAATATATGAACATGTTGGTTATTCATTAATATATATATCAAGGGTACCTTATATTTTAACGTAAAACTTGTCGAATACCAAGAATTCAATTCATTTGCTGTCGACCAAAAGACTATCAGAATTTTACGTTGATATATTATAAAACGACGACTCGATTACATTTTGTGCAAACTTATGCATTATATTCACTCAAGCATCCACCGTTAAATCAACATTGACAACTATCATGATGCATGCAGATATGATCATATGATATAACAAGCAAATAAATTACACGTAGGCTTTTTTAGCATATACGGGGGTGTATACGCTCTCTCCTAATCCACCGAACCCATTTTTCCAATTGTGGAAAGTATCAATTGTTTTCAAATTTGGACACTTGGAATATATAAGGGAATCGTCTTTTCATTATACGTTTCCGTTGAGAGAACATGGGGAGCAGTTGAATCGATCGTATTATTGAGTGATATATAAGTTATAATAATTAGTGAATTAGTTATGATTGGTCGGCCTGTCACTCGAACAAACCCACGTTTCTTGTCCGAACATTCTGCAAAGTATCTCCATAAGATTGGCAACTTGAAAGAAAAAAAAAGTCCCCAAGTGATTGGAGATGGTGAACGAACAAGTACAATCCGAACATTCTCCACGTGGAATATCCTACTCGAAGATAGGTACGGTGGGATCAAAGCAGTTATATAATAAAAATATATAAATATAGCATATGAAGATAGGTACGGTGGGATCAAAGCAATTATATAATAAAATTATATAAATATACCATACAAAAACTGCCATCTAAGGAATTTTATTTTAGATAATCATATAGATCTATATATGTTGCTTTTAGATACTCGTATTTATCCAAGAATTTCGTGTTTCATGCAAGTTTAAACAAAAAAGAACATTTTTTTAATTGGGAAATATGTTTATCTTTGATTTGATTATATAAAGATTAATCTGCATGCAGATTTATCAAATTTTCGACAAAACAAAAGAGGGGAACGTCTTGTTGGAAAAATAGTGTGAAAAGGACATGAAATTTTCCATATTTCTAAATTAACCCCGAAACTTTTGGGTCTTCCAAGAAAACCCACTTCCGGAGAGAAGTCTTGAGAGAAAGCCTTGGCCAGTACTTGCTGCCTTCTCCATTGAAGCGTTCATGTTGCTAATCAGAGACCAATGGCTTTCAAAGTCAGGTTGATAACCACTCTGCTGCATCAGTTGCATGATCTCCGACACTTTGACTGTATCGTTCTCAACCCGGTATCGTTCAATTACAGCTTCGTACATCTCCTTTGCCGGGTTTTCACCCGACTCCACCATCGATTTCAGAAGCCTTTCTGCTTTCCCGGCTTGACCCGACTCGCAAAGCTTATGAACAAGAACGTTCCACGTAATAATCCTAGTTTTCAGGCCTCGGTCCAGCATTTCTGTCTGAAAATCCATGGCTTTCTCCAAGTCATTGCATTTCAGAAACCCATTGATGACTGAATCGAAACTTGAGCAATCCGGGACAGTTCCTTTCTTTAACATCATGTTTAAGAGATGAACAGCAGTGTCTAGCCTCCCAGACAGAGAAAGCTTCTTGATGAGTTTATCGTAGTTTACCTGTTTATGGGTAATACCATTGCTTGTCACACGGGTCAGAAAGAATTCGGCTTCTTGTATCTTGCCACTCGAGATAAGGGCTTCTCCGATTTTGGTTAGGATGACTGAACCATGTGTCCAGCCTCTTGATTCCATTACTTGACTAAGCTCCAGAGCCTCATCAACCTCTCGGTTATCGCACAAAGAACTTACTACCACTCTTAAGCTTCGATTGTTTGGTCTCAATCCCTTGGAGATCATAGAAGATAGATACTGCAGAGAACTCGAGAAGTCTTTACAGATAAACAAGCCGTAGACAAGGAAGTTGTACGTGCTTTCATCGGGTAAGAGCCCCTTTCCCTGCATTTCCTGCAGGATCTGATTCGCGAGAGAACAGTTCTTAGACTGAAATAGGTAGAATATCAGTAGATTGTAGATGACGAGGCCGGAATGGTGCCTTTCCCCCAGCAAAAACTCCTTCAGACTAATTGCATTGAAGAACCGACGCTCTGAACACATGCTTCGAACATATTCTCTATAACCGGCGACTGAAATGCTCAAATTCTTCCTTACGAAGCTTCCTAATACCTCCTGGACTTTCCTTGAGTTGTTAGCTTTACAGTAACCTTGAAACATCAACCGGAGGATATCATCGGGGACAAACCCGTCTGATAGCATTATCCGAAACTGGTTTTCAGCATCCGCAATCTTTCCTGCCAAACATAGTCCCTCTGTCAAAGCACGGTGGACATAAAATGAATCTGTTGGATAAGATTTCAGACAAAGATCTGCTAAAGCAATAGCCTCACAGATTTTGTTAGCCCTGCAGAGCAGAGGAATCAACATCAAACTATCGTCCAAACCCGGAACAAAATTCTTGTCCAGCAAGTCACTCAGAACAGCATAGGCAGCAGAAACATTATTATCCTTACAGAGACCTGTAATAAGATGGCCGTAAACTTCGTCTTCCAAGATGTATCCTCCTTTTACAAGTCTTTTGACAACAGAATGAGCAATGCGAGAAAACCCATTGTTGCAGAGCTTCTCGATAAAGATCTTACATGCTTCTGGCTGAGAGTGATGGTAGGACATTAACACGCTATCAAAGAGCTGAAGCGCTTCCTTCACCATTTCTTTGTGGATAAGACACTCCCAAAGACCTCTGCAACCATCCAAATTAGGTACCCAGTTATCCTTGCAAGCAATGTCCCACAAATTACGAAGATCATGGACTGTTCCTTTCTTACATAAGCCCTTAATCAAAAGTGTATACGTCATCTCATCGGTAGGCAGATGCATCTGAACCATTCTGTCGAAAATGAGTTTCCCCTGATCAGTAAACCCTTTTTTGCAATATTCTTGAACAAGAAAATTGAGGGTTTCTCCATTTAGCTGGTTAGCCAACTTAGGCCATTTTTTCAAAAGGGAAGCACTTACCCTGACATGAGAGCGGGAAGCACAGAGACACTTTACTAAAGCAGTGAAACACCGAAGCGATAGTTCTTGACCCCATCTGACCATTTCATCTACCAGCTCCAAAATGGTTCCTAAGTTTCCATGATCGCATGCTCTAATGATGAGCAAATTAAAATTTGGTAGCATAGAACTCTCAAGGACCATTTTCACCCTTTGCTCATAGGCACCAGTATCAGTGTCCAAGTACAGCCCATTCCCAAGATCATCTAAGAATTCCGTCTTGGAGAGGCCAGCATCATTGTCCCTTTTCAATCTGACAGCTAATGGATCGAACCCTAATAAGATAAAAGCTTGGGAAAGTGGATCCTCTACCGCTGACGCTTCAACCAAACCATAATGAAGCATCTCGTGAACAATCATTTTGGCTTCTTCAAACCGTCTAGCTTTGAAATACCCGGCTAACATTATCTCAAACGTCGACATAGTTGGATCTATCCCGCTATCTTTCATCTCATCTAAAATATGACGGGCATGTTCCCATAATCCTGTCCTAAACAGCTCACCTAGGATAGCGTTATAGGAGTACACATTCGGTTCTAGACCTTTTGATACAATCTCAGACAGATGAAGAAACGCTCTTCTGATATTTCTTTCACAACAGCTCCAAACAATCAAGATTCCAATGGTGGCTTCGTCGGGTTTGAAACCTAGATCCTCAAGCTCCTCCATATATGCATTTGCTGTCTCTGCACCAAACTTTCTGCAGAGAACATGAATGATCCTGTTGCCAACAAACACGTCAGGTGCATAGTTCACTTCAGCGAAAAAACTCGGCAAATCCTCAAAATCATGCTTCTCACAGTAGCCTAAAGCAATCTTATCAAACACTGACCTACTCAACTTACAACCCAAAGCAAGAAGCTTCCTTACAAGACTCCTCGCCTCCTGAATCCTCTGATCTAAGCAAAGCAACTCGATAACTTTGCCGATTTCGTGAACGGTTAGGTTATTTGATTCAGCTGTTGCTTCCACCCAGTCCAGACAAATTCTAAACGCTGGTTCTGTTTTCTGGGCACGAACCAAATGATCAATGAGAGCCTGGTAACATGAAGTTGAAGGCACTAAATCCCGACACCTCATCCAGTCAAACAGCAGAACTGCCTTCTCGGAATCAAGAGCAGCGACATACTTTTGGATCAATTCGCTAAAAATTTCCTTATTATCCAAAGTATCTCCTCTGCTCTCCATTTCCATAAGCAACAGTTCAACTTCCTTAACCATTCCCTCTCGGAGAAGCATCGATGCCATGATCTCACACGATTGGCGAAGATGCTTAAAGCCCTTGTATTGCCCACCAGCCCACCTGAAAACCTCCCATAAAGCTTCGACCTTTTTGCCTCCAATTCCACCTTTCCGACACTCTGATTCAAAATCGAGTAATAATTCGAGCACATTTTCCGATTCCAACCCGGGAAATCTTCTAAATCTACGTGAAACATAGGGCACCACATCGGACACTCCCAAAAGCAGGTCTTTCAGAGAAGAACCACTGGCGCGGAGATTCTCCTTCACCCCTACACCCAAAAGATTCGAATTTCGATCCGTGTAATCCCATTTTCTGATGGAAAAAGGGGAAGATTCGACATGGGTTTGGATCGTTGGATCTCCCGTGGAAGGGGGTGAAGCAGCAACTGAATTACTAGAGAGAGAAGCGGTAGAGACACAGCGAACCAGGCTGACGAAGCGAAGCCGACCAGTCTCTCCAATGGAAAGAAGATTGGGCATGCGATTGCATTGAAGAATTCACGTTTCTTCTCTCTCTCTCTCATCTGCAGTTCTGCATCGCTCGAGCAATCCGCACGCGATGAGGGGAGACGGAACCACCCAAAACTACGTCGTTTCGTAATGAGAAATGCTAACGTCCAAGCCTAATAATGAGATGAAGAAGCCCAATCCAATGAAACAGATCCTGATTCATTATATAACATTTAAATTTAGATTATATTCAAATTATAAATTCTATATAAAAAAAATCTATATTAAAATTAAATTTAAGATTCGATGCTTCTAACTAACAGATATAGTACGATAATTATAAAAAAATTACAATAACCTAATACATTGTGTTTGGATGTAGGGGTGAGCGTTTCGGGAAACGGTTCGGGTTTGAGACGGAATGAATCGGTTCGGTTCTTTCGATTTTACAAAAATAGGTACCAATCGGGTTTTTTATTGTATTCGGTTCGGTTCGGTTTCGGTATCGGTTCGGTTCGATTTTGGGTTTTATTAAAAAAATAATAGATTTCCTTTAAAATATTTGGTTTTTCGGGATTTTTAAAGTTCGGTTCGGTTCGGTTCGATTCTGGAAAAATTCGGTTCTCTAAAAATGGTACCGTTCGGGAAATAACAACGGTTTCGGTTAGAAAAAATACCGTTTTAACGATTCGGTTCGGTCCGATTCTGAAGAACCGAACCGAAATGTGCAGCCCTAGTTTGGATGTATTGCTGTGATTTTCGCTATTTGAGAAATAGTTTCCTAATCTTCGGGGTCTATTTGAAAAATACATAATAGAGGGGAAAGAATGCTAATAGTTTAAGAAGTTTGAGGCGTTATTAGTAAAAAGGGAAAAAGTTGTGTAATTCTTGTATCAAACGTCCAAAGCGGACGACACGAGCTGCAAACCCTAAGAAGTAAGAATCTTTAAACCCCAAAATCCGAAGATACGATTCCGTCAAGACAAAGAAGATTCACCCTTTTCTCCGATCAAAGAGTTTGGTGGATCGTTAGCGGAGTTTTGTACTCGTTTATTTATTGAATTTCAGGTTTCCATTTGATTCTTTTCATGTCGGTTTCGGTTTTAGCTGCTCTGTTTTTTCAGACTCTTCCTTGTTCGCTCTTTGGTTAATTGAAATTTCGAAATCTGTTGTTTTCTCGGAGCTGCTGCTTATTATGTTCCTTGCTACTTTTTCCGAGTCATTTGCTTGTCCCGTGGAAACCTGCTGTGGTTTCTTGACATTTTCGGTGCATTAATAGTGATATTCGTGGGGTGTTTACAAAAACCCATGTTAATGCATATAATTGTGGTTCATAATTTTGCTTTTGTGTGCTGATTTACTGCGCATCATGTAGATACAGTTCTGCAGAATTGCTTTGTTTTGTTGAAAGATCCAATTTTGTTTTTTTTTTCTTGGTAATGCGATTGCTAGGTGCAGATTCTTCCCTTTTCACGATGACTGCTGATCAAAGGAATAACCATGGAAAGAGGTACTGTGGTCAGACTGACTATGATGAGAACAATGGAAGCAAAAGGAGAGACCGTGGTGATGATAGAGACTCGTTTGTAATTGATCGTGCTGATACTGTTTACCGGTACTTGTGCCCTATGAAAAACATTGGAAGTGTCATTGGTAGGGGAGGTGAGATTATCAAGCGACTAAGGGTTGGCACTAAATCAAAAATAAGAATCGGGGAGTCAATTCCAGGGTGCGATGAACGTGTAATTACGATCTACAGCCCTAGTGATGAGACCAATGCCATTGAATATGGTGACAATTATGTTTCTCCTGCTCAAGATGCATTATTCAAGATCCATGATAGAGTTGTTGCGGAGGATTTACATGGTGAAGAGAGAAGTGAAGAAGACCAGCAAGTTACTGCCAGGATGCTTGTGCCTTCGGACCAGGTTGGATGTGTTCTTGGTAAAGGTGGACAAATAGTTCAGAAGATTCGTAGTGAGACAGGTGCTGAAATTCGGATCATTAAGGACAGAAATATGCCTCCATGTGCCTTGAGCTCAGATGACCTCATTCAGGTATCTGTGTTCTTGTGTTTTGCGCTAATTGGTTAATGTCTTTGCTTTCGGGTTTTTAACATATGAAGTTATTTTTTGGCTGATTGGGCAACTCTTTATTTGTAGATTTCTGGAGAAGTACCTACCGTTAAGAGGGCTCTTCATCAGATTGCTTCTCGTCTTCATGAAAATCCATCACGGACTCAGCACTTACTTTCTTCTGCAACTGTTGGTGGATATCCTTCTTGTTCGCTCATCAGCCAAGCAGCTGGTGCTCAAATTGTGGGGATAGCACCATTGGTGGGTTCCTATGGAGGATACAAAAGTGATGCTGGAGACTGGTCACGCTCCATATACCAAGCTCCGAGGAATGAGGCATCAACAAAAGAATTCTCTCTTCGGCTAGTTTCCCCAGTTGAAAATATTGGAGGTGTTATTGGGAAAGGTGGTTCTGTAATCAATCAGCTTCGGCAGGATACCAAAGCAACCATTAAAGTTGATAGCTCTAAAAGTGAAGGAAACGATTGCCTCATAACTATCTCAGCAAGTGAGGTGGGATTTCTTTTCATTTAAACAAGGAAACATTATTCGGCTTCAGCTATTATTCCTTGATTGTTTCTCTATCTTGTGTTTACTTCAGTACTCTGAGGATGCATATTCTCCGACTATAGAAGCTGTTATGCGGCTGCTGCCAAAGTGCAGCGAAAAGGTTGAAAGATATTCTGGACTTGTCTCATTCACCATGCGTCTACTTGTGCATAGTTCACGGATTGGTTGTCTGCTTGGTAAAGGAGGAGCTATCGTAACTGAGATGAGAAGAACGACCAAAGCTAGTATTCGCATACTTGGAAAAGAGAACCTTCCAAAAGTCGCCTTTGAAGATGATGAAATGGTGCAGGTAAATTTGTCATAAACTCATAATCATATATGATGGTCAGTGCACTTTATCCTCTTACATCTATAAGCACTTTTCTTTTTGTGAAATAATGACAGCTGTTTTTGTTTTATGATCAGATTTCTGGAGAACTTGATGTTGCCAAGGAAGCTCTTATACAAATAACTTCGAGATTAAGAGCCAACTTTTTTGACAGGGAAGGTATTGCTTCTGCAGTTTTGCCTGTTGCACCAGATGCTTCTGTTGCACCAGATGCTTCTGATAGGATAGACTATGACAGAAGAGATAGCAGAAGGCCCGGACGTGGGAATCATTATCCAGGTGGTTATGGCTCAAGTGGTTTGCCTGCTGAAGGTTATTTGTCTTATGGTGCACTGGTATGTCTTTCTCGTGGAAGTTATAGCTGCAGATCCTTTTCTTTTCTTTTCTTTTTTTACTTTTGAGGAAGGGAGGATGATAGGAACGATGGGGAGCACGGGAGCAAGAATAAAAACGGATGTTGGACTCTTTGTTCGGAGTCGACAATCGATCGATCATGTCTTGACGATCGGTCGATCGTCACTTCTGTGGAGTTGTGATCCGAGATCGTGATCGAGCGATGGTCACTCTGATGATCGACTCATCTTCCTTGTTCTTGAATACTAGTTTCAAGTTTTGAGATTGAGTCGTTAGTATCTCGTTTGACATATCAAGTACGTTTACCACCCATGTTTGTGGCGTCTTCTATCCGTTTTCAAGGTTTCATAGCCAGATTTGGATTGGGTTTAGGGGGTTCTTAGGGATTGAAACTACTCCTAAATTTGGTTCACGAGTTGTTAAGGGATTTTGATAACATCTACGACTATCCTTTTAACCTAATTGAGAACTTTTCGAGTCTATGATCATATCATTTGGTATGAGAGTCTAGTTCTCAAATTAGGGTTTTTCTATCTTTTAGTTTTTATCTTTCTTTTGATATCCTATTTGTTTCAGGATTTAATTCAGAAATCAATTAGGGTTTTGGGTTTCTATCTTGTTATTCATTTAGGGTTCATAGGATTTCCTTAGTATTTTCGTTGGATATGATTTTTTATTCTAGTTTGGAGGTTTTTTGTGTTTTTAGGTCAGAAATTTAGTCCAAAAAAAATTGGGATTTGGGTATTAGTATAACTTAATCTTGCTTGTATCTTGGAATTGGTGTTAGTCGTTCATAAACATTTAGGCGAACTCCTTGATTTGTCAGTGGGATCGCTAGAGATTTCGAACCTTAGTTTGATATTAGTGCAAATCAATCTTGGTAAGAAGAATCTGGTGAGTTGAGGGAAACACGCGAGCGAAAACACTTTTCTTGAGTGGGCGTGAGGTTCCGACGTCTTCTCTTTCCTTGGTTCTTTCTATTTATTTCACGTTCGTTGATTTTGCAGGAAAAACCCATAGAGAACGAGCATAATTCCCATGTGGCTCGAGAGGATGCCGACAATCATCCGCTGACACAAGAGATGGTTCGATTACTACAGCAGGTGAATGAGCGTATAGAGCGACTTGAGTTGGGCCAGCGGGAGCCACCACGGGTTTGTCCACATGAACGACCCCGAGAGGCTCGCCGGTTTGTGAGAGGAGGGGCTGAACGTTATGCTGCTCGTAGGGAAGAGCAAGAGCATAGTCCGAGCTGGGATGAGATGGAAGGGGAACTCGAAGAACAATTTGAGGATGATCCATTCGAAGTTCCTAGGCGGCCTAGACGAATGGAACACTGTAGGGAGAGACCCGATGATGATCTCAGTGGCATCCGGATGGAGATTCCTCCATTCAATGGGAGAGGTGATGCCGAGGCTTACCTGGAGTGGGAGAGGAAGACCGAGATGGTCTTTGATTACCAGCATTATTCGGAATTGAAGAAGGTTAAGATGGTAGTTTCGAGATTTAGTGACTATGCGTTGGTATGGTGGGATCAGATTAGAGTCACGAGGAGGAATATTGGTGAAGCTCCAATTGCCACATGGAATGTCATGAAAGAGGTAATGAGACGCCGATTTGTACCTAGTCATTATCATAGAGATGTGTGCCGGAGACTACGACAATTGGTTCAAGGGAGTTGCAGTGTGGAGGAATATTACAAGGAGATGGAGATGTTGATGATCCGAGCTGATATTGAAGAAGATGTAGAGGTCACGAATGAGAGGTTTTTGGGAGGATTGAATGTGAACATTCAGGAGCGCGTAGAACACTTTCATTACGAGACTTTGGAGGATCTATTACATGTAGCCATCCGAGTAGAGCGCCAGCTCAAGAGGAAGGGCAAGATGTTGATACGGCCTGAGTGTGAGTTGCAAGAGAAACAACATACTGCAATTAGAGTCGAGTTGAAAGGTGAACAATTCAAACCGAAAAAGCAAGGTACCATTTACTCTTCCGACACGCGGAATTGTGATATTAAATGCTATCTTTGTATGGGATTTGGACATCATGCTAAAGATTGCGCGAACAAGCGGGTTATGGTTATTAGGGATGGGAAGGTAGAGACTGATTCTGAGTATGGTGATGACAAGAGTGTTGATTCGGATGGTTATGAGGAAATCTCTGCCTGTTAAGGGTGAGTTGTTGGTTGCTAGGCGTGTGGGCTTGCACAAAGGTCGACATTATAGAACAATGGGAGAATCTGTTTTACACGCACGGAACCGTTCTTGAACACACTTGTAACGTGATCATAGATAGTGGGAGCTATACAAACGTAGCTAGTGCATCGATGGTGGAGAAGTTGGGATTGCTCACCACGACATCCTAAACTGTATAGGCTACAGCGGTTTAATGACTGTGGTGAGACTAAGTTGAGCAGGTAAGTTCGATACCGTTTTGCTTTGGGAAGTATGAGGGTGAAGTGTTGTGTGACGTGGTACCTATGCAAGCGGGACATTTGTTATTTGGACGACCTTGGCATTTCGATATGTGGGTACAACATGATGGATATGCTAATATGTATTCATTTGAGTTCAAGGTTGAACTGGTCACATTGGTGCCTCTTACACCAAAGGAGTTACATGAAGATCAAGTGGCGCTACTACAGCGAGAAAAGGGCATCGAGCATACTCCGCGAAGACCAACACGCTCTTTGTCATGAGAGTGGAAGCAAACGGACTAGAGGATGGTTTGTATTTGATGGTAAATCCTTTTGAAGAGGAAGAACATGATAGGAATGATCGGGAGCACGAGATCAAGAATGAAGACGGACGTCACACTCTTTGATCCTGTCTTGCCGATCGACCGATCGTAACTTTTGTGGAGCTGTGATCCAAGAGCGCGATCAAGTGATCGTCGCCATGACGATCGACCAATTGTGACTTCTGAGTGTTTTGATCCGAGAGTGCGATCGACCGTTCGCGTCGTCTGAGTATTTTGGCGAATTTTATCTCCGAGAGGACGATCGACAGATCATCACACCAGATTTCGTTATTTTTACGAGTTTTGTTAAAGCTATGTAGTTTTGGACATCTATCTAGGGTTTTCTGCTTTATATTATTTTGTTGTTATTTCTGAACAGGAAGCTTGGTTTTCTTTTGGTGCTATTAGAGTTTTCTAATAAAGGAGACAGCGATTCCTCTTCCTTGTTCTTTGAGTACTAGTTTCGAGTTTTGAGATTGAATCGTTAGTATCTCGTTTGACATATCGAGTACGTTTGCCACCCGTGATTGTGGCGTTTTCTATCCGTTTTCAAGGTTTCATAGACAGATTTGGATTGGGTTTAGGGGGTTCTTATGGATTGAAACTACTAAATTTGATTCACGAGTTGTTAAGGGGTTTGGATAACATCCACGACTATCCTTTTAATCTAACTGAGGACTTTTCGAGTCTAGGGTCATATCAGAGGGTGTGTGTTCTGCTGCTGGAGTTCAGTAACACTGTGTCATGTATTTCCTTGTGAATGATTCTCAATTTTTGTAGGTTGGTGGTAGCGGTGGCGCGTATGGAGTTTCTGGAGGTTATTCATCCGGAGGCGGTGGCAGTTCAGGGTGAGATGCGATCGTTTCTTTCCTCCTACTCCGTACTCGTGATAAATGATTGATTGGTAGTTTCTACTTACATGTTGCTATGCTGAGAGAAAGCGCTGAATGGTCATCTTCTCTACATTTGCCTAACAATGCTTGGTCAGTGATCTTTACCATGAGACTTTTTTTTTAATCAGGTTATCCAGCCACCCATCTGCTCCTCGGCGCAGAAGCTACGATTACCAGGAAGTATTGGTGAAGAAGGTAGATTGTGATTTGGCTCCTGTCGTTTCCTAACCTCTTAGCTTAGCTATTTGTGCCCGTGCTCTGATAGCGTAGAGCAATATTCATGGCATAACCCAATCTGATGTCCCCCGTGCCAGATTCTGATTCAGTGTTTTGCCCTTTTGTGGCCTTTCCCGTCCCCACTAAAACAGTGACACCCCGAAGCCTGAAGCCAACTTTACTACACAGCCAAAAACTGAAGCCTTTTTCACCAAACAGGATCATGACCAGACCAGAGATGAACCAGGAACTTGTCGTAACTCATGGCCCTACCCTGATGCTACTTCCTGAAGCACGAAGCTACAAACATGCATATGCACGTGGGGAGATGCATGCATGCATGAGAATCACATGTTTGACATTTTCAGGTAAAGTCTGTTCTCTGCATGCTTCTGTGCTAGAGCCTTAGGACAGGTTCAGAAGCAAAGAGGTGATGGATACTGGAATTCTCTTCTTTCCAGAACCGGCTTTCCCTCCTTCTCTGACCCGTCTGGTTTATGTGACATTAGTGTTTCTTTTTTGCTGCCCGATTTTGTGACTACGAAAGTCCGGTTTGGGATATCTATCAATATCCATTTATTTTTTAAAAAAATTGCTAAATTACTAATTTATTTTAATATTTTTATGGTCTGTATATCTTTATATTGTTTTCTTTTGTTTGTGTTTGTTCATAATATGATCGTTTATATCAATTTTTAGATATTGTGGAAAAACAAAATATCTCGATATTTTTTTTTACGATTTAAAGTATTATAACAGTATATGAAACTAGCAAACAAAAATCCATAAAACTAATGACAAATGGAAACATGCCATCTGCACCCTCTCTCATGTTACCAAAGCTTTTTTTTTTCTCTGCACATTTTCTTAGGGTATTTTCATCTTTAACCGATCTGGTCGCCGTTCTTTTTGTTGTTAGGGATGTTCATTTGGACAGCCCAACCAAATTTCTGATCTTCGCAAACAGAAACATTATACGACACATATAAGCTTACATATTATTATTTGGTTCGCTTTTAAATATTACATATATATATATATATAGGAAATAAAACTCAAACATTGAAGAAGAAGAATCTAAAAAGGGGGTAGAGGAGGAGGAGCCACGACGTAGCCGTTCCAGTTAGTGTTAGGGCCAGTTTCCCCATAGTCCATCACCTCCATCGCCCCTCTCCCGTTCTCTTCCTGTAATACGGTATTTTATATTTACGTTAGGAATATATATATATACACACATGTAACCCTAGAATTCTGAACAACACGTAGAATCAGGAACTAATTTTATTCGTCGATTGTAATCAAAGAGTTCAACCAATCTTTCACCTTTGACTGAATACGTATTCTCTCTCATTTTATCGTTTAATAGGACACTGAATACATCCGAGAATCATCACCATAGAAGAAATATATAAGGAGAACAAAAAGAATATAACACCTCCGACCGTAGCTCGGTACTTGAGGCTTCGAACAACTCGGCAGTCCGTAGGTTTCTCCCCTGTCGACCTTCAATTAGTTCACCATAAATATAAAAAAGCCATAGCTTTAGATAATAGATAACATAATTAGGAATTCGCATAAGAGATGAGAAGGAGCATTAATACCAGTGGAGAAGAAGATGAGAAGAAGAGCAGAGACAAGGACAAGTCTGAGAAAGCAAGATCGACCCATTGTTGCCTGTTCGATTCTGTGAGATGGGCTGCCTTCAGATTTTATATTAATCCCATAATTCCTGTTTTAGATTTTATAAAAATAGAAAAAGAAAAAGGGAACCTTTTGGTTCAAGGTTTCCACGAAACTGCTTCAGCCTCAGATCCAATGAAGAGAGAGAGTTGATTTAGGCATGGAGATATAATTTTATATATTTGCATCACTTATTAAGTATAGTTAACCGATTTGATAAGTTGACGAGATGCAAACTCGCACGTGTGTAGCCCCATGACCCCACGTGCTGCGTGAACTGGAATCAAACTCCTCATGTCTGCCACTGCCACTTACATGAAACGATAATCATTCGTGTTATCTGTTAAAGCTCTTTTGCGTCTCCTAATTTTGAAAAAATAAATGACATTGGAATTTTTTTTTTTCACAAATAAATCCCAAGTGGTATATCGACCTTCTAAATTCATAATATTTTATTTTTAAAATTTATAATATAAAGTTTTTTCTCCATTTTTCAACACCAAGTTAGGCTCTCTTCCACCAAGGTTGTCAAGTTGCAATGTGGAAGTCTTGGTTTTTAGGCAAAAGAGAAACGCAATCTCATTGCCGCCTTTATTTTAATTTTTTTCATGCAAATCAGATCGTGAAAAGATATATATATATATATTAAATCTGTGAAGTTCTAATATATTTTTGTATTTATATCCAAATGTAAAAATATTTTGTAATAAAATATCGATTTGCGAGTTTTAATTTTGATTTATAATCAAGGGAAACAAGGGTTGACGTGGTTGATTTTATTAATGATATAAAGATGAGTGGAACGGCATTCACTACAATTCTAAATTTTAATTTTGTTCTTCACTTTAATCGCGGTCGGTCCATAACACAGAACAAGAAGAAAATAAAAACTACAAATCATATGAAAGCATGTGAGTATGTGATGGATGCCGGGGGTTTTAATAATTTACCAAACTTTTATTACAGAATTAATCATCTAAAATTAAGCCTGGATTTGTCGGCCGGCAATTCATTTTCCAATGAAAAAAATATATAAAATTGTTCATAAATACTGGGCTTGGGCTTGGGCTTGGGCTTATGTAACCGAAAGCCCAAACTTTTTTTTGTCCTCTAATCTTGTAAAAATATTATTTATAAAAAAACCACTGAATTAGTTAGGATTTTTTTTTTGGTGGTAAAATTAGTTAGGATTTTGTGCGTACCAATATGTTAAATGACACGTACTAAAAAGTCCAAGATAATTATTTTGATTGGCAAAGAGGAAAACTCCGTACAATTATTTTCTTTTGTATTATTTCTAAATTTAAAAACAAATTATAATTTAGTAATTATTTTTTGCGGGCTGTCTTTGTTTGACGATTTGGCGTGAAAGAGAAAAACATTTGAGGATTTCAGTGGATATTCAATTGAAGTCTTTGGTAATCTAGTGAGCCATAGAAGTTATTGAAAAGAAATTGTTTTTAATAATAATAATAATAATAATAATAATTTGGGGCCCAAGTCCATTCAATTTCAATTTTCAAGGGTTACACTAAAGAGTACATGGACGGACGATTGTGCATTGACTGCATTCGTCGTTCATAATCTTAGTTTTCCTTCTCATACGATCAATTCATTTGGACCAAAGAAAAACTCGAACGATGAAGACGACGATTCAAATTCCTCGTTTATATTGAATATTCTGTTTCTGCGTTGTCGTCTTCTTCTTCTCCGGAGTGCTTCCTTGTTCTTCTTTTCGATTCTTCCGTGGCGTGAATCAATCTCGAGTACGCTTCCCTACTGTTCTATTCGATTCAGCTCCTTTCTGGATCGATTTCGATCGGATTTGAATAGTCGGGTTATTCAATTCTATTGTCTAGGGCAGCGACGAAGACCCCGATTCGTTGTATGGAATAGGAAGTTTCAAAATTTTCAGTTCTGGATGATTTTTCACCTGGCGGATTGATCTGATTTCGGATTTTGAATTGAATCCGGGGGTTCCGATTGGGTTTCGATCAGATTGAACTCAATTTGTGTCCGATTACCGGCTAACTCGAGATTTCTTACGTTTCTGGAAATTTTCTCACTTTTCAGGACTTCTGGTCGATCTGATTTCAGGTTCTGCTCACTGGTTTGATCGGGAATCGTGGTGGGAATACTGGGTTTCCGTCAGACTGAATAGGGTTTCATTCAAATCATCAGCTCTACTTGAAAGTATCTTCAAGCTTTGGAAATTTGGCTGGAGTCGGGTTCGGTCTGATTCGGCTTTTTTGATTCGTCGGCTTGATCCAAAGTCGTGCGACTGGATTTTCTGGTATTGAGAAGATCGAACCAGATTCAATCGGGGTTTCTTCCATCTTTCTCGAGGGTTTCGAGTGTCTGAGATGGTATATCTCCATAGCTCAATCTCGGTCTGCAACTCCGTCGACCACACTCTGGCACCGATCATGGCGAACTCCTTAAACTCATCAGATTCTCATCCGAAAGCGAGGAACGGTAGAAAATCACACACGTCACCGAGTTCGAGCTGCCCCGAATTTTCTCGATCGGCTGCGATCGACGTCGTGATCCTGATCGCCGTGATCACTGCCTGCGTTTTCCTCTTCTTCCCGTGCATCAAATTCGTCACTGTGAAATCGGTGCAGCTCTTGGTGGAGCTCTCGTGTCTGGCCAGAGGAGAGATTTCGAGGAACCCAGTAGTGTACGGATCCATAGCTCTGAGCATAACATGCGCAGCGATCTCTGCATGGGTGGTTCTGCTCTTATGCACCTCCAAAAGATGTCGGAACCCTAACTGCAGAGGTCTAAAGAAAGCAGCCGAGTTCGATATCCAGATCGAGAAAGAGGATCGTGTGAAGAATTCGACCAGCGGCGTCAGCAAAAGGGGATTGTTTCAGGTGCCGCGTGACCATCACCGTGAATTGGAGGCAGAGCTGAAGAAAATGGCGCCGCCCAATGGAAGAGCAGTGCTGGTTTTGAGGGCAAGGTGTGGTTGTTCTGTCGGGAGATTAGAGGTTCCTGGCCCGAAGAAGCAGCAAAGGAAGATCAAGAAATGAAGGGAGGAGGGTTCTGTTTAATCTTTCCTCTTACCATTGTTATAAGATTCTGACAGTGGCTGGCTATCACAGGAACTTGTATCTTTACCCATGTCTTTAAATAAAAGCTAAAAACATGATGGGAATAAGACATTGTAAAACGATTACAGTAGTGAAGAAGGTTCTGTTTAATCTTTCCTCTTAATGCTCTAATTCATGGTTAAGTTAAAAGCTCATCATCATCTGCTCGGTATCTCCCATGAAGTCTGAAACTTTCTGGCAATTTACTGAAAGATTCTTCTTTCCCTTTTCCCATCTTCTTGATTTTCTCTACCTTCGTTTTCACCATTGATACTTGGCAGCAACAAGAACTTCCTCATACTTCGCAGCAGCATTATCCCAGCTGAGATCTTGCATCATTCCTCTTCTCTGAAGCCCCTCCCAGCTCTTCTTGTACTCCCTGTACGTCAACAAGCAGTTTCCCAACGCATGTATCAGTTTTCCCGCCTCGGCTCGGTCAAATGTCCACCCGAGTCCCGTTTCGTTAAACGGGTCAAACGGCTGAACCGTGTCCCTCAGCCCTCCGACCGCATGGACCACGGGGACTGTGCCATAGCTCATCGCGTAAAGCTGGTTCAGACCGCACGGTTCAAACCTCGATGGCATCAGTAAGATGTCAGCTCCCGCTGTTATTCTGTGTGCTGTTCTCACCGAGAACCCGACCCATCCTCTGGCTTTGTCTCTGTATTGATTCTCTAGCTGTCTGAGAACTTCTTCCAGATCTTGCCGACCAGTTCCTAACATTACCAGCTGCACATCCTGACCCATCATCCATGGAACCGCCTCTGCTATCAGATCAACACCCTTCTGGTGATCCAACCGTCCGATAAACCCAATCAATGGAACATCAGGCCGGACTGGTAAGCCAAGCTCTTTCTGTAACGCAGCCTTGCACTGGGATTTTCCCGTCTGGAGAGTCTCCAGTGAATAGTTTGTATAACCATCAGACTGCAGATGGATATCGAATCTCGGGTTCCATTCTTTCGAATCAATCCCATTCACGATCCCTCGAAATTTCCAGTCGCTCTGGTTTATGATGTCGTGTAGACCCCACCCTCCCTCCGAGGTTTTCAGCTCCCATGCATAGCCATGGCTGACCGTGAGAACTCTGTCAGCAGCTTTCAGTCCAGCTGCGAAAATGTTGAAGTGCTCACCTCCAACCGGGTCGTATAGTTTGAAAATTTCCATGTAATGCTCCGGTAGATCCACGTAGAAGAAATCATCTACTGGTCCTCGACCCTGTATATATCCAACAGATTAATCAGAGATTTCTGTTCAAAGATTTACAGACTAAAACATTACAGAGGCAACGAAAAGAAAAATCGCTGACCTGGTGAGCAATGTTATGGATTACAAGAACAGATCTCGTGTATTTCATTATTCCATGATCTCGGTAATATGCTTTCAGGTAAACCGGTAACAATGCGGTGTGCCAATCGTTCGCTATAAATACCAAATTTCCATCTCCATAGCACACACCGCCGCAAGGAACATGCCAAGGGACCTGAAAAATACCCAAAAAAGGAAATCGGTAATAGTAAAACCAATATATATATATATATATATATATCAACTCGACTAAAATCTCGATCTTGAGAATCTTAACCTCAACAGCAGCCTTGCAGAACAAAACCATGCGTTTCAAGATATCCTGGAAGAAGGGAATGATAGAATGAGGAACCCTTTTTTTCTGTAACTTAAAAGAAAAGAAGAGAGTAGATCAAGATATCTTACAAGTCGGTTTCCGCCATAAATGTTATTGCCCAGATGACGGAATGAAGGGCTATCCACGAAAACAAAATCCACACCGTCGATATATGCCTGATAGTACAACACTTCCATATCCTGCAGTGAAGAAGTGTACTTGATAAGCAATTATCGTATTTCAAACGAATCATAAAAAATAGAGCAAGAAAATATCGAATCAGGAGAAAAACTGAAGCTGGATGGATACTTGAAGCAGATGATTACCTGACCATCGACCTTGTACCTCTTCCTTACTCCTGTGTCTTGAGCTTCGGCATAGTCACCATACCGAGGAACCACAACCTAGCAGAACAAGAATGCATTGTAGCTGTAAGATGAATGGAAAAAAGAAATGATTCACCAAACATGCGTGTAAGAAAAACTACCCAATCTACCTCTAACTCAGTCTTCTTCATATGACGTTTTTATATTCTCTGTCCATAACCAGACAAAAGGGCTTACACCAAACATAGGAGACAATCTATGGTAATCAAATGAGATAAAATACAGCAACAGCAGAAATTTTTTTACCATGACCCTATGTCCCCTGCGAGCCAAAGCCTTTGGCAACGAGCCGGCCACATCTCCCAGCCCACCTATGAGATTCTTAATGTTTCAGCTCAGATATCAAAAGAAGTCAACCGATGCAACGAGCTAATTTTACTCTTAAGGGAAAAAAAAAAAGATTGATATGTTCCATCTCTTAACTCTAAACTTGGAAACTTAACTGAGAACACAAAGATAAACCAGACATCTGTGGAAATCTCAACAGATCAGAGATATAGCCAATGGAGGAATACCTGTTTTCACAAATGGAGCACACTCTGCGGCTACCAATATCACATTCATGGCATTTGCCCCGGCCAATGGAGGTGGCTTCACTTCTTCTGCGGGTTCACTTGTTTCGCTACGGGTTTCATATGGGTTTTCCCCTCTGGTGACTGTACCCACATTTGTCTGAAAACTAGATGCTTCTAACGTCTTTCCCAGAAAAGATGGCAATGGGTGGTCGGACCGAACTGCACCAGAGCTAGATTTGCCCAGCTGTCCAGGAGAATTCATATCGGGGGACATTTTCTTGGGAGAGATTACACTGGACTGATGTTTCTCGGTGAATGTAACACCAGAGGTTGGTTTATAGGGCGGGTTTCCATTGGAGGATGGTCTCTCTGGAGATGATGTTACCTTAGAGGAGGGCTTAAAAGAAGAGGTAAGTGTAGAGGAAGGTTTCTTATTAAACGTTACTCGGGAGGAAGGTTTCTCAGGAGAGGTTTTGCTGGAGGGAGAGTTCACTGATTTACTTTTTTTCTGGGAACCGTTAGAGATGATACTAGAAGACATGGTCTTGGTTTCTGGTTCTTTGTCCAATGTCGAACTGCCATAGCTGCTCCGATAAACACGATCATTTCCGTCTCTATCGATCTTCTCTTTAATAGCTGCACCAGTACCCATGTTTCCAGAACTCTTCTTTTCTTCTTTATCAGAATCTTTGTCTTCCATCAACTGGGGCACGCTATCTTTTATAGATGAGACCAGCTTCCTCCTTTCAGCAATCTGAACTGACATGAAAATGGACAAAAAAAAGAAAAGAAGATAATTTCAAAAGACAAAAACGCTAAAGCATGATTCTTAACAAAACCAGATGAAAAAAAGGTCTCGATGTATCTAATCTAATCTAGAAGTAACCATAATGTTCATACCGTTCCTTAAATGAACAGCATTTCGTAACCACACTCAGCTCAGAGCTTATCACAGAATGAGATGAAAAGATGATGAACTTTCTACCCAAAAGATCTCCAGAAAATTGCAATCTAACTATATCAACCAAAAGTGATCAATTCCAAAAGTAACTTTGAGACTAATCTCTTTTTTCAAAAGTCTCTTTTTCTTCTTTCTTGTAAACAAAAAAACCAATTTTGCATGAAACTAAACCTAAAAGACACTTCCCCCTTTTCAGACAAACCCAGAAAAAAAGATCCGATGAACATCAAATTTAGTCCCCAATAATCTAAAGTTCAAAATTGCTAACTGACTGGAGCAAATTTCACCATAGATTCCAACACATTCCATCAAAATTAGCACGGAATTCCAATTTCACCTGCTGAAGAAGGTCCCTTTGCATGTCGAGAACCTTTTTGCTCTTCTCGATGGTGGCTTGAAGCGCATCCTCCTGTTCTTCGTCTTGAAGAAGCGCATCCTCCTGCGGTTTGTCCCCACGCGCTCCTTCGGCGGAGTCGGAGCCCGTAGCCTCCACGCGCCGTGGAAACTTCCATCGATGTTCCAAAACGAAGCGTCCATGGCGAAATGGCGACGGCCCTCTCGCCGAATCGCAGGAAATTCGGACAACCCGACAATTCCTCGACCTAATCGAAGCGAAAGATGAACTGCGCCGACTCTGACGGTGGCTCTCGATCTGTAGAAGAAGGGGATAGGAGCTCTCAACGACAGATGCCATGTAAACGCCCGATGAATTGCCTCAACTAACTAAATTTGACCAAATCAAGCAACTTTGGCAAGTTTCATCAGATAATTTCTGAGAATTGGACAGACCCAGTTGAGAAAACGGCACCCAGATGATGAAACCAAGGATTTCGCGAGAAAGACGAGAGCTTTTGGGAAAATAGTCGGAAGTGTGAAGGCATGGTATGGTGTTTGGTGGGTGGCTAATAGAAAGAGATCACCATGGAATCAGAGCAGTGGCGGATCCAAAATGGTGTATATATTATGTATACTATAATATATAAAATTATCATAACGTACAATTAAAATCTGATATCTATAAGCGTGGCAATATTCCGCTATTATTTTGTAGTAAAACTTGGCTTTGTTTAGGGGATGGTTTAATCGGGTTGCGCTTCGGATTTCCTTCGATTATATTTGGTTCTCATTATTTCGGTTTTAAAAAAATTATAACATTAGTTTGGATTCGATTTGATTATGATAAAAAATACTTATTTTTTTTAAAAAATTTATTGTTTTTAGGTTATTGTGTTATCGGTTGGATTTGGATTTAGGTTTATTTTTTCCGGTTTTATAGAAATCATACGTATCCTCTTTTATATCTAATTCGGTTCAGTTATTAACTAGGTAGGTTTGTTCAATTTTAATTAAATCTCGTATTATTAAACTGATACTAAAAGCTATTAAAAATTATATAAAACGATGCATATATACATGTAAATCGATGGTTCACGTGGGATTAAAAAAAGGAACACGTGGGGACCACCCCATCATGGCCACATGTTTGCAGAAAACGTGGGCCTCCACAATTAGATTTTCTCTCGTAAACTAGGAGCAAATGGGAAGGAGAGAAAGGAAAATTAGGATAAGTAATTTTCATTCATGTTATCTGGGTCTTTGGCCCAACTTATATCTCCTAGCTTCGGGAGTAGGCGACAAGAACCATAGAGTAACACCCTCCCAACCGAGAAATATCTCTTCCTATCCATCGGCTGGTTTCGAATCGGCGACCAGGACCCAGAAAACAACACCCTTTCGCCACTCGACCACCCATTTATGGGTTATGTCTATGTATTTCACAAGATTTATCATAAAAGATCAAGAACCCGTTCTCGTAGTTTAACATTTCAAAGAACAAAGCTTTGATGATGATGATGATGATGACGAACATGTGATCCTCGTTGTCCACATCTTCTCTCTCTCTACGTGTGTAACAATGGACCAAGAGTTCCACAAACTTGCGTACCCAACTCTCAAAACCAGTTTGCAAACAAAACCCACGTCTCAAAACTCGGGATTTCGACCTCAAACTCGCCAAGAGAAATCTACCGACATTACGTGTGTGCACGAAGAGAGAGATTGGCTGAGTTCGGCTGTCTCTAGGGTCCAAGGTACTTAGGGTTCATCACGTCATCTCTCGGGACGTTTCCTGCTCAGCCCGCGAGAGCTGAACCGGCGGGTCCCACTGAATCCATTGTGGAGAAGGAGACCGACGTATGCGTATCGTTAAACAAGGTCCAGGGGATCAGAGATTTGATTAGCGTCTGAAATTATTCAGATGAATTCATGGGCTCTGTGAGGGCCAGCTGGTATTATAATCTCTTATCCTCACTGGTATTTTCCCCAAGAATATAAGCAAAGTATAACAAAAGAGAAAAACAATCGAATTAATAACCTAAAGCTACGTACCCAGCGCAAAGTGAATTCATTCATACTATTAATCACCAGATCACTTCAAAGGCGACCGAGTATGTCCTTAACCGATTGGTAAGTTCCGGTTATCACAACCACAATGCCCATCAGTATAATACCGATTAGAACCATGGTTTCGATCCCGAATCTTCTGTATCTCCCCGAGATCTTCAGGTAACACAGGCAAGGCAATACAACCGAAGCCGTCGTGCTCAAGAAAGCTCCGACCAAATTCATGAGCTCGCCGAAGAACGGGAGAAGCAACGCCACGATCACGTTGCTGATAACCAATGCTGTACCCAGAAACAAACCGGCGGTTCTCTTGTTTGGCCATGAACCGGGTAACCGGTTTCTCGCCGCGTCTATGATTGGTGTCACCATTAAAGCGTATTTGGCGATAGGATTCACCAGCGTGGTGTAGATCGCCACTCTTGAACTTAGCTTCTGCGTTGGGAGATTCAACGTTATCTGCGATTTGACCTCCGAACCAAACATTAAGTAGCCAAGAATCGCCATTGATGCGTACGTAAACGTGCATAACGTGAAACACACGATCATGACCTGCAACCGGTGAAAACCGGAAAGAAATAAAACAAGCCAAAGGGCATGTTTTTGGAGTGGAAAAACACGTGATTAGGGTATTAGTCGGTTCAAATGTATACCTAAAACATTGAATGAAGAATAGAAACTCACGAGTGGGAACTGGCGTTTGTTCTTCATGGAAGTGTAGAGAGTAGGAAAAACAGGGTGGGCGCAGTAACAAAACGCGTATAAGCTCAAAGAAGTTGTGATTCCTCTGAGATCGAACATCTTTGATCCGCTGTTCTTGAATCCGATCCCGTCAAAGGCCCCGACCCAGAAAACCGAAGCGAGAATCACGACGGAAGCGAACACACCGCTGGCGGAAACGTAAGAGAGGATCCTGAGATCGTCCAACCAGACGGAGGGAAGAACGAAGAGGGCGGCGAGAAGGACGAACATCTGTCGACCGCCGAGATGGAGACCAAAGAGGTGGAAACCGACAGAGGGGAAAAGTTTGTCGAGGTTGTCTCCTTCCAAGATCAGGAAGCTTGTTCCGACGAGGTAGAGTTCGAGGTTGACGAAGATGGAGACGATGAGTCTTCCGGTTTTTCCGAAGGCTTTGTGGCCGATGTCGGGGTAAGACGCGAGAAGAGGGTCCATGTCCATGCATCTTTGGATGAGGATGCTGCAGTAGAACGTTACGGCCGCCATGAGGAACAGTAGAATCAAACTTAGCCATCCTCCCGATGCTAATGCATATGGAACTGACAATATGCCGACCCCTAAGGACAAAAGAAGAAGAACTCGTTTTTTTAACGATTTTAAAAAGAAAAACGAAATAAACAAGATTTATGAGCAAATAGATGAAATATTTATTCGGACAAAAGATACTAAGAATAAAGTTTCACCAATTTTGATATAATCAAGTTTCAAGTGATTAATAATAGTAAATTATTAGAATAAAACGTTAATTTTGAATAATTTTTTTCTTAAACACCAGATCTGAAAAGAGAGTTTAATCAAATTTCAAAGGGTTAATAAACATTGTAAATAGTTAGAATATTACGAAAAACAAATCAAGAAATTGTCATCTTAAAAGAAAAAAAAAATATAAAAAAATCAGAATTTGTCAATTTCTGCAAAACAAAATCTAAATTTTATTTTATTTTTTAAATAAAATCTAAATTTTATTTTATTTTAAATAAAATCTCAATTTTATTTTTCAATCGAAAATAAATCTAAACTTTATAATAATTATCATTTTTATATCTAAATACCGATATAACATATTGATAATAAAATGACACGTTACGTTTATATATATATATGTGTGTGTGTGTGTGTGTGTGCAGATAACCGACGGAGAGCTTGAAAATTCCAACAGGGTGATTGTCGCTGTATGAAAACAGCTTACTCAACGTTTCGAAAAAAATATGATGCATACTTAGCTTTTTGGAGATGACAACGTTTTTTTTTTTTTTTTTTTTTGGGGGGGTTTTTATACACTGAGAAAGTCCGAGAAACGATTAAAGATGGACGAATAGAATCCAAGAGACAGAAGGATCCAAGAAGAGATCTTATCTTATGACTTGTGAGTGTCATGATGAGGAACAGTTTCCCAAACCCGAAAGAACAAAACGATAACATCTCTTACCAAATTCTATCAATTGGGTTTTAAGAAAAGGATCAAACACACAAAACACGGTTTGGGTTTCTAGCCAAACCCACCAAATTCTTATCAATTATTTTGCTAACAAAAAAAAAAAAAAAAAAAAAAGAACAGTATAACGTTTTTATATAGAGTTATCTTCAGAGATATTTGTGTATATCTTTGGATTAATTAATGAAAATTATATAAAAGATAGCTGAATTATTGATTCCATAGAGCGAACATGGAGGGGGGGTGGGTGTGTGTGTATAGGGTTTATATATATATATATATAAATAACCTGATAAGGCGTTGATGCCATGGAAACAAGTCTTGGAGAGAGCAGAGGTGCTCGAGTTCTTGTTCAGACTCTCACATATTTCTCCTTCTTCGTCTTTACAGTGCTTCTGCTCTGCGACGATGAGTGGCGAAGACAGGAACTCTTCTTCACGACGAGACATGTTGTCTTATAATGTCCTAGAGAGAGAGAGAGAGAGAGAGAGAGAGAGAGAGATAGAGAGATGTAGAGAGAGAGAAAGAAGAAGAACAGTATAACGTTTTTATATAGAGTTATCTTCAGAGATATTTGTGTATATCTTTGGATTAATTAATGAAAATTATATAAAAGATAGCTGAATTATTGATTCCATAGAGCGAACATGGAGGGGGGGTGGGTGTGTGTGTATAGGGTTTATATATATATATATATAAATAACCTGATAAGGCGTTGATGCCATGGAAACAAGTCTTGGAGAGAGCAGAGGTGCTCGAGTTCTTGTTCAGACTCTCACATATTTCTCCTTCTTCGTCTTTACAGTGCTTCTGCTCTGCGACGATGAGTGGCGAAGACAGGAACTCTTCTTCACGACGAGACATGTTGTCTTATAATGTCCTAGAGAGAGAGAGAGAGAGAGAGAGAGAGAGAGAGATAGAGAGATGTAGAGAGAGAGAGAGGTTATGAGGGATGGATTTGGAATGTAGGCGTTTCTATATATAGAGATTCAAGTCACGAGAGTAGACGAGCATCGTTGGATCGCCGCTTGGTTTACTATAATGGAGGAGATGTTTCCATATCATTAACCATCAACTTTTTTTTAATTGAAATTTTTTGAAGAATTTATATTTCCTTAAAATCCTTGTTTTATTAGGTTTCCTACTTGATTAGGATATTTTATCAAGTTTAGATGAGAAAATCTAAATCAAATAGGAAACGTATGATAAGCATAAAAGATATTATTTTTAAAAAAAAAAATATATCAAGCTGGTTTTGTTAGAAAAGATCCTGAATGTAAGTAGCATCTAGGAGTCCAAAATGATTTCTTTCTAAGGTATTATACCGTAATTGTTTTTAAAAAAATAATAATCGAATATTTTAAACCAAAATCCAGATTAATATCAGGATCAAAGATCAAAGATATGAAATATATGACTTCTTCTCAAATTTGAATTTCGAATTCGGAATAAAAAACACGTTTTGCGCTCTTTTTTCACCCGGTTGAATATCGATTGAGAAAAACCGATTTATTATCTTGTGTGTGGCGAATTTTAATATGGTCAGAAGAACTCATACGGATGATCGCCCACAAATACGGTCCCCGTGGGGGCGGAACATGCAAAACGTGGAAAACGCTTACGAGTGAGGAGACGAACCCGGTCGATATGGTTTTGTCATGTCGCTTTAAGGAGTGAGTTATGGGACACTCGATATATCTCCTGAGACACGAATTCCGGTGTCGAATTTTATGATACCCGGATCTGTACTCGCAACTCTTGGGTGTTCCAACCCGGCAAAACGTCTAGGTACGAACCGAGAAAAAAAAAACATATAATTGCGCATATATATGTATATATATATTGTGCATTTTTCCACTTGTGAAACTAATGAAACACGTTATGCATTACCCCGTTTCATCAAGTTTGGGTTACTGAAAACTGAATTGAACTTAATCGAATTATATTTAAATTCGAATTAACCGTAACCATGTAAATTAAACCTAACCGTTTATCATCTCATGTATTATCAAGAAAAAATCACAGAAAAAGTACCTATACTTTTACAAAACTCCCACATAAATAATTATACTATAAAATTCCCAAATAAATATCGTTCCACTCCCACATAAATACGGAGTGTATTCGGAATTTGGCGAAAAAGAATCACATGCGGTCGTCATCGGACGACACATGATTGTTGTGTTGTTTCTTGATGAAATCATCGGGTTTGTGCTTCCAGGATGATAATTGATGAACGGATGAGATGTGTTCTCTTCGTTTCGACGATTGAGATGACTTTTCTTGCTGCAAGTATATCCTATGGTAGATGACGTGGATGCTTAGTCGGATTTTAGAACGCTGAATCATCAATTTTTTGGGTTGAACAGTGACACGTTAAACGCCGTCAATGTTTGATGTTTTATATGGTAATTTTTTAAAAGTATGGATATTTATTTGGGAGTTTTAAAAAGTATAGGTATTTATTTAGGAATTTTATAGCATAGGTATTTATGTGGAAGTTTTGTAAAAGTACGAGTATTTTTCTGCGATTTTCCTTATTATCAATTAGTACACAATATATGTTATATTTAGGTATACAGATTAACATAACACATTTGTTTTATATAGTTTTGTGATTAATATACTTTTAACATTTTAATAATGTTTTGAATTTTGGTTCATTGTTGTGATCAAATTGAACAGAACCAGTTTTTTTTGTTATAATTTTAATTATTCATAAATGAACCAAACCATAAACAAACCGGGTCAAACTAAACTTCAATTAATTGCAACAGAACCGAACTGTTCGTCTCTACTTTTCATGATGAAATACATTATGAGCCTAGTGGCATCTTCAGGGGTGAAATTGTTCATTTTGGGTCCCAAATCAACAACTAAAATAATGGGGTCAAAATGTAAAAACAAAAAACATAAAGACCCTTGCACACATAATTGAAGGGTTTTGAAGTTGTCACTCTGAACGGTTCTCTCCCTCTCCTTCTTGTGCATCCATTGTCGCCCCCGTTTTCTTTTCCCCAAACCTCGCCGTCTCCGGAATCCGTTACCGCCGGTGTATTTATTCCGGTAACGAGAGTCTCTGGTAAGTTCATTCCTTTTCTCTCTTCGTATTATTCTCCTCATCGACGAGTGCTCGGGTTTCCATTCGGCCGATTCAGACCGTGATTTACTCTGCCGGGTCTTGGATTTTGAGCCCGTGGTTCCATGATATCTTTGGAAATTGCATCGCCGCCTGATTCGACGCAATACGGCGGTTTTCCTGTCGAGTTTATGGTGGAAAATTAGGGTGTTTATCGCAAAATTTTGGCCCATACCATCCCGCCACTCTCATTTCCGGAATCCGATCTCATAATTTTGATTACTGGTGGAATTTAGTGGGAACCCGTTGATTAATGGGTTAGGGAGCTGTTTGAAATCTGAATTATCAGTGGATTAGTGGTTTAGGCAATCGATTGTTCCTTCTATCAACAAATTCTCTTCTTTTCACATCAGTTCTTACCAAAAAAAATAAAAGACAAGGTCACGTCCTGGGTTTGGTTGCTAAGAACTGATGTGAAAGGAAGAGAAATTGTTGATAGAAAGAATTAAGTAATTTCCATTTCCAATGGGAGTCTCTCAAGTTAAGATGGCCAGTGAGTCAAGGATTGTTGTTGGGTTTGAGAAAAATTCTCCACTGTCATGACTCTAGACTTGTGTTCTCTTTGTTGTGAAATGGTTAAAAGCTGCATGTTCTGCTGTGATTTTAGGAATATAAACCTTAACTTTTTGAAGGAAAGAGATTTCTTTTATGTCTGATTTTGGATTGATCTTCTCAAGGGCTATGTTGCAGGTGCTCTTATAATCTTTTTGAAGTTGTGAAGATGAATATATTTAGCTCAGCTACATCGATATGCAGAAGGGTTGGTTTGAGGGAAATAATCACCGAGGTCCCTGCATACACTAGCAGCATTTCTGGTATATATATATCATCTATCTCAGTTTCTTGTTATAAATCTCTTCATGTCTCTTTGCTCTTTCTTCTGGTATCACTTTGCCACTTTCCCCATTGTTGTGATAGATGGTTCTTTCAGTGGGTTGAGCTTGGTCTTGAAGCGTTGGGCTATGAAGAAGACTGCTGGATCCACAAAGAACGGGCGAGACTCTAAACCCAAGAATCTCGGTGTCAAGAAATTCGGAGGAGAGGTAAGAATACGAATACTCTGTCCGCGTGTGGTTTAGTTTCCTGGCGTAGGAAAATGATTCTTACCAAATGAATGATCTGTAGAGTTATATGGAAAACCGAATGCGGGTTCAATGCAGAATGTGATAGCAGGAAACATCATAGTCCGGCAAAGGGGAACGCGGTTTCATCCAGGGGACTACATCGGAATGGGCAAGGACCATACCCTCTTTGCGTTGAAGGAAGGCCGTGTCAGGTTTGAGACACATAAGCTGAGTGGACGCAAGTGGGTTCACGTTGATCCCAAGGACGGACATGTTCTTCACCCTGTCTTCGCCAAGGCAGCCGATTCGACAAAGATGGAGACTGCTTCTTCACTGTGAGTGACAAGTTTGATGAGACCGTATCTCTTGTTTGTTCTATTACTTTCGGATTGCCTTTTAATGCCCCGTTTGATTGATGAATCCGAATTAATTCAATGCGTTATGGTTTAAGATGATTTTCACATGTAAAATGAAAATAAAGAAGATATTAGAAAAAAATCCTATATAAATCCCTCAACTTTTCAAAATGTGACAAATATATATTTTAACTTTTAATTTGATAAAATAATAATTCAAATGTTGAAATGTATCACATATATAAGGATTTTGGTTGTAAATTACCCTTAATTTTAAAAGTCGGTATATTAATTTGCTACATTTTAACGATTTGGGTATTATATTGTCAAATTGAAAAATAATATATTTATTTGATATATTTTAAAAAATTGAGGTATTTATATGAGATTTTTTAGAGTAAAACTCTGTTTTGCATCTATCCCAACAAGTTGTTACACTTACAAATTTGATACATTTTAATATTTTGGGTATTCTATTGTCAAATTAAAAAGTAATATATTTATTTGGTATATTTTAAAAAATTAATTTATTTATATGAGATTTTAGCTTAGCCAACTCGTTTTGCCCCTGTCCCGACAAGTTATTTATTTATATGAATGGCTTGAACTGCTCATTCTTATGTTTATTAGAAAAAATAATTGTAACAACTTTTTTACACTTCGGTTAATTCGTTTCAATTCGGACATCGGTTATATTTATTTTCTAATGATCCCATTTGGTATAGTTAGATCTTATTGAAATTTAAGACAGCTAATATATATTGTATATGGAACGCGTGTACAACTACCTCATGCTTGAAAACAATTTTATGAAAGAAAAATAATAATGTGTACGTTCAATGCATATTCACTTTCATTTGGACACTTGTATAAATTTATGGTACATCCATTAACATGTAAAAAAATATTTAAAAAAACGGTTACATGATTAAATAAATTAGAGAAAAATAAAATAAAATCATCCTCGTTATGGGCATACAAGCGTCGGTGTGTCATGTTCGCCGTACCAAAAGTATGCTATTTCTGCTTAATTTTTATCCATATTTTTAGGAAACTATTATTTATTGTTTATTGTTTTGCAGTACAACCTTAAGTGAAAACAAAAGTCTTATAATTTATAAGCCTCTTTCTTTTTTAATTAACCAATGATTGTGATTCATTAATAATCAGCATGTTTTGATAAACAGAAGACAACGTTGACTTTGATTAGACAAACAGAGAAAATGCAACGTGACGTGTCACCTTTTGGAAAAAGGGGTTGCTGATTAAAAATTTACGCATCGTGGCATAATTAGCCCCTCTCTTTGGCGTCATTAAGGATCTCTCATGAGGGCATTTATGTCAAACTATTTCATGATTACGAATTTTCAAGAATCACGTCAATGTTGAATGTTGATTACAAGGGCTATTTAAGATGCATCTTACTAAATTCCCTTCTAGGCCTAAAAAAGAATATGGTTGCAAACATATATACACATGGTGTCAACGTTATGAAGATACAAATTTGAAAAAGGAAAAAAGACGCGAGACGAGTTATTAGGCATATTTATTACACTTATCCTTTCGTTAACCCTAGGTTGGGGGTCAACAAACCATGGTTAGAAAAAGGGACAAAACAAATCCCTGAAAGAACCCCGTTATGTGGTTAAGAAGCTCAGCCACACAAGTTGGATTTCTCATTATCAACAGCCCTCACTTCTCCTGTCTCCCCTCACCTAAAAAACAGTGATGGAAACTTATATCTCAAAATCAGGGGAAAAAACCCATATCTCCAAATCCCCAAAGATACAGATTTGGCGCAAACCCTTTTCCTCTCCCCATTTGGATCTGCTTCATTAAAACCCTAGATGTTTGAGCCATGGAGATAGCTCATATGGTAACGACTACTACCAATACCGTGATCATACCCGACCCGGATTCTCCGGGACTCGAACTCGAAGCCCCGACCCGGATCCTACCCGCCAAGCCCATTTCCTTCTCTAACGGCAAACGCCACCACCATCCTCCGGCTGCCTCGCCGGCGGTAGGAGCGGTAACGTACAGAGAATGTCAGAAGAACCACGCCGCCGGGATCGGGGGCCACGCCCTCGACGGCTGCGGCGAGTTCATGCCGTCGTCTTCGTCCGACCCCACGGTCCCAATCTCCCTCACCTGCGCCGCTTGCGGCTGCCATCGTAACTTCCACCGCCGTTCATCCTCCTCCGCCCTCGAGTTCCGACCGCAGAACCGTCACCATCCGCCGCCTCCCCTCCCGCTTCGCAGCCCGGACGAGGATTCCGCCTCCCCTCCTCCGATCTCCTCATCTTATATGCTCCTCGCTCTCTCCGGTGGGAGAAACTCATCCGCCGCCGGTGGAACTACGGCGGGTCCCGGGGCCGCAGAACCGTCACCATCCGCCGCCTCCCCTCCCGCTTCGCAGCCCGGACGAGGATTCCGCCTCCCCTCCTCCGATCTCCTCATCTTATATGCTCCTCGCTCTCTCCGGTGGGAGAAACTCATCCGCCGCCGGTGGAACTACGGCGGGTCCCGGGGCGGCTCCGGGGACGCAGAAGCGATTCAGGACGAAGTTTAGTCAGCACCAGAAGGAGAGGATGTTGGATTTCGCGGAGAGGTTGGGGTGGAGGATGCCGAAGGCTGCGGAGGACACGGCGGTGAGGGAGTTTTGCCGGCAGATCGGAGTGGAAAAGGGGGTTTTCAAGGTGTGGATGCATAACAACAAGAACACCGGACGCGGCGGAACTCGAAGGGGCTTCGCCTTTGTCGGCGTAGACCGCCGTGAGAAGTTGGCGGGGACTGAAGATGGCGGCGGTGTGGACGCGGAGGGGTCGTTTTCACCTGAAGGGGGAAAAACGTCGTCGTTTTAGTCGAATTCTTTTAATTATCTGGATCATGTGTTTTTTTTTTAATTGTTGTAATCTTTGTTTATTTTTTGTATTTAGAGTTAGGGTTTTAACTTTTAATTAATGCCCACTGTTGTGTTTTTTTGTTAGAGATGTTTGGTTGAACAAGATAAACGGGAATTTATTTTTGGGTAATTTCCCCATTATGCGATTTAGGGGGAAAAAAAATGTACACGGAATTTTGTAAAGCAAACGGGAATTTTACAAAACAAGTAAAAGATGGAAGGATACACACTTTTTGAGAGTTGCTTTCCTTTTAAGGTAAGTACGGTCCAAATATCTAATGATAAAAAAGAGTTTTATATGATTAATTAAACACGTCACAACCTCAACTTGGAGATTTTCCACCCTAGATCCAAGTGTACTTGAAAAGATTTGGAAATTTTTTTTTTTAATAAGATTTGCACCCACCGTGAATATCCTAGATTCCTAATTCCTTCGCGCTACGTCGTTTTGGTGATGCTGCAATCTCACGGACACGTGGCAAAAAGGAAAGAGGATATACAAAACAATAAGCGGACAATAAATGGGCCCATGTATTGATTACAAATATTAGGCCCAATTAAAATGCCAGATAATAGGTTAGTGAGCCCACTAGGGTTTAGGGTCCTCCCGCATATAAACGTAGCCGTCTTCCTTTTTTGTTTGAAGCTGTTCAGGGTGGAGAAGACAGAGGCGGAGCCATGGTGAACGTCAACTACTACCGCAATTGTAAGTAAACTTTCTTTCGTTTGATCTCTTTTCAGTCCATTCTCGATTCGATCACGCGGGGTTTCTCGTAACCTATTCGATCGCGGAGCTGCTGTAAATTTGGGTAAACATTGATGTGTTCTTGTCTTGTGGCTTTTCCTGCTGTTGCATTTTCGTTGTACGAAATCCCCGAGTTTTATCATGGGATCGGATTTTTTGGTATAAATTTTGGTGTTTTATCTGAAAATCCACTTTCTTCAAGGAAAGTCATTATGTTTCGGTCTGAGATGATGAAACTAGGGTTTTTAGCACATTCCGACATTACATCTCATTTAGTGAGTCATCTCGTGTTGAATGAATGATTGATTCTCATGCGAAAAGTTTCGGAATCTTTTCCATTGTCTCTTTTGTTGTTGTGTTTGATCCTCTTGATAGGAAGATGTTTTGGATTTAAAAGAAATGGTTTGGACATTGAGGATCTAAAGATTTGGAAGTGTTGGATATTTATGTCTGATTTTGAATGGGTTGAGAACGTCTTCAGATGGGAAGACCTTCAAGAAACCAAGACGTCCGTACGAGAAGGAGCGTTTGGATGCAGAACTGAAGCTGGTCGGAGAGTACGGTCTCCGTAACAAGCGTGAGCTCTGGAGAGTGCAATACGCACTTAGCCGTATCCGAAATGCGGCGAGAGATTTACTCACCCTCGACGAGAAGAATCCGAAGAGGATCTTCGAGGGCGAGGCTCTCCTCCGTAGGATGAACCGTTTCGGTCTTCTTGACGAGAGCCAGAACAAGCTCGATTATGTCTTGGCTTTGACCGTCGAAAACTTCCTTGAACGCCGCCTCCAGACTCTCGTCTTCAAGTCCGGTATGGCAAAGTCCATCCACCATGCCCGTGTCCTCATCAGACAGAGGCATATCAGGTACATAACCATTCATATTTTTTTTTCTCTTCATTCAACCTCGTTAGACTGTCTTGTTGTGCTTTGATAATCTAAACCCAACTCAAACTCGATTGATCATGATCCAAGTTTGGATTTTGACTGGTTGGGTAAAAATCTTTCAGCCCCAATTACTATCTTTTGTTATGCAGGTGATGTTCATATCATGTATTTGCCACTAGAGACTGTATTATCCTGTAAAAGTTTCAATTTTTTCTTATGGGTTAAGCTTTTGGACAATATCTTTGAACTTGTTTGTTCTACTTTGATTAGGGTCGGTAAGCAATTGGTAAACATACCGTCGTTCATGGTGAGAGTGGATTCTCAGAAACACATTGACTTTGCGTTGACTAGTCCGTTTGGCGGCGGCCGCCCCGGCAGGGTCAGGCGAAAGAATGAGAAGGCTGCCTCCAAGAAAGCCTCTGGTGGAGACGGAGACGATGAGGACGAAGAGTAAAGCTCTTCTTCTTAAACAACCCCGGATTTTGTAATCCGGTTCAATCGAACCGGTTTCGGTTTCGAAATTTTCGGTTTATTTTATATGTTTGTCTTGGACTCGGTTTTTGCCCATTCCAGACTTTCGTCTTCTTCGAGGCCGAATTAATTTAAAGAGATGATGGTTTAGATATTATTTCTTACTTTGAATCATGTCGGAATTTTTTTTTTCTTCCATATTTTCCAAATTTCAATTTCAATATGAATGTTGCGGTTATATTTCTTTTCGTAAAAAGGTGGAAATGCAAATGTTTTTCGTGTGTTTCCCTCCACCGTCCTCGGACATGTATGTGAGACAGTTTCCTTGTTCGGAGACTGCCACACGTTTCCCGCCCAACACACGGTCTTGTCGTCCTCAGACGGGCGAAACGTGATCCACGTGGAATCCGCCTAAACCATATACGACATAATTTATAAAAATACCCACCAAATAAATTTTGCACGCGAAACTTAATAATCATGCACGTATATGCATATATTTGAGAATGAAACGAAATAAAAATACGATTATATATCATGCGCTCCCGACTAAGACAGCAAAATCAATCACGTTTTCGCACGTAATAGACGTTAAGCGCCTTCGTTCTATATATATTTTATTTAGTAAACAAACTATTTGCGAAGAAAGAAATTATTATATCTTTGAAAAAAAAAGAAGAAATTATTATATCAACTTTATGATGCTAATCATTCGAATATTTGAACTATAGTGAATCATAATAACAATGAGAGATAAATTAATGAACTGTCCAAATCTTGTGTGGAATTCAACAACAATAATCACCCTGATTTGATTTTCCTACAAATACTCGAAGATTGGTCTCATCGCAAATCCAAATACTCTTACAATCCCGAAAAATAAAAAATAAAAATAGGAGAGGAAAAACTCCACGGAATTAGTCGTCGTGTATTGGGATGATCCACATTCGGATTCTTACGGATAATAAACTAATTAAAAATAATGTGAAAATCTAGGAGAGATTTTAGGAGATGACGTGGCGTGGTTCCAGGGACTTCCATCAAAACGGCGCCGGATTAGGACCTTTCAGATCCACACGTCTCTCATCAGTCAAAACTCTGAGATCCGTTCCTTCTCTCTTTGACCGGCCTTCCAATCTGCCACGTGGTATATATCTGAGGGCAGTTTCTCGTGACGTCATCACTCTCGACACGTCAAAACTTACCGTTTTAATCCCGTGACCAGCTCTATAAATACCCCCTCGGCCTCACATCACCTGCAAGAACTCAAATCAAAAACAGAAAATCAAATTCAAAAAAATTCTCTGTTTCTCGATCATAACGAGGAGGATGACGATCGGAGATGATGCTCGGATCTCGCCGGACATGGAGGCGGTTGCGGTGAAGGACACCGCGAGGAAGATTCTGGAGGAGGCGGAGGCGGATAGCAGCGGATCATCGGAAGCTGAGACAGAGTCGCCGAGATCTGTCGGAAGGTGGGGTGATTCGTCGGCGGCGGCGAAGGAACGGGTACACAGTCAGGTGCTTAGGGTTAGGGAGCAGGAACTGTGCGTGCTCTTGGAGGATAAGGCGACGAATTATTGCAGCGATCGAGAGGATCATAGGTATATTCATCCGCGTCGCCTGAATTTGTTTCTGGTTTCGAGGCCGATCTTACCTTGTTCGCCCCTCAGCGGCAAGGTTACCTCTCTCAAGGCTGTGCAGTGATTTCCTGTTTCCAGAAGCTGGTACCTGATCCATCGGGTTGAGGTCCGTATCTATAGATTCCGGAATCTTCTGGTTCTCTGTGCGGGAGTCTGTATGTGAATATTTATGTAATAGACGTATATGTACATGAAAAAATAGAACTCCGCCTGCATTTGCTTGTTTGGATGCCTAGAAAGTGGAGAGAAAGCCATCCCCGTGCCGGTTATTTTCTCCGATTTGGGATAATTTTCTTCCGACAGATCATTCCGTTTGCAGTTTTCTTTGTATAAACCGTGATGATGTTTGTATATATATATTATAATCGGTTCATACACGGGACCTGCATGAAGAAAACATCCTCAAAAGACAGAAGCTTTCCGACCATTTCCCCCGTACACGTGTCTGCGTTTATTTGCTTGCGTCACGTCTCTTTCTGTGTTCATGCTACGTATGGTGAGTTCGATCTATTTCACTACAACGCCCGTTTCTTAAACGCCTCGTGAGTGTTATTAGAATGGTTTGGTTTGATGGTTTGGTTTACTTTGGTTTAGTTCGGTTAGGGTTTATTAGGGTTTCTTCTTCTATTGTATTTAAGGAACACTTTTCTTATTTTGTAAAGATAACAGAGAACTTTCTCTAAATCCTTCTTCTTCCTCTTCCTATTACTACTTTCTTTTTAATCTCTATCTCTGCAACTCTATCTTATTTCAATCGCTTTTGATGTTTTTATCAAAAGTTGACAAGTGTTTTGGCATCGTGACGCGTCCAGTTATCGCGCACTAGAGATATTTATATTATTAGTCGGTCCAAATTAAAGAGCTTGAATTAAACGACAGATTCAGAAACTGGGTATCGAAATTTTCACACCAGTTTCTCTTTTTTATTAACTGAGACAGTAAAAGAAAATAAAAGCCCAACACCGTAACGCATTATTCTTGACATCCCCAATGAACACGAGAATAATTTTTTTTTTGTAAAAAAAAAAAAGCCAAAAGAATGCAAATTTCGCTTATGCTTTGATTTGAATTGTGGTTTTTTCCTTAGTTAACCATCCTGCACATCTTCCGGACCTCCCCGGCCCGACCCGTGAGAACTCCGACCCGGCCCATCCTCACCATGGACACCCCGAAATCCTTGAAGAACGTGGAACCGTGAGGTCGGGCTTGTCGGAGAACATAGGCTCTTGCCTCTGGATGGTCGAGAAGAGCAGCATCAGACTGGAACAATCCCCTTCTCTTCGATACCAGCGTGTAGTAACTCTTGTCGAACGTTCTGAAACTTCCAGGGTCCATCTCCAAAGCCGTGGTCAGGTCGGCGGGCTCGCACTTCTGTCTGAGCCTGTCCGCGTACTCCGAGTCCAGGCTCGGGTCGCTGTCTCCTTTTCCGGTGAAGTTGTATAGCCTGTTCGTTATCTGAGGGCAATGTCCGTTTCCAATTGTATGCCCGCCTGAAGAATTTCAGTTTGGTTGGTAAGCCAATAATTATAATCACACATCACATTTCCATACAGGAGATCGAGGAAAACTTTTAGCACACCTGAGAGCACGACCAGGTCTATCAAGTCGAGACCCTTTGAGTGAAATTGAGAGATTAGACTCGAGACGTCATCGAAAGGCGATGGTAGGTTCAATAGGGCCTCGGCAGCGCTCGTGACCCTGCCGTCTCTTCTCCCGGTTTCGACTTCCCAGAACGGTCCATGAATCTGAATATGATCGAATTATGAACCTCAATCCGGTTGAAATCCAGTATTTAGCTTCTAAGCGGAAAGATTTTATTACTCACAGCAGCAACTGCGTCTCTAGAGACAAGAGCTAAGATGTCTGAACAAGAAACGATGCCCGGACACTCTTTTTCGAGAGCCTTCTTGGCTTTGTCTATGATATGGAATCCTCTGAGGCTGAGGTTAGGAATCGCACTCTTCTCACCCTTAGGCCGATCTAACAAAACCGAGCCATCGCAGCCCTGAAGAATCCACACCATCATACAAAAATCAATCGACCAGTCTCTGTTAACACGGACACTTCAGGTGAAATATACTTCTTGATGCGTCTAGCCCCTCTAGTTACAAACGTGATCAGTTGCTTGCGTCTCAAGAAACAATATTCTACAGAAAAAAGAAAACTAGGGTTTAGAAGACCGTACTCGGACGAAGCAGTCATGGAAGAACATTCTGAGCAGTGGAGCCGCAAGAGTCGGCGCCTTCTTTATCGCGTCAGAGACGATCTTCCGGACGATAAGCTCGGCCTTCGGGCATGTCTTGTCGTAAAACCGGAGTTTCAATCCTTTCGCGTCCGTCTGAACGGAGAAACAGAGAAGAGAGATTAGCTGAAGGAAGAACAAGAGAGAGACGATCTTCGAAGCAGCCATTCTTTTTCTTTTTCTTTTTGAATATTCTTCCGAAAGCGTTTGTTTCTGAGTGAAAGATAACAATGAAGACGGGAGGTATTTATGCTGATCAAAGGGCATGCAGCTGCAACGTTGGCTGGTCATAGTCATAGGTGATGTCAAGTGAGTTAATTAATAAAGACAAATGGATGGGATGGGGTGGACTATTTCTCCGGTATGGTTAGGCGTTAGTAACCGGTTCGGTTCGGTTTATTATTCGTACGCCTAATTCGGGTTTCTGAGAAATTATAACCAGATATATGGTTAATTGATTTTAATCGGTTCAATTAAGTTTATGTCTATTAAAAGCTGTAATCTAATTATATAGCTAATTCTAAATTCGATTGGATTCAATTATAATAAAAAAAAATAAGTTCGTACATACCCAAACAATAAACAAAAGATATATTGTAAACAAAATGAAGACTTTTAGTTCAAGAGAATTAATTGTCGTCGAATACATCATTCTATCTGCCAAAACATTGTGTTGGTCTTGACATTAAAAAAAAATCAACAAGAGTTTTTCATCTATCCAATTCATTTTGGCAGTAGAAAAAGGCTTCAAAATTGAAGAACGTATCAAAATAAAAATAATAATTAGAGAAGGTAAAATATAATTACTGTAAGCACAAATAAACAAATCTATATATAAAAAAAAAAAAGAGAAAAATCCTAAATCGAGAAAACAAAAAAGACGAAAGAGAACAAAAATCGCTCTCTTTCCTCCGTAAATATAAAGACAAGTCTCGTATCATTTTTATCAAGATTACAAAACACGAGTCCACGAAAGAGAACAAAACATTTAATAGTGTGTACGTAAACCCTACCATTTTACATTATAATATTAAAAAATCAAATTAAAAGATCAAGAATCGTAAACCCAAAAAAAAACATCCACGATTCGTCGATTCGGAGGTATTATTCACCTCTGAGTACAGCTTTCCGTAAAATGAAATGATTAACCGATCGGTTAACTGGTTTTGTTATGGTTCGGTTTGATCGAGTGTACCGTTTCAATAACCGACCGGCTAATTCTCAATTAACCGAAAATCTAAATGTAATTATTCGGAATTCAGTTTTGCATCACCGTAGGTGGTCCGCCCTTGCGCTTTGTTATCCAATCATTTCGTGATTAATAAATTAAAGTGTAAATTTATATATCCCAAGATCGTACCATATATCATTTGCCAGCCTATGGTTTTGTGGCTGCAGCAGCGTGATTGATATTGACCAACGGAAGGGGAAAAAAGTCAAAACATTCTATAAATTTCTTATAAATTTCTTATAAATTTCGTCGTTGATACATAAAAAAACACAACTTGATTTGTAAAACAACTATAAATAGAAATGATAAATAAAGCAACATGCATCATCACGATTCACGATCCATCTTTGCTTCCGTACACGAATTGCTTATGGATGTTGTTTTTTTAAGACAAATACAAAAAAGATGACCCTCGATTAATCGATGTCCCGACACTAATTGTTAACGAATACTTGGATTAGTGTATGTACATTTAATCTTTTGATAATACGCAAATTATTAATAAAAAACATAGTTTATTTCGTTGACGTTTATTAGAATATGTGTCGTGCATGTTACCTGTAACATTTCTGCATGTGCGGCCAAAACCACACAATCATTCGACATTAACATTACAACTTATGCTAAGTTAGTTGCCCTCCTTTCTTTTATATATATATGCATGTGGAAAAATGTAATAATAAAACAGTTAACCAATCCGTTGAATAACCGGATAAACATAAGAGATTTGTCACAAGGTGGTAAACGACCAATTCACATTGTGATCCTTTATGTATCGATTTGAGAAAAAATAATTGAAAACTAGTGTATTTTTATGATATGATTTATCAAATTTGTGTATTTTGGTGAGTTTTTCGATCAAAATATCTTATGAACACGTTTAATTTGCCGAATCTGATGGGATCATACACGTTTAATTTGTCCAATATGAACACGGGCTACTTTCTTGGCCCGTTGGGCCTCCTTTTAGACACGCATGAACTGATTTGACGAGAGGGGGAAAATTATTATTATTATATGAGCTTTAATGGTGAAATGAAATTGTTAATTTTGGGGTTTAAATCTACCATTCAAAATGTTGGGGTCAAAATATAAAAACAAAAAACATAAAGACCCTTGCACACAGAATTGAAGGGGTTTTGATTTTGAGGTTTAGACTAGAACGGTTCTGTCCCTTTTTTTGTGCCTCCATCCCATTTTCTTTTACCCCAATCTCGCCGTCGCCGGAATCCGTTGCCACCGGTGTATTTATTCCTGTAACGAGAGTCTCCGGTTAGTTCATTCCTTTTTTTCTCTTCGTATTATTCTCCTCATCGACGAGTGCTCAGGTTTCCATTGGGCATGGAGTGATCGGCCGATTTAGGCCGTGATTTACTCTTCCGGGTATTGGATTTTAAGCCCGTGGTTCCATGATATATATGGAAATTCCATCGCCGCCTGATTCGACGCAACACGGCGGGTTTCCCGTCGAGTTTATGGTGGGAAATTCGGGTGTTTTATCGCAAAATTTTCGCCCATACCATCCAGCCACCCTCATTTCTGGAATCCGATCTCATAATTTTGATTAATGGTGGAATTTAGTGGGAACCAGGTTGATTAGTGGTTTAGGGAACTGCTTGAAATCTGAGTTATTGCAGTTATCAATTGATTGTTCGGTCGACAAGGTCGCGTCCTGGATTGATAATAACCGATGTGAAAGGACGAGAATTTATTGATAGAAAGAATTGAGTAATTTGCATTCATATCGATTGAGGTTTTTACTGATCGGTCCTACTGTGTATAGGCGTTTTGCTCGTACCAACATTCCTTCGTCTTTCGTTTCTGATTCGCCGCAGCTTCATTTCGAATCGTCCACCTACATTGGTCTTCGTCTTGCTGTGGCAATTTCGTTCATGTCGATCTGTGTCTCTCTGGATTCGCTCTTAACATAAAGGTCGAATAATTTGTGATCACTGGTCTCCGACAGAAAATTGATTAGATTCATGGATTCGCTTGATGTATTTTGTGCTGGAAGCATCAGAAATAGCTCTCCAGCATGTTTTTGGTTGTCAGAGCCTTGTAAAAGATTGGATTTTTGTTTGGTCCTTCGGCTATGTTTCTCCAAATTGGTCATGTTTTCGGAACCCTAAAGGATCTCTCTCGAAAGGGTGTCTTTTTCCTGACCGTTACCCATCTGGAATGGTTGCCCGTAAATGTGTCCGTCGGTCATACTGATGTGATCCTGCCATTCTTGTTGACTCAAAACAACTTCAGAAGTCTGACTGAATGTATAGGGTTCAGGCAGTTTATCAAGTGAATTAGGTGTTTTATTTTTTGTTCAGCTCACTTCAATAGCCATTTTTGTGAATTTCTGTGATTGATTGATTGTTTACGCTATGTGAATCTTGTTTGCATTGCTTTGAATCGGTGCATCTTTGCTGTAATTACATTGATTGAACTAGTGGAGTCAGAGCTGTTCATTCTGAATCCAGAATTTTGAGGTGAAGCTAGCAGGGGTGTGTGGGTTTAGGACAGCTAAATTGGTTATCTAGGGCTCTGTTATCTATCTGTTGAAAGTTTCTTTGGATCTAGAAGAAGAGCTGCAAAAAGCTTTTACATTGTCGGGATCACATATTGTGATTTGGTGCTACTGATGTTGGATTTTAGGAGCTTACGTGCTGTCTTGCTATGGATAAAGAAATATTGCTTATCGAATTCAGACAGGCTATTGTATGTGTTGATTGATTGACCTATCCTTATCACTGTATCTTCTTCGTTGTTTCCGTGGAATAGCTCCAAATTCTTGACAATCTTCGGCCTTTGGTTTTCAGGGTTCTGTTCCTTGGTCCCAAAATGTCTCTCCGGAGGCCTCCTGTCCCGCGGCTTCTGCTGAAAAACGTCTCGTGCATGAGAAACGCCCAACAGATTCTACGGCACGTGAATGTATCTCTTCACGACGGTGGCGCCCTTGTGTTGACAGGAACCAATGGTTCTGGTAAGTCGACTTTCTTGCGGATGTTGGCCGGATTCTCAAAGCCCTCGGCTGGCGAAATCCTCTGGAACGGTCACGACATCACAGATTCAGGAGTCTTCCACCAATACAAGCTCCAACTCAACTGGCTCTCCCTCAAAGACGCCATCAAAGACAAATTCACAGTACTCGACAACATTCAGTGGTTCGAAATCCTCGAGGGGAAGATGGGGAAGTCATTGCCCGCTTTGGAGCTGATGGGTCTCGGGAGATTGGCGAAGGAGAAGTCGAGAATGCTTTCGATGGGACAGAGAAAACGGGTTCAGATCGCGAGGTTGCTCGCTATTGACAGGCCAATATGGCTTTTGGACGAACCCTCGGTGGCTTTGGACGACGACGGAGTGAGATTGTTGGAGTATGTAATCTCGGAGCATCGGAAGAAAGGCGGTATTGCGATCGTTGCGACCCATCTGCCGATCGAAATGGAAGACGCTATGATCTTGAGGCTTCCTCCGAGGTTTCCTCGGAAAATGACACTGGTGGATATGCTTGATCGTGCAGATATTTCATAAGCCGAAAGTGACGAAGTCCAATTCAAAGGGAGAGCTTTGCATATACCCGAGAGCGATGGTCATAGTTTCACTAACCGGATGTATTTGTAGTAAACCGATCTGATTTAAACCGGGTTAAGCTCAGATTATTGCCTTGTAACGTTTAGTTAAGTGATTGGCGATCAGAATCTCCAATGGCCTCTTAAACTTTTTCCACGACAAGTTCCGCTTAGTTAAATGATTCGCTGCATCACCAATATCAGTAAATTCGTGTAATATTAAGAAGAATTGTCGAATCAAAGGGGTCAGTATAATAGAAAATCGAATCGATGATACATAATGTGTATACAAGAGACATACGGAAGAAAATTGGTGGCACAGATTCCATGGGAGTCGAAAATTACAAACAGACGAAGACAAGCTCTCACGATCAGTGTCGATGTTTCGAAGAACACACGTCTCTTTCCTTAGGATTTGGCAATCATCTCTGTGTAAATTAAATTAAATGGCACCCACATTGCTTTCAAATCACTACGCCTGCGTCCAATTAGACATAATATTATTAACCTGCACTCGCATTTTTTTTGTTTATGTATATGTTCGGACCATCATATATAAGCCATATATCCATGTATGTATGCATGTATGTAGCTTTCGTCTATGTTCGGACCATTGACTGCATGGTTTCAGTTTTTTTTTTCTCACACGACACAGAGCCCTAAAACCCTGAGAGGAAACTAATTAGGTGATTAGAACTTGTAAATGGTGATTAATGGAGTGATTAGAGAGAGAGAGAGAGAGAGGGAAGAGTGTCCTTTCATCACATGGTGTGGTTAGGTTTGCTTGCTAACTTATTACAACATCCGATGTCCCACTCTGTGTTCTTATGAGCAAACATCTTCCTTTATTGCCCATTTGGTCACACCATGCCCTTGCTCCCGAACATCATGCCTTCATCCCATACATATACCACCATCATCATCATCATCATCATCCCCTTAATTATCTTTTCTGTATGACTGTTTTCATTGCCTATAGTATTCCAACGAATTGGCCCGTACCCGATGGAAGCCAGGATACTTAAGTCCATTCGTCATGTTAGATTTAAAAATAACCATTCGTATTTCTTTTATCATAAAGTTTCTTGATAACAAAAAATATATCACTAGACGGAGTTATTAAAATAAAGTATTCCGGGAGATTCCAATGAATGCGTTTTGTGACCAAACATATGGAAAAAAGAAATAAAACAAAACCCAATATGATAAAAAAAAAATTCACATATTTTACGTAGGGGATATTGTCATGTTTACTATTATATTAACCAAACAAAAGCTGTGCACATTATTATATTCAACCCACAGTATATCGATCTTCCTCTCCATCCCCCCTCGCCCAGACGGAAACCTCCAACTTTAAGACACTGCTTTCACCAATGCCCTTGTCTTCTTCACATCCAAACATCACCTCTCTCTCTCTCTCTCTCTCTCTCTCTCTCTCTCTCTCTCCCCTCCTTATAGGTAGCCCTTCCCCTTTATAACGCTTACCTTCCCTTCCCATTTCTTCATATCCTAGAACCCTTAAACTAGCTCTCTGCTCCTCCTCCTCATAAACACAAAATATAGCTCGAGGAAACTCTCTCGTAGTATCTCACGAAGTTTCAAAAAAAGCTCTTACAAAGGAAAGAAAAAAAAAATTTAAAAACACCCAAAAAAGAAAAGGGTTTCCTGGAGATTTTTCATTCGGGCACAAGACGTTCATAAACTTTAATAATTCAAAAATGTCTAGCAGAAGGTCAAGGCAAGCAAGCGCTTCAAGGATTAGCGATGACCAGATCATCGATCTCGTCTCCAAGCTCCGTCAGCTTCTACCTGAAATCCGTCCCAACCGCCGTTCCGACAAGGTAATCTTCTGTCATCAATGCAGGATCTTGTTAATTTATTAACACTGTTATATAATATTACTTGACGATATTTTCGGGTTGTTTACAATGGCCATGCACATGTACGGCATGTGGAGCAGTGCATTGCAGTACCATGATGACCCTTTTAGAGATTATCAATATGCAAAATATAGTAAGGTTTGAAACTTTTGACCCGCCCGAAATTCGAGGAGGGAACACACTTTCCTTGACTTTAGCTTCAAGGTTCTCATTTGACTCGCAATAGTCCATTTTTTTTTTATAACATTAATAAATCAAGGTCGGCCGTATTATAAAAAAATAATAATAATTCTGTCACGGGTACATATTTATTCAAGCACCGACTTAAGTTCTATTCTATCTTATGGATCACTCCTTTTGTATTCTCAAACGCGTATATGAATACATATACAAGTATCAGCGTATACATTACACTTGAGTGATAACTATTTACATATAATAAACAATTAATAAACCTTTTCACCCTAATTTTTTGGGCATTTTGTTTACTATTATATATATATATATATATTTGCAATTTAGGTGTCGGCGTCGAAAGTGCTACAAGAGACCTGCAACTACATCAGAAACTTGAACAGAGAAGTGGATGATCTTAGTGAGCGGCTGTCCCAGCTTCTGGAAACCATTGATGCCGACAGCCCCGAGGCAGCGATCGTTAGGAGTCTAATTATGTAATCGGATACTCATTAGTGTCGGTTTAATTACGTATTCGCTGCTTCTTTTTCGTTCTACTTTCAGAAAATCGCTTGTGTGCTTCTTCATTATAAAGTATCTTAGGCTTAATTATATATGTATAGCATGGAGATGCATGTTTGATGTCGATCGTCATGCATGTATGCATGTGAGCGTGCATGCAAGTATACGCAATAAAAGGATCCGATTTTCACTGGAAAAGGCTTTTGGTTTGCTTAATTAGATGCGTGTATGTACGTTTACGGACTACGTACTTATTGTAGACAGCAAAATGAACTTCAGAATATACGAAATTGGTATAACTAATAAGTGCAGAATTGTACATAATCAATAATTAAATGACACATTTACATTCTAAAGTTCCTGGCTATCAATATTTTATAACTAGAAAGCCTTTGTATAAAAGCTGGTCTCTGTGTCACTAACTCTTATGTCATCGGGACCTGGTGTAGTGGTTAAAGAATTCATAATTCTCAAAGAGTCTATCACCCATTGAGTGGTTTATCTATTGCACATGGTGTACAAACTATTACATGAAGTCGGAGGGTTTATCACCGCGTCCGAAGAATTGTGGATGAATTCTCGTCGTTACAAAAAAAAAACTCTTAAAGATCCTAGGATTTTCTTCAATCTCATATATATATATATATTCAGACAAAAAAAAATAGTGTTTTGGAGTAATCCTTACAAATAAAGAGATCATATGACATAACATATTTGTTAGGATCCACTCAAAACGCCTTTATGTCACACAAATGTACGTTGTCTTTATAAGGACGTTTAATCTCCAACGTCGATTTTGAAACAACAGTAAACATCGATGCCACACTGCTCTCTCTTTTGTGGTTAAGTCATCCCACAAAGGAAAGATCTTCAATACGAGTCATTATGTATGTATGTATGTATGTATGTATGTATGTATGTATGTATGTATGTATGTATGTATGTATGTATGTATGTATGTATGTATGTATGTATGTATGTATGTTTAAATGTATGTATGTATGTATGTATGTATGTATGTATGTATGTATGTATGTATGTATGTATGTATGCTTAACATCCAATTTATATTAAACTTTAATTCATGGAGATATATATATAAATATGTATGGACCGAAATAAACAAAATGAATTCATGATCAAAAGTTTTTGTCGTCCTGTGTGAACAGATGGGATATATTAGTGACATTAACACTCAAATTTGTCGGAAAGTTGGGATCAAGAGCCACAATCTTTGCATAAATTAGTGCAACAATCTTAACTTTGATTATAATAATGTTTCAATCATGAATGCATGTATTAGATGATTTGACAAGATTTGCTCTCATAAATTGTTACAAAACTGTGCCATACATGATGATGGACTTATATATATATATATACACATATATATGTCTAATTACCGCCCAATTCAAAGTTTTTGAATATTTTCTTCGTTATTATATTTCAATATTTTGCTCTATGAATCATCAATGAGTACGCCTTGATGCACAGGGCACATGTATAAATACAATGGACATTTCGGTTCGGTTTTGAGGAACCGAAAATCTCGGTATTTTCCCGAATTGTACCATTCAAAATTTGTGAACGGTATATTTTTTTATAGAACTGAATTTCCTGAAACCGAACTGAACCAAAACGAACTTTGTAAAATTTCCGAAAAACCGAAACCGAACCATACGAAAACTGGAACCGAACCGAATAATATACGGTACAAATTTTAGAATACCGAATAATCCGTTGCCGAATGGAACTGCAAAAATTTCGAACAGTCCAGCCCTCCGTATAGACACATGCGAGAATCTTTTAGTTCTTCTGAGAAACTCTGCAATAGGTTTTTTTTTTTGGTTATTTAATAACATACAGAAGACAGCGAGTGGAACAAACAGTTAGTTTCATGTATTAAAGATTTCTTGCCCACATGCAGAAAAATATATGGAGGGACCTCATAAAAATAATCTAACTCGTATGATTTTGACATCATTTTAAATCTAACGCAGCGAAATTTTTTCTTTATTTCCAGAAAAAAAGTACAATTAGATTAAAGAAGATATTCGTATGTATGCATGCATGCATGCATGTATGTATGCATGCATGCATGTATGTATGAATGTATGTATGGATGTATGTATGTATGCATGCATGCATGTATGTATGTATGTATGTATGTATGCCGAAGAATGATTTCTTTCAGTTGAAGAAAAGGGTATATGCAAAAGCTACAGAGAGATGGAAATTCTATACAGGAATATGCTCTCCCTGTGACATGGGCAGTAAAAGAAAGGTAAAAACGGCTTTCCTAGCTAGTCTTTTTTAGCATGTGAATTTGTCAAGCCAAAATATGGAGAGAAAAAATATCTCGACGGTGCAAAAACAATCCAATAACAAATCATGATATATATATATATGTATGTTGTCCTGTATTCCAATATAAACGAAACACAAACCATAAATCATCACAGTAAAGTTTGATGGCAGGGGCCCTTGATGTTGCGTCTTTAATACATCTGATATATGCATGTCAAATACAATTAAGACATATGAATATATACCCTTGTGGCCAATTCTAATTTTTTTTTATTCGCGTTCAATTATAAACAGACACATTTATTTTATATAACGGTATGTTTTATTTAATTTGAAGGAATTTTATATAATGGTAACTTTTCTTATTCATGATCATAACGATAAATGGTAATTGTCTAACTAATGAGTGATTGGTACCGCATCTCATGATTCAGTACTTTTATTCAAAAATAATTTATATGCACCAACTATGTGGTTCTTTAAATAGTTAAATTCATTTTGGATTTGGTTGTTATGCTTATTTTAATATAATAGTAATGTGGAGGATAACCGTCTAACTATTTGATTGATTGGTAAAGACATCAAACTCCGAAAGAAAAAGATAGATCCATAAATATATATATATATATATATATGTATGTATAATGAATGTTGCCATACCCCGCCATGTTATTAACCACCGACAACATTGTTCCTACCGTTGGACATAGAAAACATGCATAAAGTCTGGTCTTCTTTTTTTTTTTATTTCATTTTACAATATATAAATGAGCAAAATGGATATTCAATTATTGAAATAAAACGGTTATTACAAGGGCGCCATAGGAAACAGACAGATCAAGATTCGCAACGGCCATGATTTAATTGATGAGTGAAGCCCACGAATCTCGGTAGTGGGTTTGGGAGCCCATATCCATTTATATGAAGTTTTCATAATATATTATTGTTATTAATGGGCCAAGGAAATTCGGCCCTTTCGAACTGAACTTATTTCAATCTAACTTCGCCTTTGGATACCTTTTTTTCTTGTTGGGCTCTATCTAAAAGTACGGCCCATTGGGCTTATAGATTATACGCCCAAAAAAATAGATGAAATACCCCGAAATTAATATTACAAATAAAAAAAACGGGAACAAAAGATCGAGCGGAACAAGAGAGAGATTTTTGGGAAATATTGTGGGACCCACATCCATTACATATATGTGTGTGTGGGCGCGCCCGCGTGAGAGAGGGATATAAAATGCACAAAATTTCAAAAGTGTTCTTTCTGCATTTATACAAACTTAAATTTTATGCTTCGACGTTGTCAAAATTAGTTCAAAATAGAAAAATATGTAAAAATTTTATATAAAAAATTGTATATAAATACCTTTTTTTTAAAAAAAATTTATTTAAATATTTAAATTATAAAGCTTTTATAAATAACAAAACTTTTTTAAAATTCTATTAAATAACTCGATTTTTGAAAAATTTTCAAATAAATTCAAAATTCATGTAATTTTTAAATAAAAATAGTTAAGGTTCTTGTAATAAATTTTGGATTTATTTTTATTTTTTTTTAAAATAAAAATTTTTTATAGGATTTTTGAAAAATTCAGAAAAGAAATTTTATTGTTGAGATTTATTTATAATTTTTGTAAAAGTTTAGATATTTATATACGATTTTTTTATAATATAAGCAAGTGATATATAGATAATTATAAGCACTATATAATTCAATATGGAGAGAGGCTTTCAAAAGAATACGATTCCAACATTTGAACAATTTGCATTTGGTTCGGTACCCTCCTCCTAATTTAAAAAACACCACAAGACTTAGGAAACTTAAAAAATAAAAATAAAAACCGCTATAAAACCCAAATTTTACACATAACTACAAAAATAAAACACTATATAAAAAAAAATAAAAAAAAAAAAGAAGAGGTTGGTCAACTCTTATCTTCTTTGTCAGCAAAACTAGTCGTGGTAGCAGAAGCCTTCTTGAAGATGGAAAAAGGCAACTGCGAGGATTTTTCTGACGACCCTCCGCCCGCTTGAGGATTCGCCATGGTCGACGACAACAAGCTACTGAAGTAGCCTCCTCCTCCACATCCTTTGTTATTAATGCTCGCGATCTGTTGATTCCCTTGTACGGAACTATTCAGTACGTTGATCTTGTTACGTGTCGGATTTTCATGGACAAGACCTTCTCTTCCCCTCGCCATTTGCTCCCCGTTTCCTGATCCCACCATTGTCGAGATGGCTGCAGCAATCACCGACTGGAAACTCGGGTCAGAAGTAAGCGCTTTGGTTAGGGTTTCCGTCAGTGACTCTTGACTCTGTTTGGCTGCCTTGCCCGTGTTTAGGGAATTAGACTGTCCGAATTGGACACTGTTGTAGGGAACTGATCTAGAGTACGGGTATCCGTTAGGGTTACCCCACATGGCTGGTAGATTGATCGCCGATGAAGCTGAAGAAGAAGAGAAACTAAAGCTCGTGGACGGGAATATCCTCTGAGATGAAGAGGTAGAGCTTGGGAATCTGTTGAAATTCAGAGAAGAATTTCCTTGTGGTGGAGCCGTGAGGTCTAGAGTAACGGTGGGGTGCAAAGGGGAGAGGCCGGTGGTGGCCGGTGAATAGAAGAGCTTATTCGAGATTAATTGTGACTTATCATAGAGATTGAAATTGAAACCATTTCCGATCATATCGGATGCTGATACAGTGGCCGTAGACTGAGACTGAGAGGACGTGGATGAGCCAGAGAGGAGCATGGAGGCAGCCGCTGAGGTGGTCGATGCCATGGCTGTGGCCGACATCGGGAGAGGATGGTTGTGTGTTCCTTCGTAGGTTGTTATTAGTATGGACATGTCATCTGCACATCTTTGCACCTAAAAAAAAGGTTGTGATTGTTCCAATATACGAATTAGATACGGTCTGTCTACGTATAGAAATCGTATAGATGGATATATAACCAAAAAATAAGATGTAAACCTGCTTTCTGACAGGGCAATTAGGTGCAACTGTGCAGCGGTAGTAAGCTCGTGGACATGGGTTTCCTTTTGCGATCTTCTGTCCATATTTCCTCCATTGGCATCCATCATTCATCTACATACACGAACATGAACATGAACATGTGTTATATATAAACGCAATTAAAGCAATGTGATTAATTCTAAAAAAGGCTGTACCGTTGGCGCGTCACATCTTGCTCGAACACAAACCCTAGCTCTCTTAACGTGATTTTGCTGACCAATTTCATCAACATCACCTCCTGGACTTCTCTTCCCGGTGGCCTTTGTTTCCGCCCCAGCTTCTTCCTCCTTGTTGGTCCCCTCTTCCAAACTGTTTTCCCGGCTCGAGCTTGCGACATTCTGAGAAGACAGGCGGGTCTTCGGGTCAGGACTGAACCCTAAAGTCAACCCGGCTTTAGTCAACTCTTCTTTCTCTCCAGCCGCTCCCGACTTCTCTTCTTTCTTGGCGACGCCATTACCCGGGGAAGAGCTTCTTCCCCCGAGGGAAAGGGACACGAGATCACGTTCTTCTTGGTCGGAGGAGCTCGGATCTTCATCGTGAGGAGATTCTTGAGCCGTTTTGGTCGGAGTGTCTTGTTGGATTATGTCGAAGAATCTGAGTTTGAGACACCTGTAGTCATTTTCGATCCTTTCTAGCATCATCCTCAGCCTCTCGTTCTCTTCCTTCACCTCGCTCATCTCTGCTTTGGCCGTTTCCAGTTCATGATCACCCTGATATCATCAAGAAATTCGAAACAAAACAAAATAAAATAAAAGATTAATTGGTTCCTCGATCTGTCTCGAGGATATATCAAGAAATGATTTTTCCCCCCGTTTTGGTACCTCTTTTTTCCCGGTCCGGGGATTATTACTATTAGTCTTGGAGGTAGGTGAAGATGAACGTCGACCCATTTCATCCTTGACAGGAGAAGCTGAACTCGGTGGTTTGGCAAGAACCTCCATCGATCTCGGAACTGGCTAGAAGGATCTCTGTCTTCTACTTCTTGTCTGAATCAGTTTTCTTCTTCTTTTTCCTTTTGTTGTCTCTTTTATCCGAATTTTCTTTCAATGCACACCCTTTACTTATAGCCAGACAGGTATGTACTTTCTCCGAGGGACCCAAATCGTCAACACTTCAACTTGTTCTTTTTTTTTTCCCTTTAGAACAATATATTATTACATTATTCGACTCAACCACGAGGGCGACGACCCTTTCGACCGTCGGATGGTTTTTCTTTCAATCATATGTGATCCAAGTTATTTATTTTAAGACGGCAACGGGAAAACTAATTAATTTAAATCCTTGACTTTGTTGATGATAATGAAACAAATGCTGATAATATATGGATGTAATTATTACATTATATATTTATAATGTTGGGGGGGGAGAGAGAGAGAGAGAGCCTAAATCTGCGGCGTCGACTAGAGAATTCAATAATATGAAGAAGAGAAGATATGGCTTCATCGAAGAAGAAGAAGCAGACTTGTGGCCTCACATGGTCATTCGTCAACGCTTTAACAATGTACTATATTAGTTTAGTCCTCGCTCCGTAAATATCATGTAATATACAAAAGATTAATTTCACTATATATGTATATGTATATGTATATGTATGTAATGAAATTGCATTTTTCCCACGAAAAGGATTCCGGCTGGATATTTGATTTAAAGCTATGCTTTATAGTGACATGATATATATGGAATATGTTGTTTCTAATTTATTTCCAGTGAATTTAAATATTCTTGAACTTAGTAAAAATACAAGTACATTATCCGATGCAACACTTTCTGCCTATGTATATGTATGTATAGTGTATACACGCACAAAGACCTATATTTTTAGTACATCATTAAGTGAATCGTGAAAGCCACTAAAAATATTATGAATATAACTATATTGCTCAGTATGAAACTAAATAAATACAGATTTAACAAAACTTTATTGAAGAAAATATAACAAAGTCAAATACAGAAAAAATAAATTAGTCTAAGGCTGTTATATATATGAAACCTTGATATAACTTTATTATCAAGTTCTTCCGGTCAATACGCTGGCTTCACGCGGTAATTTTGACTTCGAATATTATTATTATTATTGGTTGATCGTTTTTATTTTAATATATTTCATGTTTGGCAACCAACATACGAGTAATTAGACTAATATCAAAATGCTTCATCAAATATAATTGTCTTGTCACATCCCGCCCCGTGACGTAACGCTGCATGGCGTTGAGAAAATATGCATTATTCCGTTTTCTTTGTTAATTTTTGGATTTAAAATAGTTTTTTAAATTATCCTAAAGCTTCACAGAAAATATTTACCTAGAGATATAAACATTCATTTTTTTTTTCTGTTCACTTGACTTTTCTATTTTCATATATTTTGAACACCTTTTCCTCTCACCTGCTTATTCGTATTTTCTTAAAAAAAAACAATTAACTTTCAGATTAATTATTCATCCGTCTGTATATCATCCAGTTATAGTTGGAAGTATATTTGCAGTTTGATATATATATATAATATTAACATTTGAAAATCTATAAAGTTTTTATTAATGTAATTAATGGAGTTGAACTCAAAGTCTAAAACCCTAGGACCGAGAACTGATCTCAACGCGTATACGTACGTTTATGAGTACATATGTGTTTTAACTGAAGATGTCCAGATTCATTGGACCCATTGACAAAATCTAAAAATCAGTAATTTTTTTTTTACCTTTTTAAGACTGTTTTTTAAAAACTTTGATATCGCAAGTTTGACGCTCTCATTTAATTTTGATATCGCAGTTTTCGACCAAATTTGGCAATTTTAATAAAAACAAAAATTTATTATGATGGTATTAGAAAATAAATAATGATTTTTATAATAGATAATTAAATTAAATTATGTGTGGGCGTCAAATGGTCTATTAATTATCCCCTAACCTAATGTCAAAAACAAAAGTATTTCAAATATTATCGTATGATAATAGGACAAGTTGAATGTCCAAACGTGGTTCATCATTCCTGTGGTCTCGATCCGTTTTTAAAATTTTGTTTCTCGGGATCTGAGTTTCCCCCTGACTTAAAATATTTTTTTTATAAAGAAATATATACACATTTCCTCAACTTACATCTTCAATTTGATATTTGAAAACAAAATTAATTAATGTCAAAATGAACATTTTTATGTCGATTACGTAATATGCTATCAGTTCATTAATGGTTTAGTAAACGTCGTGGTCTCAATGTGGTTACTTTTAAAAATAAATAAATGTAAGATCTGCTCATCAATTAGTTTTTACTCAGAAATCTAACATGTCATCGGTTGGCGTAAATCAAATTTATAATACCGATATAATATAGTTATTTACAATTATAAAATAATACTAAAGCCAAATTTAATCACTATCTCAAAAGATTTAGTTTCAAACTAAACAAATACCAAAATAAAAAATAAAAAGAAAATTATTTTATAAATTGATAATTTAGTAAGAACATAAAACTAATTAATCAGCTCGATTCAGATCGGTCGAAACCAAACCGTTTTGGATTCTGTTCGATTGTAACCTATTTTTCACGAGACAATATTCTTCAAATTATCACAAATCATCGTACTCGTAACTCGCAAACTAAATAAAAAATAAAACAACTAAATCATGACAATACTTTAAAATGAATTAATACATGGGTTATTTTTAAATTTTCCTTATATTTTGATAAACACGTAGAATTAAATAATACGATGTATGAAGATTATTAAATGTTTCTACTTTCCTTTACAAAATGAAAAAAAAAAATTAACTTGGTCGTAGAAAAAAAAATAATTTGATGGGGGAATTATGGATGGCTGTAATTAAAAACTTATCAGCCAATAGAAGACAAGGATGCAAGCTTTCGTCATATTTAGATATTCAAAAGTCTTTGGTCATTAAATATTAATTTACGATAACTTTGGTTACCCGGTGTAGTTATCTATTGATGATGATGATCTGGTTACAAAAATGTGCCCCGACGAAATTATTTATTCTAAAATTTATATGTTTAAAATTAACAAAATCAACGATTCAACAGATTTTTCAGACAACGAGTAATGAAAGGGTCAACTATATATAGCATGTCTCTGCAACTTCCCACCAACTAATGCAAGTTTAGACATCTTCACCCATATATATTTTTTGATATATATATATATTTGTTTTCCATTGATTTTTAATATTTCAAATATGATTCTACAAATCTAAATTAATAATGCCTATTGTCTATTTAAATTATAAATAATTCCCGAACTTGATATATATATACATATCTATGCTGAATTTAACAAAAAAAACTTTTAAGTTCATTTTTCCAGGTAATATTTATACTACATATGACATTTTCAACCATTTTTTTGGAGAATATTAACTATGTAAAAGACTATAAAGTCTGATCAATGAAAACTTGTTTACTGAAAATATTTTAATGGGTGACGAAAGTTTCGTGTGTATTGTTGTCAACCTTCCATATGTAATATTTATGAATAAAAATTTAAATATTGTGTAAGCAACTTGGGAATAAAAATTTGTAAGGACCTAAGGTCAATGGTTTGGATTATACAATGAAATTAAACATAAACAAACAAAAAAAAGACAAAAAAATTTAAAGGCCAACTTGGGGATTCTCTATTGAAATCTAGGCTAGTCGTTGGACTATACTATTTATTTATTGAATTCATAAGTAAGTCCTTATTTATTATAAAAAATTTGTAAAATTGTTGATAGTTGGATCTATAAATATAGGTTGTCGATCCCTATGCATTATCTGTAAGCCCTTAGAATTTTCGAATCGATTGGGCAGATATTGATCGGGTCCAAGGAATAATTCATAGGACAAGTACAGCTACTGCCTACTACTACTACTACTTGTGCTTGTTGGTGGGTTCAAATGCAATTTGTTTTTACTACTGTAACATATCATATGATATCTTCTACTTACAAAAATTTCAAATTGGTACATCCATCGAATATTCCTATTACATTTCTCATTTTCTATATATATATATATACATACACTATATACTATATATGTATAACAAGAATGGATTGATCTGCACTTTGATTCAGGATATTTGATTATAAAAAAAAAACAAGAATGGATAATTAGATCAAATATGTTGGAACCTCATATGGATTGATCCATGCGTTTATATTCAGTTATCATCTACATTTTTTTTTTTGGAAAACCTAGCTACAATCATCAAAAGGACAACATAATATCACGTGTTTGCTCCCAAAAAAAAAAAAAAAAAAAAAAAAAAAAAATCAGCAAAAAGAACATCTGAGGTATCAGCTGGGGATGTTCTTCCGGGACGAACTGCTGTCGTGGTTCGGGAGAAGACCAATAGGCGTCACTCCTCTAAACTCGGCCGATCTCAGACACAAGGTTGACTCCAATGTCGATGATGTCATTGGCCGGATAAAGGGCATTTCCCCACACTACTTGTCCGAAGAGGAGGTACGCCCACATATACATACATACACACATACATGCATGTCTACGCATGCATGCATGCATGATACATCTCTCTCTCTCCCATGATGTTTGCTCGAAAGATTGAATTTTTTTTTTTTTTGGTGGGTGGGAAGGATGATATCAACGCAGTGGAGCCACCACAGTCAGTGCAGAGAGGTGTGAATGAGTTGGTAGAAGCTGCATTGTCGCCACGTAACCTGTGCATGATGGACCCCACTTGGCATCCCTGGTTCTAACTTCTGTTTTTTTTTTTTTTAACTTACTGTAATAATCCCCCAAAAAAAAAAAAAAAAAAAAAAAGAAGAAAGAGGGGTACTATGTGTACGTGGGGACAAATTAACCTTAAACTCCATGATCAGATCTCTGTCTCCACCAACCATAAATGAAACATCAACACTGCATAATTCTGTGTCTGAACTTTGTGGCATTACAACAATGGCTGTATGACTATGAACCCTAAGCTATGGTGCAGTTCCATAGCACAAAAGCAGCTTCTTCTTCTTCCTTTTTTTGTTCCTCTCGTTCCTTTTCTTTTTCTTTTTTCTTTCCCTTTTTATGTACAGAGAAAAGCTGTAAATGCTAAGAACCTTGACTGAAAACCAGGATTCTGAACCGGCAGAGCGGGGACCGATAGAGTGATATGGTGTCTCACTCATTCATCAACCTTTGGCCCTCGGTATAAAGCCCCGACTACGTTCAGATCCTCGGGATTATCGTCTCTTTCCCGGAGCCATGCATAGCCTTCCCTCTCCTCCTCGGGTATTATAACTCCATCAACTGAGAGCCATTGCCAAAAATGCAGCCAATTAACAATAATAACCAATGCACACGGTGGGAAGCAGTTTGCTCAAATTTAGAAGAAAGAATCAGTTTCATATCCCTTCTTATCCAGATGGATAGCATTATCAGTTATACGAAAAGCAAAACTCAGAGGCGATCAAATGGTGAAATCAAAACATGAAAAAGTACAGCAGTACCTGAGAAATTGCTGTATGGGAAGTCGAGGAAGTAGGTGCAATGGCGCCCCTCTGGATCAGAGTAGGGTGGTCCGAGCACGTCAAGAACCGCGCACGGTGTCTCTGCCGTGAAGCAATGCATGTTTCCACCGTCTGCTGGGTACAATATGCTCGTGTTGCAAGGTGCCGTGAATGTGGAATCAACCTTCACTTTCGCAAGACGCGTCACGGGATCTTCCACTGCATCATCAACACGTTAGCTTTATACGTGAAACACGCAATTTCATCTATCTACATTACATACACACCGATCAACACTCGTCAGGATATTACATAATCCGATACAGATCGAATTCCATAGAGTAAATGTAATCATCATTTGATATCTTCGAGTGGATTAAGTATGCAGTGACTAAACAGAAAGCCTTCGAAGATCAAGAACAAGAACCCCAATAAGCCATTGGTTAATACAATAACAGAGAAAGAAACTCACTTGGAGCATCAGCCACCCAATCATACGACTTGATGTGCATTGTACCAAAGAGAAGCTTACTGAAAACCGTCATCTGAGGATGGTTATGGAGAGGAATCACACCGGAAGGCGGCAAACAGAAAATCCCGATCTGCGAGAAACCGAACCTGGGATTACTTGGGGCCCAAGAAAGATACTAGCACTTGAGATTTATCACATTGAAAATGCACATACCGAAAACATATCGCAATCATATAGATGCAGATACGTTATCGATGGTGATTGTCGCCCACGTTCAGACGTCACTCGGAAGTAGGGCATACGTGGAGTTAGACCGACATCCTCCGGTTTCATATCATCTGCATCAGAAGAATGCACATTATCTATATAACACAAATTCAAGCAAACCAGACCTTGATAAGACAGGACAAAGAGCATCACTTTAACATGTACAAACCTCCAAACGAAACCAGACACGACATACATGAAATTTCGAGACAACTCCGGTAACATCAAACAAAAGCCAATGTGTAAATGGAGATTTTGAGAACAACCCAGATAAGAAAACATCAGATTCAGTAAAAAAGGGGATTTTTTTTTAGTTTTTTTTATACCTAAAATAGCCCGTAGCCGTTGGATTTTCTCTTCAGAGGGAACGATACCAGGGCCGCAATCGGCGAACACTTCCTTACAGGTATTGAACAGCCGCCGCACCGGCAAAACCTCCGCCGCCGTCTCAGCCATCACAGGGTTAGCCATCTTCCGCCGCCGGTTCTTCTTCTTCTTCTTCGATCTGCTTGGCGAATTTGCCGACGCCGGGCTCGGGTTCTTTGGCTTAAGCGAGTCAACAGTGGGGCTCTTGCACTGATTCTTACCCAAAATCACTTCCTTTTGCAATTCCAAAACTTCCTTCTCTGTTTTCGCAGCCAAATTCATCTCATACCCCATGAATCCCCAAAACCCACCAAATAAAACCTGATTTTTCGCAAGGCAAGAACCCTAACGAAACAGGGTATCGCCGGAAAACGATGAAGTTGAGATCAGTGTATGGTAAGGATACAAACAGAGGAAACAGAAGGGATCACTCCCACCGTCCCACGTATCTAAAACTCTCTGGGCATGGATCCAGGAAGAAGCAGCGAAGACGAAGGGATATAAAAGAAGAAAAAGGAAGCGGAAAGGAAAGATAGAATATCGAAAGCGGAGAGAGAGGTTGGAGGACAAAACCAGGGGCCATTTCTGGTTTCTTTCCTATGGGCTGTTCAAACAGCGGATTTTTTTATCCGCTTCGGTCTTCGTCATGGGGACAGAATACGGCTAATTCCCGGTTTACGCTAACCGATATAAACCGGTGATCACTTATAATTATATTTGGATGTGCCAAAATAGGAGCTAACCGATCTAGTTGGAGAAATTAGCATTTCGAAAATGACATCTGAAATATCTCGCACGCTATTATAATAACACCCCTTATGTTGTTTTCTTGATAAAAGTGTATTATATTCTCTGATATTTGTGAAAAGGGCATCTTATTAAGTGGACCGGTTTTGTGATTATATATATATAAGCTTTGCGACAAATATATTAAAAATAGTATCATAGGACGAGTGGATCTCTTGTCGGGTTAATTGCAAGTTGATCCACAAGTTTCGGAAATGTTCTTTTTATGGGAAGAGTACTATGATTCCTTCCTTTTTTAAATTTACCCCTTTTATTTCTGTTTCTATTAACTTGCATATGGAAAACAAATTATAGTAATGACTAATTAATTACACGTAAAATCTCATGTATATAGATAGGAAAGCTAAGCTAATTAAATGGGTTGAGAATGTGTCCTCCGTATAATTAAAGCTGTATATACAAACTTATTTTTCTCCATTAATTCCAATAAATAAATTAAATTCTTATGTGTACGTTACGTGGCATATTTAGTCTCATGCAGATTTGGAAGTGCAGTTCGTACAAATCTTCTTGGCGTGACAACAGACAGTAGCAACAAAGAGGTAGTAAATCAGCGATTACCAGAGAGATCAGAGATCGTCGCCGGAGAACGGGATGGGAGCTCCGTTTCCGGCGGAGGAGGAGAGCTCCACCACGAAGATCACCGACTTGGACTACGACGCTTTTGCCCACTTCGCTCGTTTCCTCGACATTCGTGACGTCAGCAACCTGGCTATGGCGTCTAAATCCCTCAGGCACGCCGTCTACTCCGACTCCATCTGGGCTCGATTCTTCAGGTTTTGGATTACCCGTTTCTTATTGCGCTCTTAAATTAATCTGCATAATCAGGATTTGGAATTTAGGGTTTGTTTGGGAACATGTTCGCCTTCTTCCCTTGTCTGGGTGTTTTATCCTCATCTTCGCCTGAATATATTCCTGATTTGTCCGAAAGTTAAGTACTTGCAAGATTTAAGTTATCTTTGGGCGTGATTCGAGAGAATCCAGTGTTTGGATTGGAACATGGGGTTGAGCTTCTGTAAGATCACTGGCTATAGCGGTGGCGATAATTTGCCTTAGAGCTTGTTGTATGGATGTGCTCAGTTTTCAACGTGCGCAGGGAACGTTGGCCTAACCAACCAATCTTGGAACCATTGGGAATGCGAGACGCGTACTTGACCAGACGAGGGGAGTTGCATAAACTCAAATTCGAGGACCCTTTCGTTAAGGAATTCGATGCAGACAAGCCCTTTGAACATACATTGTTGGACGGAGAAAACCTTTTCCTTTCACAGGTACATTTGTTCTTCATTTTTTTGTAATAAATTATGAAATCCATCAGCATACTTATTGTTTATGCTCAATAGAACCTTTTTCCAGTGCTTATTCCCATGTGGTGTTTGCTTCTGCTTATTCCTTTTACTACCCGCAGGGATCTGTGATACAGACAGTACGGATTCCTGATCTGATGGCTGGAGTTGTGCCTTATGCCAGCCTCAATGACCACAAGGCGAGAGTCACTTGCATGAGGTAGAAAACAGGACAAATAGTACTGTTACTAGTTTCGGTTATTAGGGCTATCAGATGCCATTGTAGATGCTAACTGGTCTGCTTACACACTTCATTTGGCAGGTCTTTTCCTCTTGCAGAAACGGGTCTCTTCCGGAGCGAGTCACAGAGAGACGAAAATGTATTGCTGAGTTCTAGCAGTGACCATACGATTTGCCTATGGTGGAAGGTTTATTGATGTACTCTGTATTGCCTTGTTCTTCAATAAATATGGCTGCCTCGATGATGTTATTCTGGAACTGTCAATCGGTTGTTCTCTTGATATAACCTCTGAAAATAATAACGTAAGGTCTCATTTTGTTGTTTTAGGGTTCATGTCAGCGACGCTTTAGGGGACATAACGGTCCTGTGACTACTCTGTCAGAGAGATTATTAGGGGATGGCGTTGGAAAATTACTTGCAAGTGGTGGTGAAGATGGTACTCTTCGTCTATGGTCACTTAACTCAAGTGGAAAACGCAGGCAACAATCTCTACAGGCCACATTGAAAGGACATGAAAAACCAATCAAATTCATATCTGTTGCTGGGTATGATTCTAACATCAAAATTTGTTTGGATTTTATTTCATATCAATTTTAGAGCCCAGGAACCGTCCCTTTATGTTTATCTTTATCAGTTTTCCTTTTTGCCCATCTGATTTGCTTATATACAGACACAAAACAACTCTTATGGCATCTTTGGCTACTGACTCCAAGGTATCTTCTCTGTTCTGAGACTTTCTTCTGTTAAGGACAGTACAAGAAAAAAAAAATGATTTGTTAGTCATAACTCTCCTGAAACAGGTCAGAGTTTGGGATGTAGCTGCATTGTCCTCTTCAACTCGATCTTCTGCCTGCGTGGGCATGACATGTGTACCAGGCCCTCCTGTTTCCATGAAATGCCACGAGTCGTTGCTTTACATTGCCGCGGGTTCCTCTGTTGTATCAATCGATCTAAGGACGATGCAGAAAGTCAATGACGTTGCAGTCTTACAGCCAAAAGTCAACTCCTTTGCTATATTACCTTCAGCATCCCTTGTCTGCACCGGTGGAGATGGCAAGTAAGCATATCTTTTTGGAAGCCACCAGTATCAGAGATTCTGCTACAGCAGTGAAATGATGAATGACTCTAAAATGAGATTTTTTTTTACCAGGGCTGTGCTTTGGGATATCAGAAGAAACCAAACCACACCAAGGCCAAGAGCCATAACAGAGATGGACGGACACAATGGACCCATCACGTTCCTACACATGGACCAGTACAAGGTTGTCACCGGTGGTCCTGAGGATGCTTCTGTTAACGTATGGGAGAGCGATACCGGGACAAAGACTATATCCTTGAAGTGTTGCAGGGATGCCCCTCCTTTACGGGCTCGGTGTTCAGCCATGGCTGTTAAAGGCTGCCAACTGGTCACTGCCGGTTATTATCATGGGTCTAGGATGGCGGGCGCTTATTACAGGGACTTTTCGAATGCTACGTTGCCGTTATCGAGATCTGAAGACGAGAATGCTTCAAAACTTTGGTGTCGGCCCGACAGTGATGAGGATAGCGATGAATCAGATTATGAAGAACACAGACTGTATTAGACATTGATGTGTAATCTCTGCATCTCAGGTTCAATGTTTCTGTTTGATCTGTTGTCTCTGTTAAAGCTTCTTTGAATAGTGATGATGATGACATCATCATCTTGAGATTGTAAGGTACAAAAATGCCCACAAATATGCATAAACATCTCTAAGCAAGTGCTTTCAAGGGTTTTTTGGTAGTGAAGCAATGTGAGCTATTCTCCTGTACTTTAAGTTTTTCAAGTGAGAAATGGTAGAAATACTGACATGAATGAATTAGATTACGGAGTAATAATATATACTCTTAAACATTTATGTTTTTAAAATATTAAGGAACAAAACAAACAATCAAATGAAGTGAAAGAAAAACAACAATGGATTAGAAATCACAAATCACAAGTAGTAGAATCTCTTTGGCACATTTTCTTTTTCTGGTTTCTTGAAACAAATGCCCTCAGCTAATCAGACAAATTTCCACTTCGAACCCTTAATTTAAAATCTTTCCGACCAACTCAAGCAGTAGTAGAACCATGCATCCTAAAAGAAAAAGGTTAAGGCAGGTGAGCTTTTCTTTTAGCAAGGGCGGCCGACCTTGCAGTCCAAAGAGCCGGCGTATTTGGTAAGCATGGACACTGCCATTCCGTGCTTGGGCCGTATCATCTGCTGCCTCGTATGCGTGCACCTGAATTTAGGGTTTCCCGATTGCCTGAAAAACGCCCCGTTCATGAACACGTCCTTCTCCGATCTCCAGTTCCATTTCCTCCACTCCGACTCCGGTGCATAGTCCCTCTTCGTCACCTATACACACAACGAATATATAAATATGTATGTATGTATGTATATGCGTAAAAATCCAAAAGGAACAATGTATATATGGTACCTCCTTGTACTGGGGGATGTGAGGGGGAGCGATGAAACGGTTGCCGTGGCTGAGGATGGTTGGGCCTTGGCTTCCACCGATGGCGTAAAGCTGCCAGTGGGTGTAGTCATTGTTCACAACATGGACGAATCCCCACCTGACACGTGGCATCCTCTGCACCAGCCCTTTCCCGAAGTGGTTGTACGCCACCGTCACTTGCATCCTCTTGTCCTTGTCTATCACGTTGTGCGCCCCCAGCAACATCACCTGCATATATAATGCTTACGTCGTTGTGTGTGTGTGTATATATATATGGGTGTATGGCTGTATATGTGCATATGTACTTACGTCGTTGTGGTGGGTGAAATGGGAGTTGGAGATGGTGATGCCTGTGGAGCCATCAATGGCGTCGATGAGGCCATCTTGGCATCTGGACATGGAGACATGGTCGATCCATATGTTGCTGGCGCCGAAGATGGAGAGACCATCGCCGTCAGCCCTGGTCCTGAACCCGTAGTGATCGACAGAGTCCCTGATCATGCCGCCATTGCTGGAGACAATGTGATGGATGTGAAGGCCATGGATGATGATGTTGGTCACGAACTGCATGGTGATACCTGCTCCATAAGCGATGTGAACGTTGGCGCCACGTGCATCGATGGTCTTATGGCTGTTGATGAGCAGCTCCTGCTGCAGCCTGATGTGCATGTCCTTCTTGAAGATGATCCACAGAGGTACCTTCTGGATCACGGCATGACGTAGGGTTCCCGGTCTAGGGTTTACGACATCGCTGTCTAGGTTACTGGTCACGACGTAGATGCGTCCGAGTTTTCCTCCGGTGGTCTTGAAGCCGAAGCCGCGGACGCAGTCGGCGAGCTTTTTCCGGCGATTGGCCCAGTCAGCCCGACAACGCCAGCACTTGTCGATCGGGTTGCTTGCGGTGCAAGGTCCCTTCAGTTTGCTCCATTTCCCACGTCGTCCTCTCCTCGATCGGCCTCTCAAACTCCTTCTCGTGCTGTTGGTCGTGCCGGTTAACATGGCGATCGAGTATTCCTCCTCCTCCTCCTCCTCCTCGTGATCATCCTCCTCTTCCCTCTCTGCCTCGATATCTGTCGAGTTGCTGCGTATTTACAGACCCACCAAAGACATAACTTAGTTCGTGTTCTGTAATAAAAAACCGGGCGTTGGTGATATATGGAAGCTCACTCGTAATGGCGTTCGTGGAAGTGATCGACGATCTCGAAAGGGTCGGAATGGTAAGCCTCGAGGGAGTGATTGTGAGCTTCCTCGGACCGTTTTTGCCAATACTCGTCGAATTCTGCAACGTTTCCTCTAATCAAAGCGGCAATACAAAACATACAGATCAAATGCAAAAGCCTAGCTCCCTCCATTTCTTTCTTCCCCCCCTTTTTCTTTTTCTTTTTTTTCTTTTTTTTTTTATAAATATTTTAGAATATAATTATATGTTACAAGAAAATGGAGAACGGCTAAGCTTAGAGCATGACCTTATTATAAGGGGTTGGTCTTTTTTTAGACCTTGGGATTTTGTTGAAAAACGATGAATCGTACTGCGAATTTGGGACACAAAGAGGATGGCGTTTAAATAACAAAACAAGAGATGAACGAGTTCGGTTTGGCTCCATATTTAGAAAGTTCCCGCCAAGGATGGAGAGCCATCCCTTTCTTCCTTACGTTCTATTTCTGTCTCTAATTAATTCCCATTATTATTATTTTTGTTATTAATCTCGTTGTCGTTGTCATGTGATGATAATATAGATGTTAATTTTTTTTTAAAAAAAATCGATATCCATAATTAATATATTTTCTCTTGATGATTTTGCATAATGAAGTACAATGTTGTTGTTTTTTTACACGTTAACGCAGTGAAGCCACAGTAAATTTTTTGGCCAGTGGGAATCGACGGCTGTGGACGGAGACGCCGAGTAAGGGTCTCGATCCAACGGCTGATAAAATTTTATGTGATCAGCAGGAAAACACCTCTCCGATGATATTATTATAATTACTATTTTATAATTCAATCATACATACCTTTTTTTCCTTGTAGAGAGGAACTTTCGTCCCTCCATGTACCAGTCTAGACTTAGATTCATAATTTGTAATAAAAATACTGGTTTTACGTACCCAGGAAGCGAGGACAAGCAGGAAAACCCCTCTCCGATGATGAAGCGAAGCTAGGGTTCTTTCTGTCATTTCCAATTTCCCGGTGCTCTCCGTCTTCCTCATCCAACCATGGCCAAGGGTCCCGGTCTTTACATCGAAATCGGCAAAAAAAGCCAGAAAAATCTCCTCCGTCCTCTTCTCAATCCGTCGGCTTGCATGTCTACGTGCCAGAGATTTCGTGTTTTTGATCGGGCAGTGTCTAATTTGGACTCTGCCTGGATTCTTTGGTCAGAGTTTGGTTTGGATGTCGCAAGTTCTTGGTTTTGTTGGTACGGGTCGTCTTCACTTTCCATCGGCAATTGTGTTTGATCGAGTAGCGAATACTCGGATCTCTTCCAGTGATTGATGCCCTGGGTTTCGTGCGGATTCAAATGATTCTTTAGGTTCAGTTCCCGTGTCATTTAATAGAGTTTCGATAGTTTTCCGGGTTTGGTAAGGATTGCGTCACGATAGTTTCGTGCTTCCACTGGAAATGTCTGTTGAGACAGTAGCTAGCTGTTTCACGTTTTGGCGTTTATGACCATGGGAGCCTCTGTTGAGGGTATTTGTGATATTGAGTTGCCTGATGTTTGGATTTTGTTATTGCGGTGGAGTAAAGATCTTCTGTACAAGGACTACCAGAGCGATCAGAAATTCTCTGTTACTACCTTCTCCCCGGCCGGTGTTGTAAGTCGCTTCTTGCCATTCTTCATTTTGATGGTTTGTAGTAAGTGTCTCGTGCCGGCTGTGTATGTGTATGTCCTATGATGGTTATAACTGGCTCATATCTTGAGTTTTAGTTTCTTGTCGGCGGAGGAAATGCCAATGGATTGCATTTTGTGCGTGTATTCTTTGATTTCATTTTTTTAGTTGTTAGTCACTGAGTTTCAGACATAGAGATCAAGTTATCCAGGTATTGTGATTTAGAATCAAAATTTGTAATTTTCCGTCAGTTGGCTGGATGAATGTTATATACTACAACAACGTTTTTCTATCTTGGTTCTTGTCCGGCTTTGCTCATGAGCTGAGTCAACTGACTCATTTTCTGGTGCTTGTTAGGCTATCTGGTAAGTGTCCCACATCGGAAAAAGAGAAGGATTTGGGGCCAATATATAAGTAAGGGCCTAAACCTTATTACTATCACTTCGACAGGAATTAAGAAAGGTGATATATTCTTGGCTGATGTTACCACCCAATTGAAGAACAAGAATATCACAACTGATATCAAATTTGGCAGTGATTCCACTGTAAGCAATGTTATTCTTATGTCAAGTCATCCCTAGTCCATACCCTGTAATCCTTTGTCGCCCTTGTCCGTTTCTCATGGAGATATGGTATGGGTGGTTGCTGGTTATACATCTTTTTTTTTTCTATCGATAGCCTCTTTTTCTAAAACACGTGTGAATACCAGCTTCTGACGACTATTACGGTTGGTGAGACTGCCCCGGGACTGAAGTCGAACTTTAGCTTCAAAGTACCTGATCAGAGATCTTGCAAGGTAATGTTCATTCGTACCATCTTTTCTATCTGCCTAGATTTATTCTGAGATGGATTGTCTTTTCGCCTGTGTGCTGTGCCATATAGATAATGCTTCTAAATTCACATGTATTTCCTCTTTCAAACAGGTTGAGCTACAGTGCTTGCATGACTACGCAGGCATAAGCACCAGCATCGGATTGACAGCCAACCCGATTTTCAACTTCTCTGGCGTTGTTGGAACCATTGTCTTAGCTCTTGGTACTGATGTTTCCTTTGATACCAAAACTGGCAATTTCACCAAATTCAGCGCTGGTTTGAGCTTCACAAATGACAATTTGATTGCTTCCCTCACTCTGTACACATATGCTTCGGTAAATAGGGAAGACACAGACACGGGTGAAGTGCATTTATTGGTAACGTAAGTAATGTATCGGAAGAAATGAGATTGGATTGGATCTCAGTCTGGTAATTTGTGGTAGGGACGACAAGGGAGAGACAGTGAAGACATCATACTACCACATGGTCAACCCATTGAGGAACACGGCGGTAGGAGCGGAGGTGAGTCACAGCTTCTCGACGAATGAGAACACAATAACGGTGGGGACACAGCATACGATGGACCCACTGACGACGGTGAAAGCACTCATCCAGCACGAATGGCGACCCAAGTCGTTCTTCACCATCTCTGGTGAGGTGGACACCATGTCCATCGACAAGACGGCTAAGGTCAGCCTGGCTCTCGCTCTCAAGCCTTGAAGTTGTAGAGGAGGGTAGCGTAGTAACTTCGCCTGAGATGGTCCGACTAGGAGTCATCTCTTGTTGTCCTTCTTGGACAGAGAGCTCTTCTTCATCATGATGTTTTGGGTGTTGGGTTTGTAGAAAATAAAGGATACAAGAGGATCGTCTGCTGGTAAAATCAGTTCAATTTTTTTGTCAGAAACTTGTTGTCTGACATCTTTCCTGCATTCTTTCAAGTTACTGTGTTCTGTTCATGAATTCATTGGTCGGTGTCAATGTCATCAAATCTAGCCTCGAATTTCTTAGAGCATATCGAAACCATGGATATGGACCCTTGAGAAATTAAATGGGTTGTTACTCCAAAATGTAAACTGTTTTCTTCATAATGCATATATACATATAATATATATATATATGTAGTATATCAAACACATCCCAACACATGTAAACCAGCAAATAACACAATTTTTAAAAGGAAATAATCACAAACAACACTTGAGAGAGAGAGAGAGAGAGAGAGAGAGAGAGAGAGAGAGAGAGAGAGAGA